TGCTAATTTCCCAAGACCCAAATGCAAAGCCTCTGACCCCAAACCTGCAACCTGTCCCTAAGCCTTTTGGCAGCAATCCTAAAGCCTAAACCCTTTGTTTTGCTTCAACCCTCCTAGGGTCCCTTAACCTTAAACCCTTTTTGAACCCAGACTCTTCTTCCCTTTTTGAGCCCAGGCTCTGATTCAACTCAAACCAAGCACGATGCAGTGCCCAGTAGCGCAGGACTTACAGCAACTCTTGTTCCCTGCACCCCAAACCCTGGACCGGGTTTCGGCTTACCCCCCAGAAGGCTAAACCCTGGAACCCTGGAGCAGCCTCTCCCCAGATCTCATCGGGTTTGCTACCTGAAAGCGTGCGGATTTAGGGTTCCTGGGTTTCGACTCTCACACTCTCATGTGCATGGTTTAGGGGTTTAGGATACCCCCCCGAGATTCCCCCGAGCTTGCAGATTCGGGTGCTTGATGCAGTTGAAGCATACCATCTCTGGCTCGTCATCTGCCAAACGAGTATTGAGTTCAAGACAACATGTTCACAACTAAATCCTGTAATCCCTGAAGAAACCTAAGCCGTAGCCTGCTTTGGAACCTGGACCGTGCCACGCCCAACGCAGCTCCGCTGACCCCGGCCGACCCTTTCTTGCACCCAGACTCCGCTCCAGGGGCTCCCTTCATCCTAAACCCTAAACCCTAAACCCTAAACCCTAAACCCTAAACCCTAAACCCTGTGAGGCTCTCTTCACCCCAAACCCGAATCCCGAAACCCGACTGCAGCCTCTCCGGGCCTGACCCCCCACTGGCCCCTGAGCCCTAAACTACTATTTACTTAAGAACCCCAAAAGAATAAGAAATAATCATCCCAATATTACCCTTCAGAAGGAAGAATATTTTGTGGTTTTTTGGGGGTCCTTAAGCAATCAGTAGTAAACCTGTACCCTGAACCCTGAACTGCCCTTACTAAACCCTAAACCCTAAACCCTAAACCCTAAACCCTAAACCCTAAACCCTAAACCCTAAACCCTAAACCCTAAACCCTAAACCCTAAACCCTAAACCCCCCCCCCCCCCCCCGGCCTCCGGAGAACATGGCCCAATCTTCGAAGCCGGGAGCAAGGCCGAGGCCTATTTTAATGGGTTTAGGGTTTAGGGTTTCGGGTTTCGGGTTTAGGGTTTCGGGTTTCGGGTTTAGGGTTTAGGGTTTCGGGTTTCGGGTTTCGGGTTTAGGGTTTAGGGTTTCGGGTTTAGGGTTTAGGGTTTAGGGTTTAGGGTTTCGGGTTTCGGGTTTCGGGTTTAGGGTTTAGGGCCGTTTAGGGTTTAGGGCTTTTTTGGCCACCCGCTTAGCTGACCTCTGCAGGGAAACATCGATGGCAAATCTCTCATCAGCTCATCGACGCATCCCATCGTAGTCCAGTAGGGGGTGGTCCACAACGAGTAAGAAACCCATGGGTTTAGGGTTTAGGGTTTTGGGTTGCTTTTCGGGATTTTTTCAGGGTTCAGGGTTGAAAGGTTTAGGGCTGCTCTTGCCCGTCTCGCCTGGCGCACTGCAGGGTTTGAGCTGAGGGAAAATCTTCTCAAGGCTTGGCGGGCCCCAGAGCGGGCTCGCCAAATGGTAGGACGTAGGATCGGGTGACAAGGATCGTTAGTTGTCTAACTTGTCTAGACTTCGGGATGTTCCCCCTGAAACAAGGGGTCCTTAATAGGGATTATAATTGGGGGTAGTTACTACAATCCTATTCAGGACTGTTAGTATAAGGGGGAACATCCCAATCTATACCTCCTCTCCCACGCATCCCACCAAGCCTAACAACAAAATTCAACCACCAACACAAAGCCATAGTGTGGTGACTGGAGAAGGCTCGTTTCTCCCTGGCTGTCCTGACAATGCGTATGTACAAGGGGTTACGCTCTAGGGTTTCGGGTAAGCGTCTGTGAAAGCTGTTAGTGCGTGGTATGTCATATTGTTGGATGGATGCTTTGACCTTTCTCTCTATAGGTAGTACAGGTTATGAAACAGGTGGCGGCCTTTTTATCTGTGGCCCTTGTACCTGAGAAATCCTACTTAAAGAGACCACCAACCCATATAAGATACAGGTGCTCAGGGTTTGTAAGGTCACTGGATGAATGCTCCTGGCCGAGTCTTGAGAGCCTTTGAGCAGGATTTAGGAAGCAAAAAAGCCCAAGCTCCAAGTTGTAAACCTGCAGTTCCAGGCGGTCTTGGCATCCCCACCGCATAGAGACACGTGGGTGGCCGCCTGGGCAGTTTCCACAGAAGCTGCGTTCAGGGCCGCAGGGGTAGGTTTCAGAACCCCGCTGGGCAAAACTGAATCAAACTGGATCCTTAGGTTTGGAGTTACATCGGCCTCTGTAGCCAAAGAGAAGGCCTGCATAGTGTCTGCAGAGGCATACCCCGTGAGGGAGGTCCGCATGTCCGTCCGATTGAGGGTCGAAGGTTTCGGGTGCGACTCTCTCAGTAGCCGAGTTCAAAAGAGCAGAAGAATCAAGGGGTTATTCCTCTGGGGGATCTTCAAAAAGGGTCCCCAAAACCCAAGGGTACAACCTCAAGGGTCCAAAGGCATAACCCCTCGGAAGAATAGGCATTTGTACAGAAGCTGCTCAGAGCTGCGTGCTCACAAGAAAACACGACACCCGCCCAGCCTGGCTGGACGATGTTTCAGCGTCCTCGAGGCTTTCAAGGGTCTTGGGCCCTTTGTTTACGGAACGTTTCCCTAAACCCTATAAACCCTAAGCCCTTTTTGCATCCGGGACAATTTCAACATGCCTTCTTCGGGATCGAAGAGGGATTGCAGCAAGTCTGTGTCTAAGGCGATTTTTTGGGGTTGCTGCGTGCTTCTCGAGTCGAGCGTGTCCAACAGGTCTTTAGGCAGGGTTGAGAGGTTCTTGAATTCGTAGCATTCAGGATCCTTTGGGAGTTTTTAAAAACTGAACCCTCAGTCCATGCACTGTGAGGGGAACATTAGTCTACTTTCAAGGCATCTCACCGCTGCTTCTTTGGGATTAGTGGCATGGAGGTGTGCGGGGCGCGATGGCATGGCGCAAAGTAATTATCTAAAGCAAGCCAACTGCTCGAAGCGCATGCCCTGTCAAGAGGAAGCATCTCTCATAAATCGAAACCATTCAAGAGATGGAACCACAAAATGGAGGGTCGAGAAATTTGCCCTGCCTCTTGGCACTCCTCCGCGGTACTCTCGGTGCCCTCTGAGTCGTGATCCTCGGCGGCCTTGTCTTGGGCCTGGCTGGATCCAAAGCCGGGAAGCAGAAAGTGTGGTGGGAAAGGTCTGCATTCGCCCAGTCACAGGAGAGCGCCTCGTTCCAAATCTTGGAGAAGGTCAAGGGCGGCATCTGCAGCATGGGATTGGGCCTTGCACGTGCCCCCCGTCCCAACCTTGCCCGGAATGCGCTAATCCGAGCATCAGTTTAAGTAATACCCCCACATTTAAAGAAATTTTTTTTGGCCGGAAGCCCGCCGGAAAACTACTTTCCATTAGGTTGGATTTCGTATGGGACAAACCCCCCACATTTAAAGGAATTGTTTTCGGGGGGTCCAAAAATCTGTCGGCAGGCTTCTTGTTTTGCTTGCGGAGACGCGAAGCTACAGCACCTCAGGGATCTGCAGCCTATTGTTTTTAATGGGGAATCAATGCAGGGCCACGGTCCAATTATTGCGGAACCCTGCCTTTCTTATTGTGGGGGGGGGGGGGGGGCCCCCCCAATTAAACAGAAGCTCGGATTAGTCCTGACACAAACACTACACATGAAACCTACAACCAAGCTTGATTTAACGGCTCTACTCTCTAAACGGCTTTTGTTTTGCTCTGCAACCTGAGCTACTTCATGGAGGGCTTTACCGTTGAGTTCTACTGATGTAGACGCCCGAAGCCCGAACGACGGCCAAGCTGCCAGCCCCAAACACACCTCACAATCAAGGCAAAAACCCTCAGTCTGGGGCATCACAGCCGGCATCGCGGGCATCGCGTATTCCGCACCAAAGGAATCTGCTGAGGCCTGGCCCACAGGAATCAATGAGTTTAGGAGACAGCACAGATGGTTTAGGAGACGAGAACTCATACTGAGAACCCCGCTGGAAGGGGTGACACTCAAGCATCCCTCGTGGAGTTTAGGTTGGTGTTGAGCACTTTGGAGTTTGGGAATCCACCCATCAGCCTGTTTGGGACTTTGGGGAAACCCCAAAGCCCTCAGAACAGTCCTGCCCGAAGCTCCGGTCTCCAGTTGTAGGTCTGAGCTGTCTGCGCTTGGACCCCATAACAGTCCAAGATCGCATGACCCCAAGAAGCACCCCCTAAGATCACCTTGACTCTATAATACCAAAAAGCACCCCTAGGATGACCTTGACGCTGAAACAGCACTCCTCAACGACTCCAAGAGCACTCCTTGGTAGGACCCAAAAGTGACGAGGCAGTTCTGTACTTCAAAAGACGCAGCACGGGACTGAGGCGATGAGGCGAGAGCGCGATTTATGCCCAGAAATTTGCAACACCGCGACGGTCAAATCTCCCTAGACTGGCTGCACCACCTGCCACGAAGCGGCACAAAAAGTGTACGGGACCTAGGCGGGGGCACGTGCGGATTTGATTTGGCATCCCCGCATGCGGTCTGCGATGTTGGGGACACATCTGAACTCCGCGCGGATGCCCGCAGTGCACCCAAAACGAGCGCCACGCCTACAGGCAAGAGCCAGTGTCCCGAGAAACCCTAAACCCTAAATGCGCGCGCCATGCATGCACCGCACGGGTCTGGCAATCTGAGCCCTCTTACCCTGGACGTTCGAAACCATGCTGGCACGCTCTTTGAAGAAAAACCGGGCCACTGTGTCAGTCGTAGTCCAAAATCCTCCATCTACTTTGCATCTGCAACCCGCGAAGCTAAATTCTCCTAGCGTCCAGTGGGGGCGGTACCTAAAGAAACCTTAGGAAAAAGTTGGGCCACCCCCAATGGATCTCGAAGGCATGCCACGCTTTTGCCGCATCAGGTCCCTGAGCTGCTTGGCTCGCCTAGAACGCCCGCAGTTTCGAAGATCCTCGCCACGTCGGCTGCTGTAATCTTGGGGTTCTCCCGCCCGTGCAGGCCGACAATCTCGGGCTTGCAACCACACTGCGCCAGTCCATTGACAAAGCCTTGTGAGAACTTCCACCAGTCCGACTTGCTGGGGGCCACGCCGTCAAACCTTGGTTTGCAGTGTCCCCTCTGTGGTCCCGTACCCTCCCAAATGCTTCAATGCTGCAGTCCACAGCAGCGACTGGGTCCCTACGAGTACCGGGCACCCATGCAAAAGCGGAAACAGATCTAGACGCACACCCCAAAACTCAACAACAGCTGAAAGCACATGCTCCACTAAGCCCCTCTGCCTTCTACAGCAGTTTTTCCACACAGGCCGGAGGCCTTACGCAAACCTCACAAGCCCAGGAGCATGGAGCGCTTCCGGAAATTGTCCGACTCGAAGGCCAACCGGTGGAGGCTGGGAGGCGGAGTCGGCGCTGGGCCTCTCGAAGCGTCACGGAAAGCCATGACCATCCAGTCCTGAAGAGGGGGATAGAGGGGGTTTAGGGTTTCGACTTTCACACTGGCATAAGCGGGCGAGGCAAGTCCTGTCGAGATCTCCAGAGTGGGTGCATTGACCACCAGTAATGAACCAACCGGGGTCAGCATACCCACTTCCTACCACCGACAGATGTTCAATGCCAAGCCACAATACTGAAGAGCTGACCCCTGATCGATCCCAGATAAACTGAAAACGAACTGGTACGTGTCCATTGGCCGACAGAAGTTCTTTGACCCAATCGGCGTGTCCAACAGAGGGGCTCAAACCATGATAGCTAACAGTATACCTCGATCACCTTTCCACCTTGAAAACAAGCCTCCCCCATCAGACCCGACTGACTATTCCTAGGCACACTGCGACCTAGTGAAGATACGTGGAGGTTGCCGCAAGCCGTCCAAAGATCAGGTATGAACACTGTTACCAGAGTAGTACAACCCGAGCGGCCCTTCCTCCTAGAAAGCAACATGTGGCAAGGGCTATATGGGTGAGACTTCACTCTATCCTCAGCATTCGATGTCCCGGGCAGTGACTGCCGTCTGTGGCTATACGCACTCGACAACGTACATCTGTGTCTGTCGTCCCCGGGCGTCAGGAGGCGCAACATGGCAAGCGGTGGCCGTGCACACGGTCCATGCAGAGTGCACGTGCGTGGGATTGTCATTTCCGAACTCGTGTAGGACCCAAGCTTCACTCAACATGCAGTCTTGCAACCATCAGTTTCCAGGGCCTTCACTAATGAATTCACAAATTCTGAATTCATGAATTCCCTTCTCTGCTTCGTACCAGCGGTCATGCATCTGGCAGTTGCAGGCATCATGCAGACGTAGGGTTCCCATCCGCCACACTCCGCGGCGACCAAACTCCATGCAGTGGTATTCGTCATGCAGTCGCTCCACGTCGCCGGGCGGCCAAAGCGGTCCGGCCGCACGCAGGCACCGGGCTCCCATATGCCAACAAAACTGGAACATTTCGCTGCGTCCCCTGGCAGCCCAAACATCGCGCGGCTGTATTGGTGATGCCAGCCTCGTTTGCAGTCCGCCCCACATACCAAACTCGCGAGCTCCAAGGCTCCCAGCTCAGGCCAGCGTCACATCGTGTCGAGAGGCCATGGCTCAGGGTGCACCGAGGTGCCGTAGACTGCTCGCGGGGTAGTTACAAGTAAGGGGGGGGACAGGTAGGGGGCGTCTACGGGTCTAACACACTGAAGCGGACCTGAGTGCACGCTCGCGCGTGTGGGGGGTGCGCTTGTATGTGTGTGTGCGTGACTAAGGAGGCGTGCTCAGCAGGCCGGCCCCTCCGTCGGGCCATCCTCCTTGACCACCCCCCGCCGAGGGTTTAGGGTTTAGGGTTTATAGGGTTTAGGGAACAAAGGGGCGCCCTTTTTGGGGTTCCCTTTAAGGGGGAGTCGATTCAATTCTATTTTGGGGTATAAACTATAAACGGGGTGGGAGCAATACCCATACGGGGGTTTGGGCTTCTGCAGCACCATCTCCGAAGAGCAAGTATCGGGCGCCAGCGGGTTTTTGGGCTTCAGTGCCTACATTTGGGACATGGACCTCGCTGTCGCGTCCAATCTTAGGAAACGACCGCAACTCTTGCCTTACTCGGAATGACGCTGTGTAGAAATATCAATCCTCATAGATGTGAGTTGTTTGCTATCGGGTGTCTTCCAACATCCGAAAGGCTCGAATTGGTAACAAGATGTAACAAGACATTGTAGCTGAAAGGCTTAGAGCGCCGGGGTGATCTCCAGAACAATGGTACGGCGTAGACTTCAAGGCCGCGGAAGCATTTGAGTCTTCTGGCAGCCAGCCCACTTAGCTTCGATTCCGCATTTTTCAATGCATTTGACACTTGAGAGCAATGTTAAGCTCAAACTTTAAACCCTACGATTCAGTGGGCAGTCCTCGCTTTGGAGCAAGAACTCGCGAACCGAGACGGCCGTGCAATGGTGGTAGCTGCCCTTGGCCAGGTGCCAGATGTAGAGCGGCGCACCAGGTTTCCTGGGATTGGGCTTAGGGCTTAGGGCTTAGGGCTTAGGGCTTAGGGCTTAGGGCTTAGGGCTTAGGGCTTAGGGTTTAGGGTTTAGGGTTTAGGGCACCAGGTTTCCTGGATGTCAGTTCAGGTCATTTTTTACAAGAGAGACTACACAGAGGCTTCTCAAGAGCGCCAGCTTCAGGACGTTGTCTGCTAGGATAATGGCCCTGTCGGAGAGCAAGTTTAGCTCCTGAAGCGGGGAGAAGTGAGTCCATGTTGGAACTTAAACCCTAAACCTTAAACCCTAAACCCTTATCTCTGTCTTGGGTCAGGTAGGATGCGTACATAAGCTCAACTGAGACTTGGATGCGCATGTATGCTACTTTTCTTCGGGGGGCCAGAACACTTTCCATGAGCGCCTCCATGAGCGCGAGGTCACTGTGGAATCGGGTGCCCTTCTGGTCCATGAAGACCAAGTCGACGGACCGGGGCCCGTACTTCTCCAGAAGATGTGGGATGCTGTCATAAGAGTAGCCGGTCCAGACGTCCACGGTCTCAGAGAGGCCAGCGTACTCCTGGGAGAGGGCTTGTGGGCTGGTCAGCTTGGGTTTTGGGCATTTTGAGGTGAAAGCCGTCTTACGCGAAAACATCCGCAACACGTGGTGAAAGCATATAAAAAGAGAGCTGCCCGCAACCAAGACTCGATCATGTTCCTGACCAGCGTCACATGAAGCGGGTCCACCTCCAGGCTGGCGACCTTACCCCCGTGGTGGCGCACCGTGCGGGCGATGTTCATGGCAGAGTAGCCCACATACGCCCCGATCTCCACACTAAGCCGGGGCTTCCAGAGCCGGGCCACCTCATGCACCACGATGCCCTTCTCCCATGCCGTGATCTTCAGCCAGAGCGACCTGGACTCCGCGAAGCGCTCGATGGCTGCCATGGAAGCATCCGGATCACCAGGAGGTGCACCACAGAGGACGGCATGGAGGGTCATGAACTCCCGCGTGTAGGCGTGGCTACCCTCGTTCTGACGAGTGGCTGCCATCGGATGGATGCCACTGGTGACCGGGGCCTCCCACTCCTGGCTGTCGAAACCGCCAGTGCTCGATAGGATCTCGGCGGCTTCCTCGAGGGCACCGCACTCCGCCCCCAGCCGCGCCACCAAAGCCGAGGAGACCACCGACCAGCGACGCGGCTGGCTGTTGTGGAGGCTGCGAAGGACGGCAAAGGCTTCCTGGCAGAGACCGCGCTTCCAAAGCCTAAGCGCCAAGGAGTTGGCGACGGCAGTGCGCATGCGGCTGTCCTCGGCCTCTGCGGCCATGGCCTCCAAAATTCGGATCTCCCGGGTGTAGTCGGAGCTCTGTTCCGCGGCCATCACAGCTGCGGAGTACCCCGAGGCACCGATACCCAGCCCTGCCGTTCGGGTCGCATCCAAGAGCCTGTCCAGCTTCTCCGGGCGCTGCGTGCGGAAGCACGCAAGGGTCATCATCGACAGGGCGCGGCTGCCCAGCGTCGCGCACAGCTCGGGCCGGGCCGCCCGGTCCAGGGCCAGATCTAGCAGCGGGTGGTTGCCCATGCCCAGCGTGGCCAGTGCCCAGGATGCGATGGCCAAGTTGCCACCGTCGAACTTCTGGATGCGCTCGGACGCCGTGTCGGCAATGGCTTGCAGGACCCCCTCCGGACCATGCATGCGGAGCATGGCGAAGGAGTAAAGGAGATTCGCGAAATGGATCGGCTCAAAGCTGTTGCGCTGGTCGTAGCTGACTCGTGCGAGCACGTCCATTGCGGGCCCATGCACGAAGCCCACCTTGCAGAAACCCCAAGTGGTGTTAGTCAGATCCTGCGGATTGAACTCGCACACAACTGCTTCCTTGACAAGGTACATCTCGCAAATCTTTGAGAAAAGCTCGTCGTCCCGATAGCCGACTGTGCAGAAGGACCAGACCACATTGCACACATCGATTGGACGAAGCTGTTCATCCATGTGGCAAGTCAAGGCTGCAGATAAGGCCTCGTAAGCATCCCCCTCACGGAAATCTGCCTTTGCGAAAGCATAGCAGATCATTGTCAGAGAGCCTAGCGGAAAGGTATCCGCACGCAGAACGACAGGCACGGCCAGCTTCGCAAAGAGGTCTAGCCGTCTGTCTCTGTTCGGGATGCTGGTCAAAGCCCACGCAGTTTTGGCGATACTTACCGGGTCGCAAACTGCCAGCTTCCCGCTGTTGCACAAGGCATCCGCAGTTTCCAGGAAAAGTGCTTCTTGCTTGGCGTCTAGGGTCGCCAGCGACCAAATGACATTTGCAGCATCGCGGGCAGTAAGGTCCGCCAAGCATGGCCTCAGCTTTTGACAGCTTTTGGACCACCGTGGGTCGGTGCGGAGCGTTGCGAAAGTAACCGTTCGGACCCCTTTCTTCTTGAAGTGGGCAAGCGCATAGAACAAGTTGGCCCAGTTGGGGGCATCCATCACGTCAGCACTCTGCTGTGCAATGTCGAAGGCCTCACCGGTGGTCGCAGCTGCTGCGAGATCTTTGTCCAAGGCGTAGCACTCGTTCGCCCTGGGGGGCCTCTTAGGCATCACCTCGAAGAATCGGGTTGCAGCGCGCCTTCACCCTTTACAGTGTCTAGTTTCTAAGCCCCCATACGGATATCTGCGTTGTGCTTGGTAGTTTTAGTATTTAAACAAGCAGGGGACAAGGCTTCAATGGGGCCCAAGGATGATTTTGCAAGGGCTCGGTTTCTCGGACCCGAAGACCTCAAACCTTGCCCCTCCTGCCAAGCCACATAAACGTTCCGGCCTGCTTGCACTTGTTCTGCCTCAGCTGCCAGCAGCAAAGGCCCCTGAGTCTTACAAGCGTCTCTTCTGCGACATTGCCCTCACAAACGCACCTGTGGCGATCATGACCGTGGCTAGTGCATGCGGCCCTCTTTCACATCCTTCCGGCATGCATGCATGGGTATCATCCCATGGCTCCCATCTATGGCTCTCTCCTTTTTGACCCCTGGAACTATGCCGGGACGAACGTCTGAGAGCAATGCGGCTACATCTCCTGCTGGGGGTGTGCCCTGCTACCTCTCTCCTAAACCCAAAACCCAAAACCCTGGACCCTAAACCCTAAACCCTTTTGGAACCTGGAAGCTGAACCCTAAACCCTAAACCCTAAACCCTAAACCCTAAACCCTAAACCCTAAACCCTAACCTACGAAAGGCCCAGGAGCCAAGTCGTCCACCATCCGCTCGGGCCTTTCTGGACGCTCCCGTGGCGGCCTTATGGGCCGCTCCGGGGGGCTGAACCTGTTCTAGGCCATGCTTGGGGGATAGTATCAAACCCTAAACCCTAAACCCTAAACTGTTCCTTATTGAGTTTAAGTACCCTTAGAAATTCAACATGTTACCCCACTCTGACAAAGTGTTCTTGGGGGCAACGAACCGTTATAGGGATTCTAAATAGGGGGTATGCTGTAAATCCCTATCGGCGCTATCAAGGACTGATAGGAAAAGGGGGAACATCATAACTTCAAAGGTCTCCTGTGTTTAAAACATCCCACCTTGCGAGCTGTGGGCCCTTGCCATAGAAGGAAAGCCCAGAGCTCCCAGCGGCTGAGGCCGGAGGGTCGGGGTTCAGGGGAACCTCAAAGGAGCTCAACTCCTCCAAAGGGGGAGAGCTGCAGAAATCTCGGCTCTAGGTCGATGGGCTTAACAAAACTGACCGCATGGTGGCTCAAGTGCTGTACCTGCAACCTCCCGCAACCCTCGGCTCCTCTGGGCTATACCACTGGCCGCCGGCCTGGCTGCGCAAGCCGACGCGGTCTCGCGGGTCGGCGGGCTTCTCGGAAGCGCCGTGGCCATTGGCAGAGGGCCCCCGGAAAGAGCCGGAGGCAAAGCTCTGCATACCCCCATCATTTCATGCGCTCCCCCCCCCCTTGTGTTGAGCACAAAGCTGCAGCATGACAACCAGAGGGCCTCAATCTCGCATGCCAAGGCTCATCTTCCCTTAACACTCCGTGATCACTCATGTGCCGCCCCCGAATGTTAAAGCTACCCCTTAAGCCTGTTCTCGGTCCCAACCGTTATTTTACGGCTGCTGTAGTTTTCCCGACCACGAAATCCCCAAACCCCAGAAACTGCAACGCTCAGCAAGAGTCACGGGGACCTCCTGAAAGCGCGGCGGCGAGAGGAAGCTCTGAAGCCACTGCACGGGCACCGCCTAGCTGCTCTAGGCCATAAGGAACTGGATCCTGCTTAAGCCGGATGGTTCAGGGCTATGGGCTAGCCCTGGAATCCGAAATGTCTGTATAAACTCTAAACAGACGATAGGCGCAGGTGACGATCGGAGAGTAGGGCAGCGCACGCCTAAACCCGTGTATTGTGGGTACGAAAAGAGCAAAGTTCCACGAGCATCGGCTTTGTGGCTCGAAGAGGAAGAGTTTGAAGGTGTGGTGTGGGGCCTCAGAGATCTGGGGCCAGTGTCTGCAAGCACCCTGCCGGAGACGAGGGCTTCAGGGAATTGAGCCCCCAAGCCCAAGAAGCCCTGTGGCAAACCTCCCGAACTTGGGTTTTAGACCTCAAGGTCTACAGCCGAACCCCCGCCACCTCGCGCGAAAGCGGCTGCGAGTAGTCCACAGGATCATTCTTGATCTTGCGCCGATCTCCCTCACCTTGGAATGCAGAAGCCCCCAGCACAAGTTCTGTTGGTGCTTCGGGGTGGCCCTAGCACCCAAAGGGCGCTGGAAGGCCCTTGCGTGTGCCCCCGAGGTCTGAATAAACCGGATCTAGCGGTAGCAGGGAGCAACTTACCTGGGAAGCGGGTGCTCCGAACTTCAGCGAAGCTCTCTCAGGCACCTCCAACAACATTGGTAAGTGTAACGCGCGGGGCATGCAAGCCATGTCCTGAATTAAGGGGGGGGGGGGGGGCTATGTTTTGCCCTTTCTTGGGGGGCCACACCCAAAAACCCTCAACCCTACTCATCACCTAGCCCAAACCCGAGGCCCCTAGGTCGTACCAGCCGGCCAAGGGAAGACGCCACTCAGGAGAGGGCGATGAAAGAAGGCGCACAGGTGAGCACGAGGGCACCTGATCCAGTCCCAGCAACTATTTGTTTAATTTGTTTAATTTGTTTAGGGTTTAGGGTTTAGGGTTTAGGGTTTAGGGTTTAGGGTTTAGGGTTTAGGGTTTAGGGTTTAGGGTTTAGGGTTTAGGCACCATCTGCATATTTGAGGGGTTAGGTGCGTGGGATCGCACACGCCCGTCACATCACGCGACTGTGTGTAACACAGAGTCCTGCTCAGTAGCATGAACTGAAGACCGCATTGAAACATCCTTGAAATGAAGGCAAAGGGAATGCAACAAAACAGCGAAACAGCTCTGAGAGGAGTTGAAGCAGCAAGGCTTCGAGTTTGAAGCGGCCTGCGCCGCTGCAGGTCTCTACAGACCAGGGTGCGGAAGTAGTTGGGGTGGTACAGCTGCTCCTGAAGCGGTATTGTGTGGGCCTACTCAGCACATGTAAACCAGCTCAAGCCCCCTTAAGCCCACACTGGAAACCCTGTATCCCGGAATTTAGAACTGGCCCGGTTCAAACCCTAAACCCTGGAATAGCCCGAAATTTAAGTCGAGAGAGCCCCGAGGATTCATTGTCCACTTGTTCCGAGACGTCAGAGGCTGAAAACATTGAAAAAAAGTCTGGATGTGGAATCCCGGAAGCTCCGGAAACCTTTACATCTATAAAGGATACCATGTTACGGCTTGATCAAGTTTAACATCGAAGTGAGAAAATGTACGTATATATGTGTATATGTATACATACTTATACGTATATACACCATGTATGTGCATATATATATATATATACTTCTATGTTTTATACAATTGCCTACCTGCTTAACAATACTCTCAAAAGTCCGCAAAAATGTTAGAAACATACGAGAAGCGGCAACACAACAAACAAAAGGGGCCGTTAAGGAAGCAGAATCAAGCTGGAGTCTATACCGATAAGGGTTGAACAAAATGTGTGCTGGCACCCTAGAAAGCCCGACTCACCCTAAACCCTAAACCCTAAACCCTAAACCCTAAACCCTAAACCCTACTCAGGCCAAAACATGCTCGAACACCCTAAACTCGACAACCATGCATCAATCGGCTCCGCTCCTTTGCCCCGTGCGCAAAGGGGCAGCGTGGACCTCGGCGGCTCTGGCAGGGGGTGTAGGGTTTTGGGGGTTCGACTCGCACTCCCCGCCCAGCTGAGCCCAGGGGGCCACTCTGCAGGGACAAGTCGGGGAAACAGTAGGTGTTCACTGAGCCAGAACCCAAGGCAGACCGATACAATAGCTACACTTCGTACCCCATCCCCTTCCGCGATCTGATTCGCTTGATTCACCCGGGCTTCAGCGGCATGGAAACCCCCCAGAAGCGTAGGAGGCCGCGTTGGAAGGGTTTAGGGCTTAGCGTTTAAGGGGGGGGGGGGAGGGGGGGGGGGGGCCCAAAGCCTCAATGAGGCGACGAAAACACCTTCCGCTTCATCGTGTCCAGCTGCAAGTACTAAGTACTGAGGGCTCTTCAGACCACAGTGCCAGGCGTCGAAAACTACAGGGTGATCCAAGAGAACCACATTCTCGCACCACTACACCCCAACCCCCAAGCCTGATGACATGGCAAGCAAGGGGGGAGAGCCACACTGTTCTCTCGCAAAGCCAGTAAACCACCAACCCAAGCCTGTAGGGTTGTTTGGCTTTGTTGGCCACCCGCCTAGTTGAAAAGGGTTCAGGGTTTCGACTCTCACGCTCGCAGAAGGCTTCGGAGGGTCTCGGTGGTGGGTCGGGTGAAGCATGCATGCAGAGGGCAGTATTGCATTGCCTATGCCCGCAGCATCAGCCCAGAGCCCAAGGAAAGCAGCATCATACACAGCCCGGACACACTTGGGCCTGCTAAAGGGTACTTTGATAAGCATCTTCTGGCGGAAGGAAGAAATTGACGTGTAAGCAAGCGAACCAGGAAAGTATGGACAACAAGCCAAATGCTTCTTGTGGACAGGCAATCGCAGAGATGAATAAGCAAATCAGAGAGCAAGTGTGTAAATATTGGCAGAGTACACGTGCACATATCTTTGAATGCAAATGTGGATGTTCACACAATTATTGTTGGAAGATGCTCTATATGTTTCGATATCTGCTCGCCTTTTCAGCTGTGAACTTTGAGTGTCAGTCACAGTTTGGGACTTCACCTGAGCAACACCCTCCAAGCTCAACAACAGAGAACCCACCAAACACTTGACGGCCGTGGCCACCCACCCAGTGGACAGCGCTGCGAATATGCCAGGCTCGTCTCCTGCTGAAGAAAGCAGGCATTGCCGATACATACTTGCCTAGAGCACTGGTGAGGGGTGAGGGTTACGGGCTCGAGGGTCTTGCAGCCTTGCATGTTCTATGACAGGGCCCCTTCTCTCTCCACAAGGGTGCCAGCATGAGCAATCGCTCACAGTACCGGACTTCTGGCAAGCAGGAGCCTTCGAACCACAAGGCTCTCATCAGGCTTTTGTAGGCTCCTTCTTGTTCCAGTAGGGGCAGAGCTGGTGGCCGTAGCCAATCGAAGGTGGCCGCCGCCTAAGTTCTGCTTGAGGCGATGTAGGCTCCTTATGCTAACAGACTCCTTGCACACCCCCGCTCGAAAGCGCCCACAGAAACACTTAGGAGTAGCGGCAATTGGGTTCTGCGCAGGTCCCCCCCTCCCCCCCAAGTTCGCGGCACGTCTTGGTACGTGTGTGCCTGGGAAATCTGGGGTGATGCTCGTGGATTTGAGAGGGCGGGGAGTTGGGGACCTTGGGGGCTTTGGGAGAAGGGAAGTGGTGACTTCATCAGCACAAGGACTCATGATCCTGGCACTGGCGCGGTTGAGGCCAAAAGGTTTCTAGTAAGCATGGAAAACAACAAAGCCGCAACCTGTAGTGCGAGCTCTGGCTCCGTTGGGGCCCGGGTCCGAAAGGACCAAGGCCCACCCTAGACATCCTAGTGCACCCCTGTCGGGGCCCCGGGCATACATGCAAGCTTGCCAGTCATGCTGTGCTCCGATGGGGCACCTCGCGAAACACCCCCCTGGCTCTTAGTAGGGAATGGGGGAAGTAGGCACCCTACAAAATCCCAAAATCCTTTGAAGGATATACATGTATATATAGATAAGAGGATATAAAGAGTGCCTCATGCCCTCTGTCCCTTCTAAGAACCAGCAAGACACTGAGCTTGGGCCGCACGACAAGATGGAGCTTGGAAAGCCCCATAACTGCTCCAAACATGTGATTCCGCTGCAAACTCCCAAATACAGCGCCGGCTCTGCTTTCAAAAACCTTGGTTTATCTGGAACTCCGAGATTTGGAGGGTTCTGGGTAACCTTCTAATTCAGAGAGCCATTCGGGTGAACCTTCTTAGATTTGTGCTGTTTGGGGTCGTAGAGCCCAGTGACTCTGCTGCTCTTCACACAAGCCCTGACCCCGTGTCAAGTCGGCTGGCACTGGATCTGCCGAGCCTTTCAGGAAAGGAAGTAAATGATTTAGGGTTGGGATGCTCACCCTTCTTATATAGTACCCCCTAGTTTCATCGCTAGTAAGGACTGGTAATTTAAGGGGGCACATCCAAGTTTAGGGACCTGAAACCTCTCTGAACCAGCGCTCGCACTACAAAACTGCCCCAAGCGACCACATCGTCTTGAACTTCTCGGTGAAGAATTCGACCTTGCTCGATTGGGAGGCTAGGGCTCGCAGATATTCTGGAGCCCAACTTTCTCCTCTTGTAGGCCCCAAAGCCTGAAGCCTCAAACCCAGCCAACTTCTGAACCCTGCAAAGAAGTCCTCAACACCTCCACACGTGTTTTTTCAAATACTGTATAAATTTTTTCCGAAGCCATACCGTGAATCGACTGTACGTCAACTTCAAGACACGGCGTTGGCGCAGCAAAAAGGAGGCTCACCCTCTGCAGACGCTTTAGAACTGTCTTTGCAAACCTACATTATAGATGAGATTATCCTGTACCGGGGTTTCTTCATAAGATGTTCTGCCAAGCGTCTCTTCCCGCACAAGCTTCTTTGCATGGTGTATCCAAGTTTGCCGGGGCTTCCCAACTCGCTTTTTGCCATACTCGATTCTAGTGGCACTGCTGGGCATAAACGATACCTGTCTTAAAGGATCTGAATCTGTGCTACGAAGTATATGACCTAAAAGCTTAGCCCGTCGTAAATTATGGAGTTCACTAAATAGTAGTATCTTTCGTTGGTCGTCCCGGCTTGGAAATGCTATCATACTTGCTGACTGTATAAACACTTCTAGATATGTATACATATATATATATATATAGTTTTTGTTTATTTATTTATATTTCTATTTATTTATTTATGTATGTTTATAGTTATATTTTTTTTATTTTTATATCTATATACTTATTTGTTTATTTATATTTGCTTATTTATTTGTTCATTTGTTCGTTCGCTTGCTGATTTAATTGTCTCTGCATTTATGTCTTTACTATGCTATATACAAAAATATTCAAGACCCAGATCGGAATAGCAGGGCTGGCGCCGTCAGCGCCTCGGGCGCTGCCGCCTCCTCCTGGTGCCAGAGGGGTGTGTGTAGCACACACGAAGGGAGGATCCCGGCGTCTGAGGAATGCATCAAGGAGCAGGCAACCCCAAACCGGCATAACAACTTGCAAGGCTCTTTTTTCAGCAGCACCTCGGATGGGCCTGCGTGGTCTGTGGCAGGCTGATCCATCTCGATATAGATCTCATGATAGGGGCATGCCGCAAGACGGCTCCTATTCTAAGGATTCTAAACTCTGAGATTCTGACGCTACGACTTCGACTCAACCCATGCGCCGCAAATGCGACCGCTACTCCCGCTCACCGGGGCGATGAGACTCATCAGTGTGCAGGCATGACCCTTTTTACTTTACAAGTAAATCTTGCCGGAAGCTGCAGGGGGACCGACAACCGCCGCCATAGCGGAGGCCAGTTGCAGGCTCTGCAGTCCCGTGTCTGGGACAAAAGGCAGCAGTGGAGTCCATAAAAGCTCAGGAACAGATACATCGAAAGGGAGCGGGGAAGGGGGAGCAACCACCCAAGATTCTACCAAATCCAGCTGGCCAAGCTAGCCCCGTGACCTCATACTTCCCCTTAGCCTAGGAGGGAGTCAAAGTGCGGACGCCTCTGCTGCCCACTTCGGGCTTGTCACGGCTCCTTGTCCGAACGCGCTCAGAGCGGCGATTCAAAGGCTCCTGAGGCAGGCAAGGCCGCCGGCCCAGGTGATCATTTGCTGGCCGCTGCAATGGCCTTGCACTTCTTCAGGCACTCGCCGGCGTCCAGATCCTCCAGCATGTCGAAGACAGACTTCTTGCCGCCCTCGAACTCGACGGCGGGATCGTCGAACCACTCCCTTGCCATCTTCATGCTGACGCCACTGGCCAGAAGCGCCTTGCCGAAGGCGTCCTTGCTAACGGAGGCCCGAACCCAATTGGATCGCTCCGCCAGCGCCTCGAAGGGCGAGGCGGAGGCGTGGACTCCGTTGTCACCCGTGTCCGGCTGGGCCTTGAGCCCCAGGTCGCTCCAGTCCTTGTAGATCAAACCACGGAGGGAGTCGGCAGGGGCCGAGGCCGGGTCAGTGGGGCCTAGGAGTTTGCCTCGGAAGTCTGCCCAGGCCATCTTCTCCGCCGGCCACTCCACCTCGTAGTAGTAGATGCTGGTGCCCGGGGCGGTGAACTTCGAGCGCATGTTCATGTAGAAGCCGTTGATGACGTAGATGTCGTCCACCTTGCCGCAGTAGAAGCCGCCACCGAACTTGATGATCGTCTCGCCCTTCTTGAGCTGGTCGTACTTCTTGCCCAGCTCGTCGGGGCTGATTCCCAGCTTCTTGGCACCATCCATCGCGTTGAAGACCAAGCCGTCCTCCATGACCTTGCTCCATTTCACCCCGAACTGCTTCTCAAACTCCTCCTGAGCCTTCTCCTGGACCGTCAGGTCCGCGGGCTTCATCTTCACAGCCTTGGCGGCAATGGCGCCGTAGTGGGTGTCAATGAGCTTCTTCTTGTCAATGAGCTCCGCCTTGATCGCGCCCTCGTGCTTGATGGTAAGGCCCGCATCTGTCAGCTTGTCCTTCACGAGCGTCTTGACCTTCTCGGTCACGGCGTGGGGCTTGATGAAGACGAAGGCGGTGTGGGTCTTGGATCCGGCCTCCACGATCTCAGCGTTGAGGCACTCTCCCGTGGTCTTCATGATGATGTTGGTGACACGGTAAGGGTCACAGTTGGCCGCCGGGCGCCGGTCCTCCATGTAGCCGCGGCCTGCCTTCTCGGCATCCCGGGGGATGCGGATGGAAGCGCCGCGGTTGGCGACTCCATACTTGAAAGTGTTGATGTCGCAGGTCTCGTGCTTTCCCGTGAGGCGCTTGTCGTTGCCCTCACCGTACTCGGCAATGTGATCCTTGGCCACCTTGCCGAAGGCCTCGCAGACCTTGATGATGCAGTCGTAGCCGCCCTGGATCCGCATGGGTGTCACCGAGAAGTTCGTGTGGCAGCCGGCACCATTCCAGTCACCCTCCTTCGGCTTGGGGTCGAAGGAGCAGACGCAGTCGTGCTTCTCGGTGACGCGCAGCATGATGTAGCGCGACATGGTCAGGTGGTCACCCATCTCGATGCCGCGGCACGGGCCGACTTGGAACTCCCACTGACCAGGCATGACCTCGGCGTTGATGCCCGAGATCTTGACGCCAGCCTCAAGGCACATCTTGTAGTGCTCATCTGCCACTGGCCGGCCAATGGCCACGTTGTAGCCTGCACCTGTGTAGTACGGTCCCTGAGGGGCCGGCTCGGAGCCGTCCGTGTTGAAACCCAAAGGCACAGTCGGCTTCAAGCCCACCTTGCCTGGCTTCATCAGCGTGTACTCCTGCTCGATGCCGAACCAGGGATCGAGTGACTTGTACATGTCCATCGTCTCGGCGCAGGCGGCACGGGTGTTGTTCTTGGCAGGCTTGTCGTCCCAGGCCTGCCAGGCATCCGCCAGCACCATCACATGCGGGAAACCCCGGAAGGGGTCGTTAAAAATCGCACGAGGCTTCAGGAGCACCTCTGAGTTGTGCCCATCCGCCTGGCCGGTGCTGCTTCCATCGTAGTTCCACACCTTCAGGTCGGAGACCTTGGTCGGTCGCGCGGTCATCGTCATGGTCTTGGAGCGCGTGACGCCGTCCGCATCCAGCCACACGTACTCGGCGAGCACGCAGCGGCTGAAGGTGCGGAGCTTGGCCAAGCCCGAGGCGCCGGCATCCTTGCCAGTGCGCAGGCCCTTCGGCTCGTCATCGTCCTTTGACTCCTTCTTTGGCTTCGGTTTCTCGGTCTTTGCCTTCGCCTTGGCCTTGGCCTTGGGCTCGGGCTTCTTCTTGTCCTCCTTCGAGGGCTTGGCCACCTTGCCCTTGCTCTGTCGAACCTTGATGGGCTTGCAGTGGTTGTCAAAATACTCCTCCAGCTCCTGGCAATTAGATCACAGCATGAAACAGCATGAACCCCCACAATGCTCGCAACATGACTCGTTACAATCGCTCGCAGCATGAACCCCGCCAATGCTCGCAGCCGGATTTACGGCATCGCGCACACCCATCGTTGCATTCTGCGCAGCCCTCGCACAAGAGTCACAAGAGCCCCTTGCAAGGTGCCCCTGAGCTCCTTTTTCTTGTACGTCCCCTTGTAGTGCGCCATGAGCTCCTTCAGCGTGTACGCCTCGCCGGTCGCTGGGTCGACTTTCTTCTCGGCCATGATTGCAAAAAGGCTTCGAAGGATTGCTTTCCAGGCTCTGATCGGGAGGCTATGCACGCCAGTTGCGGAAGTAGGCTCGAGCTCCAACAGCTTGCAAACACCCAACGTTCCCCCTGCATGCCAGCATCTGCATATATCTGCATCGTCATCTGCTTGCAGAGCCCCCGCCCCCCCCCACCCCCCCCCCTTGCTAATTACCGCCTGAAGTGGTGAGACCTTGGGCTGATGCCATCAAACATCCCAATCCCCCCGTGCGCACCTCTGGTGTCAGCAGGGGTGCCGTGACCTTGCAGGATGGAGGGCGCGAGCCTACTCATCAAGGAAAAGGTTTGAAAGGGCTTTTGAGGGTCCAACAAAAGCCCTGGCGAAGGGGGCTTGGGCTGAAATTCACAGCGGCAGAGCTTCACAACTTCTAGGCCGCAACCCCTTGACGGCCCTGCGTCAACCCTGGCCCTAAAGCCCACCAAGCCTCTGCCCGGGAGTGTGCGAAAGAGCAGCTCACACCATGACCTCAGCAAGGGGTACGGTTTTCGAGCTTTGAGCTTTCGGGCGTGTTTGGGATCAAGGTGTTAGGGATCAAGGAGCTCACGCAGCAGGTCGATGCGCGGAACGAGGCCGAGGCGGCATCGTGCGATGTTCGGGTAGGTGGCGCAGTAGCGTTGCTTCTGCTGAGGCACACCTTGTCGCAGCCGACACTCTGAAGTGTAGAACTTCACACTCAAGTGACTCAAGTGACGTCATCCCAGGGATTGTCGAGTTGACTGCGTCTCGGAGGACTCGGGGCGAGCTTCTTTCACTGTGGTTTTTGGGCGTCTCTTTAGCAGGCGGGGGCTTAACTTGAAGTTTGGAATTTCTGGCTGGATCATGAGGGCTTCCTTTCGGCACCTGAGCTTGCACTTCACATGGTGCCGAGTTCATTTTGCGAAAGGACAACCGAAAATGCAGAGAACTGCCCTTTCTCCCAGACCCGTAGCTTTGAACCCTGAAAGGATTGGACGTAGGGTTTAGGGTCGTTTTTTTCAAGGTTTAGGGTTGCGTGGCGTGCACCTTGGGCACGCAACGTGGGGATGTGAGGGGTTGGGCACTTGGAGGCCCTGGACCTTCTGGGCGATTGTTGCTACCAACCTTGTTATGATTGGATTGGTATGGCCCAAAAAGCTCAAAATGACCTAAAAGCAAAAAACAAACTTGAAACCCGAAAAAACCTCTTTTAAAACCCTGTTAACAAAGAAATACCCTAGAATCTCATGATAGTTGTCCGCCGCCCCTGCCTCGGCTGTAGCTCGACCCACTCCACCTGGCGCCATTCTTCTTTTGCACTGGGCTTGACGGGGTTCAGGGAGGTAACAGACGCAAGGGAGACATCCCCGAAAGGACGGCCCTCGACTCATGGCCTCACCAGAATACTTTCCGAAGGGCCGTCTGCTATCGAAGGGTCCAGATTAGGGCTTCCAAAAGCAAAGAGTGCTGCCATGATTGCTGGCGCTAAACAACCCCTGTTTGCACGGGCTCAAGCACTTTCCGCTGTGTTGGAACTGCGTTCCGGACTATGTGGGGGTTGAAGCCCAAAACTCTTGGAAATTTAGGGTAACTTGAGGGTCTGCGGTTCAACATGCAACAATCGATGGTTTCAAGATCGGCTCAAATTCGATCTGCCCTTGGTTAGAGCTCCGAGAGGGTTGGGTGGCGGACTTCGATTCGACTCGTTGCTCGGTTCGGGCAGTACTCGTCCCTGGCTAGATTTATGAGGCGCATCAGCACTGCTGGTCTGGAGTCGGCGTCAAAATCACTCGTTTAAGCCTTGCTTGTTTTTGAATTAGCGCGTCCCCTATCGTTTCCCATGTTTTTCACCTACCGCACTTTTATCCTATCGTATCAAATAACAATATCATTCGGCGTTTTGCTGCAACAACTACCCCCTCTACTAAAATGAGCAAGCGGTAATGTTGACCACGTATCTAATAATGCTCCCCCGCAGGAGACTGGGCACACGACGCAGGAGGCATCATCCACGGCATCATTTGGCCGACGGGCATCTGCCACTCCTGGCAGGTTGTAGAACTCAAAGCCGATACCCTAAACCCTAATAACCCTAAACCCTAAAAACCCTAAACCCTAAACCCTACCGTAAACCTAAACCCTGAACCAAGACCTCAGCCGACCTAGATACTTGATACGATGGGGATCCGATGAGGGAGCACGCACCCAAATGCTGGGTAAATACGAGCCCTCAGCGAAACCTCGAGAGTCTGCTCTCACACGAAGTGAGCAGTGGCGTGCCCGCGATCTGAGTGTTACAGCTGTGGAGACCGATCCCCTAAACCCTAAACCCTAAACCCTAAACCCTAAGCCCTAAGCCCTAAGCCCTAAGCCCTAAACCCCAAGCCCTAAGCCCTAAACCCACTCGAGTCCCCAGACTTGAAGAGGCCAACAAAGACGCCCTCATCGCAGGACTCGGGTTTTGTGCTCACGCTTCCCATTAAGACTCGGGTCCACTGCGCCAAACTCGGAGCCCTGAAAGCCCTAAAAATGCACAGGGGCCTTCAGCTGCACACATACATACATACATACATACATACATACATACATACATACATACATACATACATACATACATACATACATACATACATACATACATACATACACACATACATACATATACACATACATACATACATACATACATACATACATACATACATACATACATACATTACATTACATTACATTACATTACATTACATTACATTACATTACATTACATTACATTACATTACATTACATTACATTACATTACATTACATTACATTACATTACATTACATTACATTACATTACATTACATTACATTACATTACATACATACATACATACATACATATACAAGACATACACATACACATACATATACACATACACAATGAACTCGCACTGCGAATCGGCTCCCCTGCAACCGGCCCTCAGGTCACCTCTCCAAGGGCCTGGTGAAATTCGGCTGCCTCAGCCATCCGGCAACCAGCTTTTCGCACTATGACTGGGCGAGGGTATCGGCTTCCCGTTTTTGGATGATGTTGCATCGTCGTGCTATACGGAGTTAGGTCTTTCGAAGCTCTTGTGGGGGCGACTCTCGGACTAAAAGGCATTGGCCAGATGCAAGGGCAGCTTGACACGCATGATAGGGTGAGCATCAGGAACCGAGTCGTACCGAACCTGCCGCCACATGGTCTAAGGCTTCGGTGTAGCCTTGAATCCCCGAAAAAAAACCCGTCTTCCCTCTTCGGGGCCACACCAGCTGCTCATCTGTCTCCACCACATACTGGTCCTCCATGTCTGCGTTCTCTTTGCCTGCGGGCAACAGGTTCTTCCTCCACCTTTACGACTCTGGTGATTGAACGATGCCAGGGCAGTAGCGCGTCGATGGCTTCCACAGATGTTCAAAAGTTGACGTGCTATTCGGGTTCGGATCATGGTTAAGGAATCAAAGAGCCGGGTGCTTCTTGGCCTGCGAGCAGGAACTTACCACTCCCACCCGTTCAAAGGGCGCCCTGACTTGCAAACCAGTCTTTCAGGGGGCCACTGATCCCTTGCCCGGCCTCACCGTCCCCACTTGGATGTCTAGGCAAGACTCGCACAAAAAGGCTTGGTTAAGCCACAAGCCGCAGCACGCAACTTCGACAGCAGTGCATGGAGCTGGTAGGCTACTTCAAGGGCCCCCGGGCTCTCGCCAACAAGGGCATAGCATGTCCAACGCATGCCTGCAGGAAGTTGCATCAGAATCATCGCCGACGTGCACGTTTCAACTCTCTTTCCGCATGGCTGGGAAGCGTGCCAGGTGCTTTGCTCGTGCCCTGCCTCGGCCCTGCCGGTGCTTTGCACTGGGAGGCACGTTCCTGTGGGCCCTTCCCCGTCCAAGCATATGCAAGCGAACGCTAGAGAACTCCTTTGTCTGTGTAATGCCAGAACCACAACCCCAAACCCAGAACTCTTGTTGCTTAAAGGACACTTGGGTACTTCCCAAAATAGACCGCTTTAAAACCCCAAATAGAATAGAAGCCCCTTAAAGGGACCCTAAAAGGGTACCCATATTTCTCTCTAAACGGAGCTCAGCGCAGAATCGGCTGCAGCTGACTTGGGCTGCTCAGGTCCTCGGAGGTTCTTCTCGGTTTGGGTTTCGGAATTTAGATTTTGGGGTTTAGGGCCTAGGACTTCAGGATTCTAGGGTTTAGGGTTTAGGGTTTAGGCTTAGGGTTTAGGGTTTAGGGCTTAGGGGTTACTTTCAGCTGCCTGGCATCCTCACCGTTGGACCTACCTGGCAACCGCTTTGGGCTGAGGTTTAGCGTGATGGGGTCACGGCTTCGGGCACAAAAGGGATCAAGAGGCTTGCTTGGGATGGCCTGCGTTCAATGAGTCAGTGAGTCACCCTAAGCCCTAAACCCTATTATAAACCCTAAACCCTAAACAGCTTGTGGAGTTTTGTGCAGGATTTTTCAGGCTCCGAGCCCGACCATGAACTCCCGCGACGGACCCAAGGCGCGAGAAAACTTGAGGCTTAGTTTGGGGGTTCCCGGGTTTAGGGTTCCAGGGTTTAGGATTTAGGGTTCAGGGTGCTGAAGCGCAGTCTCAAGATTCAGTTCGATGTTGACCATGTACCTGAGCAAGAGGGGCAGTCTAGAGATCGCCCTGGCCCCACGCAACTCCCAGCAAACATGAAAAGAGACCGGGGGGGGGACAGACAGCAATAGCATGATCGTAAGAGCAGCATGTCGCAAGGGACTAGGCTCTGACTTATGTTATGCCAACGGCCGCATGACTTGCCCAGCCTTTCGAAACGCAAACCCTCTTCCCCTTCGCAACCCTCCGCGCATCGCGCGCCAGGGTGCCCAAACTCGGAGCCACGGCTCGGATCCTACATGAGGGTTCAGGCTCACGACTTCGCACACATTTGATGGAAGCAGCCCAAAAAACACTCATGCGAGCAGCGTGCATGTATGGCACGCAGTCAACTACCCGCTTCAACCCAGAATGCCCCCGGGGCCTGCAGCAAGAGCTCATCTCCATGGCTGAGCATGACCTGCGAATGTCTCCATGCAATTTGCGCCTGACTACGCTCTCCATCTGATACCCCAAGTCATCTGATACCCCAGTGGGGCAAGGAGATCAAGTCTTGAGCGTTCTTCTGGCCAGCAAGACCACTGTGATGAAGAACTCAAGACCGTAGTCTGTTGCAATGAAGATCGCATTTTGGCTTCGCTGTGCCGGTTTGCGCACGCACGGTGCTATCAGGAACTTGGATGCCTCAGCCATGTTCGCTGTTGTGCGCCGTTCTGAACCTTGCAACATTATACCCGCTGCTGTCTGAGATGTGCAGCCGAACCCTGTGCATTCTTTTCTGTAGAAACCTCGCGTGTGCTGCTAAAGCGATTTTGGTCACCGAAGACAGATGTGGTCGCTCATTAACACATATGGAACAGAAAAGAGTTTTCGCGACACGAGTGCTTCCAAAAGCCTCATGTTCGTCATGCATGTGGCGTTTCGATTTTTGGCGAAGCACGCAAATGCCTTGGATCAAACACATTTTCATGTACATGTGCTGCAAGCAACCTGTTCATTGCAACGTTGTTAGGTCCTGCGACTAAATACCTTTCTGTGGGCCATCTCAATAAGTAAAGCTCCGTTTTGCTCTGACAACGTGTTGAGAGACTGTACAACCTGGAAACCTGTTTGTAGCTGAGTCTAGGCTGTTTCCTGTAGGGCCGTAGGGTTCTGATCTAAACCTCTTGCAACCTGACCTCACAGAGCTCCCACCTTCGCACTCCCCTTTGGGGGCAAACGCCGGGCGTTGAGGAAGGTTCCGTTCCTTGTCTCCGACGGCGTCAGCGTTTGGTGGGGCAGCTTGGCTACTTAGGTGAGAACCCGAAACCCTAAACCCTAAGAGTCGCCTGGGAAGCTTTCGGGGGCCCGGATTGCAGAGCTCGGAGCGAAACAAAAAGGGTGCCATTGAGTGAGGAGGGTTCTCTCAACTTGCGGCCGGAGGGCGTCGAGGTGTCCACGACGTACCTGAGTTGCAAAAAAAATGGAAGCAAGCTTCCGGGTTCATAGGGTCACGGGCCACTGCACTTTCCCAATGCCAGGATGTGCAGTTCTGGGGCAAGTTAGAGGGTTCCCAAGGGAGGGGTAGGTACCTAGGGAAGCTTAGGGAGCTTAGGGAACCTTAGGGAGCTTAGGGATCCTGAGGGATAGGTAGTAGGGAGTATTCGGCAACCTTGGGTATATCCCCCTCCTGAGGAACCCTCTAAGCAAGCGGGGCGGCGGCAAAAAAAAACAATTCTTGAGAACTTCACTGCCGCGCAAAACTGGACCACTTCGACGTGACTTGTATATCAACGCACACCCGGCCAGCCAAATATAGACTTGCGGGGCTCTCCGGGTTATAGGAACAACGAAGAAGGACCTATGAAACCACCTTAGCCTCAGAAGGGTGCAGAAAAAGAAGCTCTTCCTGAGGAATGCTGACAATCAACCACCCCTTCTCAGGAAAGGCAGGTGACACCGAGCCCTTCTCCGGTTGAAATTCGACCTCGGAAGAGGGGTGTGGGGGAGCTTTGGAACTTGTTATGCGGCTGAATCACCCGCCTTCAGTCTACCCTGGAAACTGTTCCTTGCGCAAACTGCGGTGAATCGACTTGATCCTACATTGGTCGTCTTGAAGGGGCTCTGCAATTCGAGGGCTTTTCATGCCCAAAGCGTTTGACATGTCCCTACAATGTGCCGTTGCAGCCAAGTCGCTACCGCGTGCGAACGCGAGACGCAAGGACCTTTTACCTGCGCACCCCCTAGTCTGGCAGGTGTCTACCAAACCTTGCCGCAGTATGCAGCATTCAAGGCTTTATCGGGCTTCGGGAGGCAGAAGTCTCGAGATGCGTGAAGTCGCACACACACACACACACACACACACTTACTTCATTCCATGAAATTAACCTCACAAGTCTTCGCACAGTGGGTTTAAGAATCCTATCCCAACCCTCCGGCCCGCGCTCAGCTAGCCGCCGAACCTATCTACTGCATTTCTGTTCTTTCACCCACGGCCCTCCTGCCTCATACAGACTTCTACACTACACATCCATAAGAAGCCCATGAGACATGGAACCTAACAGCCCACTAGCCCTTACCGTGACAACTAAGCCAAACACTCTGCCCAAGAGGTTCATAGGGTTAGGAGCTTGGGGATAAGGGAGGAAAAAACAACGACGAGAAGAATGATGATCACTAATCATACCTCCAAGAATATTGACAGTAGTATGTGCGGTAGCAGACAAATTCCAGCAACTGCAAGTAAACAGTAGCAACAGCACTAACCATTAGATTTTCAAGAACCGAAAAAGTCATGACAATAAGACTAAGCACAACGATAACAATCGCAGTACTAACACAAAGAAGATAAGTCCCTCAGCACAGCTACGCAACACTACAACCCCAAATCCAAAATCCTTGCCACATTCGCAAAAGGCCTTGGTCACTTAAGGCGTCGGTGTCATGCTCACGCTTTGACAAAGCCAACGGACTCCGTAGTCCGCAGCGAGTCCCGCTAGCCATGCTGGGCCCCACGTCGCCATGTCTGGGGGGGCTTTGTCAATTCAAGCAAGCTGCCCTGAGCGCGCAGTTGGCATCTGTGCCGATGGCGAAGGTGGCCTCAATGCTGCGACCCGAACCCGAACACAAAAGCAGCACAGGGCCGAGGCCATAGATGGGGCTGGCTGCCTTAAGTTGTGGGAGGACGTGCCTTCTCCGTCGTCAGCGTCTTCGTGAAGTCCTGGTGCGGTTTCGGATCTGCGGGCCACTTGCCTAGTTGGGTAATCGACACGGCAAGGATGCAACTAAACATAGCCCAACTATGACAACATGAGGAACGACCATCGCATAAATACTAATAACACTAAAAAAAAGAAGAAGAACAAAGAAAAAACCCAGGTTCAAAACGCCAGAAGAGCCCGACCCCCCCCCCCCCCAACTTAGACTATGAGCCACTGTTATCCGGCTGTTGATTTGGTCATGTTTTGTTTATCACCCGTAGAAAACAATGTCTCTCAGCCCGGACCAACCAAGGTGGCAGGCACAGTTTTTGGGTTTAGGGCCAAACCACAGAGCTCACGATTCAGGGTGCTCCCTCCTGCACAGCTGGGCGAAGCGCATCGCTTAAGCCCTCCGAAAATTCCGAAAGACGATCCTCTTAAAGCCCAGACAGGACAGACCCCTCCCTCGGGGATCCTTGAGGCCGGGGGCCATGGAGGCCAGGCGCACCCGGGCCTGGATGGGGCTCAGGGGCTGAAGGAGTTTTAGGGGAAGGGGCTGTGAGATTTTGCTCAAGGTGGAGGTTAGGCTTGGGGTAGCTCTGGGGCTCCGAGTGGGGTTGAGGGGGATCTAAGGGGCGCGGGGCTTGGGATGTTGAGTGAAGGATCAGCTGGTGGGAGCTTCTTCGGGTGGCTAGGGGCCTGATGCGACCGACATGCACCTCGACTACAGCGGGCGCGCGCCTTGTTACGAGACATGCAGAAGAATTGTACAGTTCGGATTTTTCCCTGCCTCTTGCAGAGATGTAGAGCCTCACACGTATGAGCAGCTTGGCGCGCTGCTGAATGTTGAGCTTCTGCCACCTTCCTGCTCTTGGAACCTTGATACAATCTACCCACACAAATCGCATCATACAAGCAAACAACAGCTACACAACACTTCCAAGAGCATCCCAGGGCTCGCTACGAAGGACAGACTCGCTCATGCAATTGCAGAAGCGAGCTGTGAGACCTGTGCTCTCTGATTGGGGGTTGTTCTACATTAGGGTCCCTTGTACGTCGCTCAAGGGAATCATTCCCTTTATGAAAAAAAGAACAATCCCCTCTTCGGGCTGGCAAGTCCCCAGGCTCAGTACATCCTTCGAGCCCGTCACTCAATGCCATCCCTGTGCTGTCTGCATCACTGCCCCTGTGCTAGGGAGGGGCCCTCGACAGCCCTAGGTGAAGGCAACAAGGCTCCCTTGCTGTTACTACAGGCTACCTAGCCGTTTCATCGCCTTGACTTGCTATCCTTTGTTGTGCTGTGCTTCAAGGGCCTGCCCCCCCCCTCCTGCCGGGTATCCCGTGCGTGCAGCTTCTTCGAGGCCACACGTAGCAACCGAAAAACTAGGACGACACGGCTTGAGCCAGTCCGTGGGTCGACTACGCACGCTTCATCCAGTTCATGGAGTGAAGGCTGTGCCTTTTAGGGCCAGGCCTCAACCCAAGAGGGTAAGCATCGGGCCTAGCTGTCATGAGCACGCCCCCAACAACTCTGAAGTGGAGATGAGTACATTCCCCTTGCCATAGTTTGGGCGCGAGAACTCTCTGCTTACATTGCTTACCCGCCGGTGGCAGTGGTTGGTCCCTTCCCGGTCATCAGGAGACCTCACCTTCGCCCAGAAGCGAACTCAGACTGCTGACCACATTCGCAAACTGACCTGGAGCACAAGCATGGGGTCCGACCCAAGATGTTGTTTTGCCAGGACTTTGAGTCCGACAGCGTATACCCCAGACTTCCCTAAACCATAGGGCGGAATTAAGCCGACTCCAGGCCCGAAGCAACCCGACATAAGCGCAAAAGGGTACTGAGGAGCAGCGAGACCTTGAACACCTCCAGCTTCTCCAACATGCGCAGGAGCGTAAGGCTCGGCCACGCCTTGCCATTGATGGCATAGATGCTGGAGTAGGCCTGGATCTCGTTCAACCACTTCTAACGGCCCCCCCCAAAGCCCCCCCCATGTCACAAGGCGAATCCTCAAGGTTCCCTGTCGGTGCCTGAATCTGCATCCCTTTTCCTGCGGTGCTGTTGTAGTGCGGGATCAAGCCCTCCTCCAGAACCTTCAAGGAGCGGAAGGAATCGGGGCAGGTGTTGGGGCTTCAAGGTCTCGAAGAATGTCGGGCTTCAGTTTTGGGTGATTGGATGTTTCGGCTTCGGACGGGTGTTTTTAACGGTCTCGGCTCTTGGCGCCTTCAGGACAACGATGCCCAAGTCGCCCTCGCTAGCCTCAGTTGCCCAGGCTTTGGACGACCCCACACACCGGGTGACCTGCCCTAAACCCTAAACCCTAAACCCTAAACCCCAAACCCTAAACCCTAAACCCTAAACCCTAAACCCTAAACCCTAAAACCTAACCAAGAATTCAGCTCCACATCCTCAAACCCAAGCCCCCATGCCCTGTCAGATCCTCGCACCGAGACCTCCTATAACCCGGCTCTCCCTCTTCCTCACCCCATCTGGAATCCCCAAAATCTGGAAACTCTCGAAACCCCCCCGAACTTTCCCCCCGCAGAAACCCAAAGGATTCGAACTCCAAGGAGCCGAGACCTCCAGGCCCAGCTTCCTGTTCTCTTTGGCCTTCCCCCGCCGGAGCTCGATGGCGAAGTTCCGGGGATGCTGCAAGGAGATCTTGACCTCGCCCGCCTCCTCAGCAAAACCAGGGCTCTCAGAGCCCTGCTCCCGGGCACCCCCCCCCCAGCAGCCCAAAAAAAAGGGGGCCTGGATTTCAAGCCTTTTTGTGGACCCTCAAAGTTAAGAGTTTATAAGGTCCAGGGGGTCAATAGCCATGAGAGCGTAAGCCCTTCAGACAAGTTGGCCCATCAGCCCCAAACCGACCGAGCATCCATACTTTCAGATTAACATCCCCTACATTCCCTCCAAGAATCCAAGAAGATATCCTCAGGCCCTTATTCAGAGGCCCTGGCACTCAGGGACCCGGTCGATCCCCCCAAGAAAACCCTAAACCCTAAACCCTAAACCCTAAAACCCTAAACCCTAAAACCCTAAACCCTAAAACCCTAAACCGAACTTCAAAACGTTGCCGAAAGATGGCGCGCCAGAGCATCCCGGAAGAGTGCCAGGAGTTCCTCGGCACTGCCCTTCGTGTCGTTCACGGCGACGACACGATCCATGCTCCGGACTTGGACCATCTCGTCTCGTTGCCTTGGTTTTCGTAGGGAATGGAGGAATTCGGTACCCTTAGATACTCCCTGAATGGGTACATATCCTTCCCTCCTTCCCTACTCAGAACCAGCCAGTGGGGCTGAATGCGAAGTTCAACCCAGGGCTCAACCCTTTCCACTTTTGCATCCGGGCTCTACGCGAGATCTGCCGGAACCAGACAGGGCTCAACCCTAAACCCACAAACCCTCTTCCAGGACGACCAGGGTGTTTAGGGTTCTTGCTGTTTGTCACATGCCAAACTGACCTGAGGACACACCGGCTCACAGCAACCAAGCTGACTGTCGTCACTCCACAGGCACAGACCGGGGACTCAAAAGCTGCTCAGGAAGGGCAAGCAGCGCAGCTTCAGTCGACAAGCACGAGAGCTACATGAGTCCAACATGAATAAGCTGAAGATACAACATATCTGCCGACCCTCAGCTACGCGTGCTGCGTGCCCTGCTCGTTTCATTTGAGCCTACAGCCCATGCGGCAGTGTCACTCCCGTTCATGCGCGTTGTGCGAATCCAAGCCGACCCCTATTGTCTGTGGCTGCGCAGCTATACTATACTGTAGACACCGTGCGTGCCGGGGAATGATTCTCACAAAAGACCAAGTTGCATGCTGTTCCACTGGGCAATGTGGTCAGACCCAACGTCCTCCACGACGAGCAAGTCCTCGACATGTCCGAACCTGATGCCCGCATGACCCTCCATCTTCGCGAAGGATATCATGAACACGTCGGGAATCTCCTCAGACCTCGCGTTTCAAGCCCGTCTGCAAGGTTTGTTTAGGGTTTAGGGTTGTAGGGAACATGCTGCTGAACCTCTGCGCGCTCCTGTTCGCTGAGACGAACCGAATGGATCAGCTTGTTGCCTGCTTAAACTTAACCTGAGAAGATCAAAGTCCATCGAACCGCTGCACATCCCGAAGGTCATCCCGATTCCCCTCCCCCGAATACCCTAAACCCTAAACCCTAAACCCTAAACTTTGCCCTAAACCCTAAACCCTAAACCCTAAACCCCAAACCCGTAAGTTGCTTGATTCTAGCGGCACGGTCGCCACGAAAGCCGGTGGCATGTCCTCGTCTGGTGCAGTCAACTGCGGAAGTTGCGCGGACAGTTTCGGCTGCACCTGGAAACGCCAGGCAGGTTCAGGGTTTAGGGTTTAGGGTTTTGGTTCTTTTTCGCTCCCGCATAGCTGGCCGAACCGCAGGCAGGGTAGGTCAAGGATTTAGGGTGTAGGGTGTAGGGTGTAGGGTGTAGGGTTTAGGGTTTAGGGTTTTAGGGTTTAGGGTTTAGGGTTTAGGGTTTAGGGTTTAGGGTTTAGGGTTTAGGGTTTAGGGTTTAGGGTTTAGGGTACATCGGGTTTGGAGACTTCGGGCGGCGGACTAATGTTTGCACCGGGGGCTTTGCTCAAGGAATTAAACCGGTGGCACAAGGAGTTAACATTCTAGGGCCTAAGCCCTAAACCCTAAACCCTAAACCCTAACCCTAAACCCTAAACCCTAAACCCTAAACCCTGAACCCAAAAAAGAACTGCAGAGTCGGTGGATGAGGCGCATGGGGCGGCTCATTTCCTGTCGTGACATCGCTGTCCACATTCACTTCGTCGCCGTCTGGGCTGTTCCAGGGGTCCGCGCACAAACACGATAGCATGGCCCGGGGCGCGAGGGCTAAAGGCCTACGGCCCAGGCCACACCGCTCTTGAACCAGTCTACCGGCCGCACCAGTTGAGGTTCAGAGGGGGGGATTCCGGGATTTCTAAACAATAAACACTACAAGAAGACCCGGAGTCCACTTGTTACTTAGCAACTCGCGTAGGCCACGACATCGACACCTTTCGAAACGGCACGTATGGGGACTCAAGAGTTAGGCTCTCTACTTGCGTGTGCACGTAATACGCCGTCATGAAGTTGAAGCTGTCCCTCACATCTCCTGTGCTATCTTGGCTCAGCTTAGGCCGCCACAGACTTGTAATCCTGGGACTTGTGGCTGATGAGAAGGCTAGGGCATTTAGTGGCAGTTTAATGAACCCGGGCCCCTTTGGTCCCTAATTTGGAATAGCAAGGACTTTGCGGTTGAGGGTTGGGCCGCTTCAGAAGAGGCTGTTCAACAATGGGCACGAACAACGCAGGGCCCACATCAAGGTCTTGGCAACGTAAAGTTCAACAATGGACATGAATTTTCACATGGTCGCTTCTCTAAATTACGGTCCTTTCTTGGGGCTACTGTTATAGGACCCTAATGTTTGAGGTACCCCAAAAACGGAACCATAACTTTGAGAACTGACCACATGTTTCGGGATCTAGGACCTCAAGGATACGGATTCCTTGGTCTAGCGCCTTCCGGCCACACCTGGCCACACACCTTGCCGCTGCCGGTCGCCCCATTTCTGCTGGCCCTCGTGCTGTCAACTTGGTAGCCCTCTGCACCACCCTGTTACAATCAATCGAGGCACCTGTACCTTGTGGGATGTTCCCCCTTAGACTAACAGTGCTTAAGAAAGGATTCTAATGCTATAATCCCTATTCAGGACTGTGAGTACAAGGGGGAAGATGCCAACCGGTGCCTCGCAATTTGAGGGACAGGAAACTCACTCAGAAAAGCTCGGGGAGCCAAACCCCACATGGAGGGTTGACGACACCCTAAACCCTAAACGCTAAATCCTAAACCCTAAACCCTAAATCCAAACCCTAAACCCTAAACCCTAAATCCTAAACCCTAAATCCAAGTCGGCCAAGAGGCCAGCCGTGGTCTGAGGATGCTCCGAATTTTGGCATCGCTGGCGCCCCAGTTGCAGTGCGCGACCACGCGCTGGAGAGCCTGTGGTTCTCAGGCAATTTTTCGAGCTTGCGCTGCGCAATCCTCGATCTCGAAGTCTCATGCTGTAGCGGCTTCGGCTTAGGGCTTATAGGGTTTTTAGTTGGGCTTTGGAGGGAAGATTGAAATCCTTCAACGTGGCCGGCAAAAATCCGAAAAGCTTAAACCCATCACCTTGCCAGCTGAGGCCAGTAGGCCCTTGCAATCGAAGCCCTGGGGCCCCCCAACCCTTACCAAAGGACCCTCCTCAACTCGTGCCAGAAATCTTCGAACGCCCATGTCCCTTTCAAGCCACTGCATCCGTCTGATCGCGCCTTTTCTGCCTTCTCGAGCTGCACCGCTGTGCCTGTCACCTCTACTGTGCGCCTGGACCTCCTCGGGATCAGGCCCAGGAATTCGGCTGTGGCTTGTGGCTTTTTGTTTTTTTTGGGGGGGTGGGGGGGGGGGGGGTCGAGTGACCTTGGGCCCGGGAACTTCTTCGGCCATTGCCCTGGGTTTGGAACATCGTCAGTCAAGCTCACATGAGCCTCAAAGCGAGTAGCACACAAAGTGCTGCACTGAGCAGACAAGGCTCTGAAACTCGATGTCGTAGGCCCCTGCTACCTTGGCGGCTGGTTATCCCTGCCACAAAGCTCCAGTTGGGTTTGAAGATCAGATGGGCTTGGGCGTTGACTCTGCAAGGCTTGCGGCGACGTTCACGTATTCAGGATTAGGAAAAAGAGCGAGGACTGCATGCATACATTGAGGGGGACTCGGAACTAAACCGCTTCAACACTCCACCGAATCGTCAAGGGAAGGAGATGCCCAAAATGAGAGGTGCCGGTTGCTTGTACGCCTGAGCACCTGCAGCCGGTTTGAAGCTCAGGGTCTCTACTCACGGAACTTGGCAGTGAACCTACAGATGCTCAGCTGTAGGTGCAGTAAATGTAGAGGCGCGACGCCACCAGGTGCTTTTGCGCTGAGGAGCTTCCAATAGCAGCTCGCGCGTCGCTGCCGTCATCAGTGCGTCGACCTACGAGACCCATGCTCTGAAAGAATCTTTCTCATCACGGAACCTTAGGAGGCTGCACCCTTTCCGTTAGAATCACGGAACCGAAAAAGGCTGCACCCTTTCGCATGAGAACCTGTCTCTGAACCCCAACCTTTGAACTTGATCCTCTTCCATCTGCCTCGCAACTCAAGGCTGCATGCGAAAATTCGGCCTGGTCTTGGGGCACCGTGAGGCTCTTCGTCAGGCGGCCCGCCTCCAAGCCAGAGAAATCCATCCTGCTGGGCATGGGACTCTAGCTGACTGGCTTTTGACAGAATTCAGGGAGTTGAGCACCCTATCCCTTCAAATGCTTATTTAAATATCTGGTACCTAACTCTAAGCTGCATCAGGAGATTAAAGATTAGCAAAAGGGTCTGTTTGCAGAAGGGCTGTCGGGGTTGCTGGTGGTTTGGGGCTTCGGAGGGGCGTCAGGGCTGCACTCGAACATCTTCAACCAACTACCGGACCCATAAGCTTCACAAGCGACACTACCCATAGCAGATGGTGCCTTCTCTTGCAAAATCAAAAAAGAAGGGTCTTTCCATATTCCAGCGGCTTCGGTAGAGCCTAGAACCGACGAGCATACTGAACGTGTGCATGTAGCTGCAGACGAGGAATGCGCAGCAGAAGCCAAGAACACCAAAGCACTCGGGCTAGGAGCGCCGCCCCAAACAACATACAGAAGATGAGAAGGAGCATGCGCAGCCGACGAGACGAGCGAGAATGGGAAAGAGGGGGCGGATCTGTCAAGGATGCCGCCGGCGACAACTCCACTAGATGCCTGGGCGCTTCCTTTTATAGGCAAGTTGCAAACCGCACCCGACAACCTTCTCTTGCTAGAGCTGCGAGAACCAGAGCCCTACTAGGTACATCCAGATGTTGGCCTTCCGTGGCGCTTGCGCTGTGGAGTTTGAACGTTTTTGCTGTTCTCTGCTGTGCCAGGGGAGCCACTGCAAAGGTCAGAATGCGCCGGGGACATGTCAGAGGCACAGAAAGAGCCAAAGTTACGAGCACCACAGCCATGGCGTGAATAGATGCATCTCATATTGACACAAAAAAGTAGTCAGACTGCAACCAGAATGGTGCCCACCATCATAACAAAGCCAGGACAGTCAAGACAGCACCGTCGGGCCAAGTCTCCCCGCCTCTCCGTTTGAGGCTTCTTGGTCACGGCTTCCTGGCAGTCTTCGGCCAAATCCTCCTGAAGCATGGCTGCACGGGCTCTTGCGCCGGGGCCTTCCGCCCAAACCCCTGAAATCCGTGCCCTTGGCTGGAAACCCTTAAGCTCTCACAACAACACGAAACCCTGAAATCCCAAACGCCCAACGATGACTTGCAAGGGCAGCATCCACGCCATGCGCAAAGTTGCAGTCAGAACCTGGGCTTTCCAAAACTAGCAGACGACCCAAGCTGTCGGTAACCGAATGGTTCAGGGTTTCATGGGGCTTTCGGGTTGGGGCAAAGAAAAAAAGACTGCAAGGACGCTTTCAGATGGTTTGGAACCGAGCTTTTGCCTCGGCCCCCTCGGGCTTGCGCTTGCAGTAGCAAAAGACACTGTACCAAAGCAAAAGCACAGAGTCAAATGAAATACAAGCAGGCTGCCAGAAAGACCGCTACAATAGTGCTGTGTGCGGCCAGGGCGGCCGTATCTGCAGTTTCCCGCCTTCCAGGCAAGATCATGAGCCGCTCGTTCCATGCTCCGACTGCCGATCCGCTAAGTGCAGCCGAGGACATGTAACTGCTCCAATCTCCCAAGCTCTGGCGCTGTTTTTGCTACCGGCATGGAGAGGCCTGGCTGGTAGGTCTTGGAGCTCGACATTCCAACAAATGACAACTTGTACCCGACAGCGGCACACTAGACTTGGGGTTTTAAGCCTAGGAGGCGCATTACTGTAGCTTTTCGTGGGTTTACAATGCTCGACAGGTCTTTGAGTGCAACTAACGCAGCTGCATCGTGGCGTGAGACCCAATTGAAAAACCAAACTTCCAAATAGAGAGGGGAGATAGTGGGCCCAGGACAACATTACGAATGCACAGCTTTCAGTCATTGAATTGTCCAGCCCTACTCCTCCCGAACTGAAGGAAGGGCAATCTAGTCTGGGCTCATGTTCTCCGGTATTGTATACAGCCAGTTGACGCTCACCGCACCCCGTGTTCCGATCCCCACCCTAGAAGAGAATCTACAAGAGCAGGGTAACCTCGAAACCAACGACCCCGCGGGGCGGCTCGGGCGTCACTAATTTCGTCCCAGCGGTCTGGCATTTTGCCAGAGGGTGACTCGTCTTCGAGTCCCAATGAGCTGGAGTCATTTGCTCACCGAAACTAACAAGCTCTAGTTGCACAGCAGACTTGATTTTAGGCACTGCTCTTTCTTGGGTCTTGGTTGGCGGTGCCCATCTTCTGATTGACAAGTTCCTGCGCTGACTGCATGCTCTGTGCCCATGATCGACACTCAGAGCAAATGATATCCTCGCTAGTGCCAACTAGCGCGGCCAGCTTCTGAGGGGAAGCCTTCTCTAATGGAGGCAGACCTTTCCACCAGGAGCTCAGCTTCTTCAACTCCTGCAACGTGTCGTTGTAGCGCTGGATGTTCTGCACGACGTTGGAGAACTCCTCCCAGGAGGATGCAGCAGTACATATTGCAGATGCAACCACCACCCAGGAGTTGAACTCGACGTAGGCAAAGAAAGAGCTACCAATGGACCCCAGCAGTGTGAAGAAGAAAATCGTTCTGTGGTACCGCGTGTACCACGGAAGCCGCTTCTCATAAAAGCGCTTCATCTTTTTGAGCCGCCATGTTTTTTGTTGTCTGCGTTTACCGGGCTATAGTGGTCATCCTGCGCAGGTACTTTCTCGTCATGCTGCGGCAAGTTCTCGTTATGCTCTGGTCGCTTGCAGTGCGCATCCTCGTCGTCTACTAGCCTTGAAAGGGTTGTGTCTCCTTTTGTCGAACTCTGTCTGTACTGTCCTCTCGTCAGCTGTTTTGGAGCCCGTCTACGTTGAAAATCCGACCGATGCAAGTCCGTGCCGCGAACCACGTTCCTGCGCCACTCATCCAAAGCTCCTCGAAACGCTGTGACAGAATTCGAAGCCGATCCAACATCATGCGGCTCAAACTGCCTGCACTTCGAACGGAAGAGCCAAATCGTGCTTTCCAACTCAGCAGCCGCACAGCGTAATTTGTGCCATCGCGCTGTGGGGTTGGCAAAGGCATGCAACGCGATTAGACAGGTGCAGAGCATGGAAAGGAGCATATTCGTAGTTGAGGTCCAATGCTCCTCCAATCCCAAAGTTCGTGCGGTAACGCTGAATATTATCGTAGCAAGAGCGCACAATAATTGGCATGAGTACCAAAGCCTGCTCAATCTGCCATAATAGGTTGCCAGAGAAAGCGGCATCGTGTTCGGTGCAAGCATCGCGCAAGAGGCACAGGGCTTCCAGGTTATGCTGACGTGGCAGACGGTCCCTTGTCAACGCTCCGTAGATGTCTGCCGTCAGGCGCTCGTCTGCTTCCCAAATGTTAATCGGCACAAGCTTCTCAGATAGCACAAGCTCCACGGCTCTTGTAACAAAAGCATACTTGATGGTCTTGTCGTTCTCCTGTTCCTGCACATTGGCTTTCCCCTGCTCGGGGACTTCATCGCTTCTGCCATCCTGTGCGGTCTGCAAAGGCTGGTGTTGACTTGCCTTGGGGGCTGGAGCTGAAGCCTTCGGCTTGCGCTTCCGCCAGACCATGGCCGAGCGTTTTGCCTTCTGCTTAGGCATCTCCAGTTTCAGTTTCTGCGCCTGCTTCTCGAAGACTCTGTGCAAGACGGTCAAACCACGGGCGGCGCCAAGCTCATCTCGCCGCTTGCGGCTTCGCTCCTGCTCCCGTTCGATGGCCTCCCAGAGTGCTCTCCCGGCATGCTGCGACTGTTGTAGCTGCTGTTGAAAGAACCTCTGATACCTCCAGCGAATATGTGAGATGGCGCAGGTGTCGAACAAGTTCCCCGGATGGACCTTTCGGACACCAGCCATCAACTGGTTTTCGAGTGCATAATCCCTCTCGTCCGCGGGCGCTTCCTTTACAGCAGGCGTGACTGCGATCAACTCTGACAGGCGGTTTCGCGTGCTCTGATGCCCCAGTTCACGTTGTGCGGTGTAGGTGGTGGCCTGCGTGTGATTCGACTCGTTGTTGTCTGTGGAACCGATCGCGTGCAGATCTTCGGCTTTATTGCCCATCTCGTCCGCATGCGCTTGCTCGTCCGCAGGCGTGCCTGCCGTTTGGTGTTGCGTTGCACGCTGCGTGGCGGATGTGGTGTCATGTGGCGTGTGCTGCACGTGGAGCGACTTGTCGTCCGTGGAGTCGACCGTTTGCTGAGGGCTGATCACACGAATCAAATCAAGAAACACGACCGGAGTCTGATTTTGGAGGGCGTCCACCGCAACTTGCAGTCCAGACTCGGCTTCTTGTTGGAGCGAACTGTGCTCAGACACGCCTGTCTTGACGGCGATCGATGGCAGGTGGGAACCAAGGTAAGAGACCAAAGCTGTCTTCAGAGACGCAGCTGCTGCGCCACGGACGGGACTGTCAGTCTCCAGGCCACCCACTATGATCACGCTTGAGATGGCAGGCTGGATGTCTTTTGCAGTGCTGACACTGCATATTCTCATGTCCATATCATACTTCTTAGTGTATTTCCCAAAGGCTTTCGTCCAATGTTCACAGCCTTCCATTAGCAATCTCCAATGAGCCTTCTCCGAAACCTGGTTCAAGTCACGCATTGTTGTAAACCCCAGCAACGTGAACGGCTTCTTCTTGCTCCAGGCTCCATGCCGCAATTTCTCTGCACGGATAAAGGAATCAGCAAGCATGCAGTTGCCTGCGACAGCATCGCACAAGACGAGGGCACTACTCTCCTCTGCAATGGGCAACAACACGTGCCGCATAAACACGTCCAGGCGGTGCTGAATTTGCTCCAGCTCACGCAGGCCCTTGTCTTGAAGGCGTCCGTAGCTTGGGCATGGGGATGTAAGCAAGTTGATGACAACTTTTGGCGTTTGCTCACAGAAATCACTGGCCAACTTCTGCAAAGCATCGACATTTCCACCAATGATTTGCGATTGCCTCTGGGTGGCAAAAAGAACCTTGTAAGGGCTCTCCACACCCTGTAACGCCACAGGGCAGACCATATCAAACATCGTTCTGGCGAGGATGTCCTCCTTGGCACTTCGACGGGAAATTGCCAAACCTTCTGCCTGGTCTGCCTTTTCTGATTTCCGCTGCTTCTGCTGCTCCTCCAAGCCCGCTTCATCAAAACGTACAACCTTTCTCTTCTTGACAGATTTATTCGGAGGCGACTGTTGCTGTTCGTCGTCATCTTCAACTGGCAGCACCTCACGTTCATAACCCGTGTCGGCTCGGGGCCGCGCCATGTTCTCACAACTCAACCTGTCCGACAGCAAACTGCGGCAAAAAAACTACCTGCCGTGCTTTCTGGTGTGGCTTTGCGCACATCATCTTACAACTTGCAACGTTATTGGTATGTACTGCACATCTTTGTTGCGGGTCGTGCTGCTTGAAGTCTGTGAGTCTACGAGCTTGAGTTAAAACAAACTGCTGCGCCTCCGCACAAAGCTCAGGTACATTGTCCAACTCATTCCTCCGTTGCACGCCTCCTGCATGGAGCCAGAGCATGAAGGCTTCGGGACATCCAGCCTCGTGGTGGATGCAAAGCTTGCGCTTGCGGGTGCCAGGTACGAAGCGCTGCTGCGGCGGCTGCTGTGGCAGGGCCCCGGGCTGTGGAGCCTGGACGAGGCGGCGCGGCTCACAAGCGTGAACGCTTCTGGGTTCAAGATCTTCGACGCTCGCAATGCTTCAGGGATTATCTGCTCTGGCGCGCAGCCCAACAAAACTCCCGAAAGCCATCACTCCCACGCCTCGGGTGCGGGGCGCGACCTCGGAGGGGCGATAGGGACTTAGAGCTTCGATGTAAAGTGGCTATCGGATGCGGGCTTTGGATGGGATGGTCAGGCTGTCGGCCGCCTCAACTCAAAGGGCCCCGAACCCAAGATTTGAAAACTCCGAATCTCTCGAGCACTTCGCCTCAAGATCAAAGGACGAGACCCTTTAAGCCCTGTAAACCCCGCAACCTCCCTTGCAACCCTATCTTGGTAGCCCAGTGACCATATTATCATCAGGGTGAACCCAGAACAAGAAAGGAAAAGCAAAGGGTACTACTGCGCTGCCAAGCTCTAAACAGCCAGCAAACCGACCCAAAAGCCCATTCGCAACGGCAGCCCCGCTGCTCGCCGGGCGCCGAGGCGAAGCCAAAGGAGGGCTGCCAGTCGCCACCTTTTGCGCGTTTGTCGGGGTTTCGGGTTTCAAGTTAAGGGTTTAGGGTTTCGCCTTTAGGGTTGGCTTTTTTTAAGGGTGTTATCGGGGTGTTATTCGAGGTGTTTGGGCTTGTTGTTCCGATTCTTCCTGAGTGCGAGCATTGTTGGAGCTACAACTTTTTCACAAGGCACTCGAGTTAGAGCTACAACTACAATTAAGGACTTTGCACTACTGTTCTGTCGTTCTGGTTGTCATGGTATTGCTATGAGAGGAGTCAGGAGTGGAGTTGACTTGGGTTTGATTGACGCGCAAGACTTCTGGATGTGTGCGCATTGTCGGTTTTTCGGGTTTGAGGATTCGTGGGTTTAAGATCAACTCTGGCCTTGCAGTTTTTTGGAAACCCCGCCGAGGGTGGGCAAGGGCAGAATCTGCTTGGCTCAAAGGCTTACTGCCCAGCTCGCATTCTTCAAGTTTCTCTTCCTTCCTGAGGCACAACCATTCAATTCCGGTTTTTCTCCAAGGGGGGTGGGATCATGTCGTCCTCCCCCATCCTCTCCCTGTCCAGGCGGCTCTCGGATGGCCGCGGCAACCACGCCTCTGGGCCCCAGTCGCCGCCTGGCCCCTGACGACTTCGAGGGTTGAGAGCTTCAAGGGCTGATGGCCGTTTGGTGCAGCATTTGAAGGCTTGACCGGGCTTTGAACAGCTGAAGCAGTTTCGTGCGCAAGACACTTCTGGTGCAAAATGTAGCTGCTAGGGTGCAGGCCCATGGGCCTGCCACGCCTGTGGGGCCCCAGGAGGGTACAGCCAGTTGGCGAAATCGGCCATGGCAGAAGTGAGAGTCTTCGGCCGGCCGATACCTCGGCCCTATGAAAACCCCCGAGATAGGCCATGGAGAGTATTGCACTTTCCCCCCCCAATTTGGGGATTGGAGCTACCTCAGGATGACTGCTCTAAAGCTTCTTGAAGGCTTCGGCCACCCAGGGTGGAGGATTCTGAGAAGTAGTCCAGGGGCTTCGTCTTTGGTCTTGGGGTGGAACCTACGGTTGGCGATCTTCCGTGAAAGCTCTCTGGCGGATCAAAACCAAAAGGGGGCCTCTGAATCAAGGGTCCAATGTGACTGCTTTCCTGGCTGCTTTGGGGTTAACTGCTTGCTGCGACGCAAATGGCGCAGGGAATTCAGCGTTTTGTTTTTGGGATTCCGCGTGTTGCACAACTCGGTGCTTGATCCAGACTGAGGCTTCAGTTGCGAATACGCCCTGTAGCCCTCAGAGTTCCCAAAGTCACATCAAACGACTGTTCTCCCTAATTGCAACTGCGTGCATGTAGGGCGATGTGGGCCTCGGGATTTCGTGCAGACTTTGAGACACGCTTTTTCATGAGCTGTCGTGGACGGTGCCAGGCTCGCGTCGTGACACGCGTCCCGGCATTGAGCAGTCAAGCTAAACACTGAGCCTGGTGAAGGGGTTTTGAGAGGCTTCGGGGGTCCCTAAACCCAAAACCGAAACCCTAAACCCTAAGGGGTTTTAGGGGGCTTCGGAGGTCCGGACGTGCGGTGATTGTCGGAACGCTGTCCCGCCTACCACGACCCACCCAGGGGGGTCGGTCTCACTTTGCGCAGGTCAAACCTGCGGTGGCAGTTGGGACACTGGACCATGCTATCCGTCTCCGGTGACCTGGGCGCCGTAGGGACAACCGGGGCAATGAACTGCCCGAACACTGCACCCGAACTACCCAGAAGTCGAACTCCAAACTCCAACTCTGAGCCTGCCTCCAGTCTTCAAATTAAAAGCCTTCCGAGCCTCCACAGTGGACACGGGCAGCTGCACCAGACGCAATGCCGAACCATCGACTCCTCGCTTTTACGTGGTGAGACGCAAACGCTTGGAACTACGATTTGTTCGGCTCACGCTGGACACGTGTTCAAAGTTAAGGCTCTTGTGTCCACAGACTACAAACGACCGCCAGCTGGAGGAGACGCTGGCGCCAAGCAAGCAGCGAGCGCAAAGTAGCTGCCTGTAAGCAGTTTGAACCTGAACTGGTTGACGGCGTTCTTTTACACGTTCATCTTGCTAAAGTGTTGTTCGGCAGGCATCAACAACTCGCAGTGTGGACGTATCTGGGTAAGCAACGTGTTCTTTATCCCACAAATTCTCCAAGCGTTCCATGAAGATAGCCTTCAAAGATTCGTCGATTAACAGGTGCGCTTGGGGCGACGTCATGAAGGCTTATCAAATAGACTCTTCTGCACGCGTAAAGAAGTCATCATCACTGGTAGACTGGACCTTCTCGGCATCATGGGGGGCGCACTGTTAAGGACATTCCTGCTGTGCGGCTTGTTTCAGACATGGTTTTTGCTTCCCAATGGTACGCCCTCACGCGATCTTCTACGCGACAGTCCTGGGTCGAGCTAGTGTGCGAGTTTGTCACAAGGTATGGGTTCGTAGTTGGCTTCTGCACGAAAGGGCTGCCCATGTCACGCATGACTTGTAAATTGAAAACTTATGTTGTGAAAGTTTTTGAAGCAGCTGGACGTCCCATTCCCGCAGTGAGCCGAATAACCCATCTTCGTGACCTCTTTGGAGGCGATGTGGCCGGCTTGGGTTGCGGTATGAGAGCAAATCATCGCAATCATGTTTGGGCAACGCTTGTTGCTGGCGCGCTTGATCCTGGCAAAAGGCCTGTCGGGCAGCAACAAGCAAATTGTCGCTGGATTCCTGCTTTCCTCCCCTAAGTCTGAATCTTGTTACCTCCTTCTCTGCATTCTCTCCCTCTCTTCATCGATCCTCAGATCATGTAGAGCAAGAGAGAAAGAGAGACAGAAAAAACAAAAGACAAATAAGAGAACTTAAACACAAAAACAACCAAACATGAGTGTGAGAGTGAGTGAGGACAGTTGCGAGGTGATGGCAGGTGTTACTTCTGTGAGTGGTTGGTTCATCGCCTTGGCGTGTCAACACCCGGTAGTCCTCAGCTGCATCGCCAGATTCGGACTGCCGAGAGGAGATCACGCTCTCGACGATCTGGTAGCCTCGGAAGTTCCGTGCGGCCCTTGCAAAGTCGCGCTTCGCTGGGGGGCCCAGTCGGGAGGGCTGTGCAGGGTGCATTGTGACGGCGGGGCTCTCTGATTTGCCCAGCGGCCGGATTTTGCCTGTACTTTGCAGGCGGCTCGGAGGCAGGACGAAGTGCTTGCAGCAGCACGTGTGGCTGCACGGTTGGCGATCAGTCTGTCCAGCTTCACCTGTCAGATTCTCCCCCAAAACCTACCGGCGGAGCCAGACGAACATGCGCGCCCACAAACATATCAAAAGCCCAGGATGATGACATGTCAGGCCTCCTCAAGCCAAGCCCAGCAAGGAGCAAAACCCTCCCAAGCACTTCAAAGCCAGGACCTTGGCACCCACGTTCGCGACTTTGGGAACGGGCTCGCTGCTCCTGCAACAAGGCTTTGGGGTGGACGAGGGCTTGAGTCTCAGGACAGTTACATGCTCCCCTTCACATGGGCCCCCTTAACTGGGGATCCCCTTACATACCCCTTACATACCCTTTTAACCCCAAGAATCCGTACTGCAGAAGCGTTTCAAGGTTAAAGAAGGTAAGGGACCATATTAAGGGCCCATGAAACTGCTCAAGTTTATCGGGCTTGTTGGGGCTCCCAGGGCTGATGGGATTTGTGGGATGTAGAAGGGTTTACAGGGTTTCACCCTGGGGGTACATAGAGCTTGTAGGGTTTCTACTGTTTACAGGGTCTATACGGTTTGTAGGGTTTCTATGGTTTTATAGGGTTTCTAGGGCTTGCACGCTCTTGTGTGCCCATGGACATGTGCAGCTTTGCTCCTGCGACTCCTGGATGGCGCACTGGCAGTTCTCGGGAAGTTCTCTGGGAACTCCTCCCTGACCTCGATTGTTCGCGGCATCCCGGACCTGCCTTGCCTTGAACCCCAGAGTCTACACAATCTTGTCTTTAATAAAGAAATAAACAAATAAACCTATAAATAAACAATAGAACCACTCCAAACTCGAGGCCCAACCCGAAGCCCCTCTCTCCCTGAGTGATGTTCCTAGGTCACAAGAACGTCCAGGCGACGACGTGGAGCGTGCCACAGCCGACGCAGGGTCCCGTCACCGTGGCGTGGCGCTCCGCTGTGGGGGGGCGGCAGTTCCTTGCAGGGATACGGGGGCGCACCGGTTCTTCGGACCGAAGGCCTGCTGGGTTTGGGCGTTGGGATGTGTGTTTGCCGGGCACTTCAGTCGAGTCATCTCTGCGGGGCGACGCGCAACAGAAGCAGGACAGGATCGCCACCGAATGTGGCCTCTACTTGTCTGGGACTTCGCTGTTGCAGCCTTCCGTAAGCCTACCCACGAAGCCCAATGTTCAACGGTGTGGAGGCTTTGAGCCCTCACCAAAGGCCGAAGTTTTTTGAGAACGTCAGTTTGTTTTGCCACCTGTCTGGCGCGATCCTGAAATGTGGGAAGTGCATAGTGCTTTGGGCCTTTGGGTGTTATAAAGTCTTAAGGCTGAACCCAAGGATCCGGTCTCGGAGCGCCGTACCGGGATGCAGGGTCTGCTGAGGCAGATCTCGTCGTAGGGAGGACTCGTTGAGGACTTGCTGCCTCACTCTTCGATGCTTGGGCTCAGAAGGTTAGTCGTGTGGCTCAAGGTGATGAGATACTTTCGATGCTGCGCGTTCACCAGGCAAAAGCGCGCTTCGAATGTCTGAGATCTCTCACGCATGCGCATTAGAGAGAATCAGCTTGCGACGAAAGCACAGACGCAGCCCAACAAGGGCACAAGGCAGCAGAAGGTTAGGTGGCCCAAATCCTACTTGTTCTTACACGTAGCCCCCCCGACCCCTTCAACTTACCTAGTTCGCTAACCCCCCTACGTGACAGGGTGTGACCCACAAAATTGTAGGCAAGTAGGGCAACAGTTCTTGGCGACCAGAGTTGCTGCAGCAGTTGCTCGAGGAGGCTCAGCTTGCGGGAAGTCTCCGGCACATCTTGTGGCTCCGAAGCTTCGGGCGCTTCCTGCGTGGGCCCGAGGCTTCGACGGCACTTTTGGGAGCTTCCGCAGAAGTTTCGGATCTTGGCTTAGGGCTAAAAAACAACCATCCAAGAATGCAGAACCGAACCTGACATAAGGCAAAGGCTTAAGGGGCCTTACGGCTCAAGGAGTCCAGCCTCCGGGGCAGGAGCCTCCGGAACTTCCTCCTCCAGAGTCTCCGGCTCCGCGCACGCGGGCCGCTCGCGCCGCGCCTTCTCGGCCCGGATCACCTCGCGGTCTGGGACTTGTGATGCGCAGATTCCAGGAACTGCAACAAAAAAACACGTCACTCCAGGACTCCAGTTTGCGCGAGGGGGGTGGCACCTCCTGCACGTGCTTCACGGAAGTCTCAGCCCCCAGAGCCGGGCTTATGGTCTGAACCGGCTGCCCGCGCATGCCACACTCCGACCTGACAAGCCACTCACCCTCCCATGCGGGAGCTTCCGGTGCAGTCCGCGTTGCTGCTTTTTGGGGCATTTTGGGCTTTTGGTTCCATTTCAGGCGCAGGGCGGATGAGTCCTTTTTTCCCGCCGAGCTCACCCTCTCAAAAGCCACTCCGCAAGGAACAATCGTGGTAAGCGTTGAACCGACTAGCCTCCATGCCTCCATCTGTGGCTGGAAGGCCTCCAACCCACAGAAAAACCACACGATCAACACTACTACCAACGGCGCAGCGGCTCGAAGTTGCGGTACCCCTGTGTTCTCAAGCAATTCACATGGGTGTAGCTACGAGCACCTAAGTATAGCACTATGTTAGAACTGCCCAGACCGTCTGGTTGGGTCTTTGAAAGACACCGGCAAGTATCTGCCACTCACGAGGGCCCCAAAATACCGGTGGCAGCCATCCCGCCATCTCCAGGTCAGAGTGTCTTCGCACCATGCAATGCTAACTGGTGGAAACTCCTCGCCAGCACGCATCAGCTTGGCAAAAACCCATGCCTTGGACCAGCGCGGTTTTCCACGCAGCCGTGCGGGCAGTAAGATCTGCGGATCCAGCAATGCCACCTCGCGTCGGCTGGCGGGCAATGGCCTGCGCCCCAGCATCATCCCACAAGGGCCACTGACACATGTGGCAGCTTCCTGGCTTCGCGCACCATAAGCTTCAGCCGCATAAACCGCATCAGGGAGGCGCTCCTCGTCTGCGACATGGGCATCCGCAAAGGATTCCTCTTGCCAACGCAGCTGCAACGGGCAGTTCGTAAGGAGCCCAGCGTACGCGGCGCTCAGGCTGCGTTGATCCAGCAGCATGCGTTCGGGACAGCTATGCTTCCCACCAAGATGTCTGAACACCGCCTTGGCAGAGAGCTGCTGTCCATCTTCAGCCTGTGCCGCCATGTGGCGAACGCGCCGCCATGCTACACCACCAAGGGCAACAGCGCTGCGGCCGACATGCAAAGCACTCGCATGGACGGTTGCCTCCTGCCAGCCATCCGCGTCAGGGCCTCTCCGATCGCGAAATGGCACGCCAAACCAACGAGCATCGCGTGCTTTCGCAACCATCGATGCAGACGGGAGATGGCGCCCTGTAGGATATTGCATGGCTGTCGTCGTTCAGAAAAATACGACGAGTTTGAGCTTGTGCGTGCACAGCTTTGACCTGCTGGTTGGAATCGTGTTTAATTGTGTATGCTGAGTCCGTATAAAGTTTCTGCAGTCGTTGCCATCTGACCCCATGTGCTAGAACCTCAGCCGGCCAACTAAATGACCTCACAGGACTGCTAATTTGCACAGGTTTCGGAGAGAACATGCAACGTCAACAACGAGCGTGAGCCAAAGCTTGAGCCGTCGCCATGGCTAAAGGTTGAGGAGCAAGCGACCTCTTCGTGCTCCCAAGAGGCAGGGGCAGTGGGCTCTGCGCCAACTCGAGGTTGCTGGCCAAGTCCTTGGCTGCTCTTGGCATCCTGGGGACAAGGACTCCTCCTGTTTGCCGCTCTCCAAGAGCGTTGGCAGCGCTTGGTCGTAATATGGCAGTGATTAGTCGGAAGTGCGGGTGAACAAGAGTACTCATCGTAGCAACTATTAGGGTTCAAGAGCCCAAAACAAGAGAACATGGCGACTTCAAAACTTCGAGCACATCCCAGGGTCAGGGGGGCCCCAGTCGCTGAAGCAGGCCGCACTGCTTCGCGGTGTCGCCCTGGACCGGGTCTCCTTCTGCTCCCGGAGTGGGCCGATGTGGCGCACGATCCAGGTCCTGGGGTTAGGATTCGAGGGGTCTTGGGGCCTCGTAGGACCACCATGAGATACCATGAGAGTCTGTTGATTCTGTTCTACGACTTTAAGCAGTGCAACCTAGGTGGGCAGTGGCAAGCCCAAGTCGTGGCAACCCCGCTTCTACATGCTTTTACCCCAGTTGCCAAGGAAGCCGTCCTCTCCACCGGCAGCTCCCTGCGCGGCTCCTCATCCAGTTGCCACCAGGCGCTGAATCCGCCCTCGACCGCTCCAGACATTGGCTGCCAGAGCTCGTCTGCCCAAGCATGAGAAAGCCGGTGAACCCTTTTCGAACCCTCCATCCTTTTTTTGCGGACTCAGGGCAACCCTTAACTAAACCCCAAAAAGATCCTAATCACAAATCTAGCCTTGTGGTTCGAGCCGCCAAACTGTGCTACTGCAGGCATGTGGCATGCACATCCCGAGCCCAAAGCAGCTGCGGAGCCCAGCGGGCGTCAGAGCATGGCAGATGCATGTGTGGGTCGGTGTGTAATCGCATGACTCAAAAGGATCCCTACACTCCATGCTATGACATCGGGACCGCACATCGCTGGAGATGCATTCCTTTTGCAAGCGGAATCTGGGCCCGCGAGAGAAGAGCGCTTCCGGGCAGGGCAGCTGCCCTACCAGATGTTGAATTTCACCGGCTGTAGTTGTTTCTGCCGGCCATACTCTGTGCAAGCCAATAATGCCAATTACTGAACAAACGCGCGGGGGCGCCCATAAAACTACTCGAATTCACTGCAGGGGCTGATCAAAATTGTCAGTCTTTCTGGCTCCGAATTGGACATAAACCTGAAGCGCATGCGGATTCGCACGCTGGCACGGCGGCCTCCTGCCAATTGGGGATCGGGGTCACATAGTCCGTCAAGCCGCAACAACCAAAACAGAGCTCCCAACCCCGTCTTGAACAAAACACCGTCTACACCCTCTTTTTCTGCAACCCTGAACCCTAAACATCCCTAAACCCGAAACCCTAAACCCTAAACCCTAAACCCTAAATCCTAAACCCTAAACCCTAAACCCTAAACCCTAAACCCCGGAATGGTGGGACTGTTCGGCCTCAGCGGAAGGCAGAGGATGGAGCGAAGAGGATGGGGAGGTGGCTACGCACCTTCTGCACGTCGACCCTGGGCTGCTGATGACTCTTCTTGGGCTTCGGCGGCTTAGGGTTTAGGGTTTAGGGTTTCGGGTTTAGGGTTTAGGGCTTAGGGTTTAGGGTTTGGGGTTTGGGGTTTGGGTTTTTTTTTTTTGCCACCCGCCTAGCTGACACTCAGGCCACGTTGCAGGGACTAATACCGGCCATACTGTTCGTTCGAGGTTGAGGCGCTTTTAAAGCTAGCGCAAAAAGGGACCATGTGGGGCGGACGGAGCATCCCTTGGGCCAAACAGTAAAAACACACCCCGACTAGCAACTGAACACCCAGAACTCCATCCCCCATGGTCTCAGAGGAGAAAGGCTTTGATGCTACCTCAAATTCGGCAGCGCTCATCAGACCCGTGTAGCTGGCCCCCGGGGAATACTCAGCGCTTGGGGTTTGGGGTTTAGGGTTTAGGGGCTTTTTGCCACCCGCACTGCCCTCGCTCGCGCGCGCGCGCGCGCGACACTCCGCAGGGACGAATTCGAGGCAGGGTCCAGGGCTCAGGGTTTAGGGCTTAGGACTCGCAATGACACCGCTGTGCTGACGAGCCGCTAGCCATGCGAAAGGCAAGGGGTCGAATGCCAAAGCCCAACCATTGAAAAACCATACGTTCTGCCCCCAACTTACAGGAATCGAAACTCTTCTTCAACCCGTACCTCCCTCGACTCCTAGCCCCCCAAAACCCACATGCTCATAGCTGGGGGGACGCTGTGGGTCTTAAACCCCCAAACCCTAAAACGCCCTCTACCCCCAAACCCGAAACCCTTGGTCAAAGCAAGCGACTCAAGAACCTGCAGCCGGTTCAGGGTGTCATGGCGCGCCGCGCCCTCGCGCTGCAGCCCGTCGGTGAGGCGCTGGACCACGAGGCGCTGCTCGCTCTCCTTAGGGGGCGTGGGCGAAGTACCATCTTGGGGACCACGTGAACCCTAAGCTTGGGATCATATGCCCTATACTACTATAATCCCGCTGAATGATTAAGGCATATGAACCCTAAGCTTGGGTCATGTACCCTATACTGAAAGAATCCGCACTAAGGTATGTGAACCATGAGCCCCTTGTAGGTTTGCAGGGTAGGGCCTTTTTTTCGCCGCCCGCCCAGCACTCGCGCAAGGCCAGAGCGTTCGGGCTTCAGGGTTCATGCTCGACGGCCCTTATTCCAGACGTGCTGGATGCTGTTATTTCTATTTTTGGAGATGCTGGAGAAAGGGAGAGTTGCTTCGGCGTTGCTCGTCCGTGTACCCCACATGACGCGGCCCTGTGCCAGACGCTAACGCCACAGTATACTCGATTGGAAAGACTCCATGCATCGGAAAATCTGGGAAGATGGTGCGGATTTTGTCCAGAAGGATGTCGGGACACGAATTGCATGGAACCCTTCTCAACTTGCCATCAAACCTTGAAGTTCTCCCCGCTACTACTACTAGATCTGAATAGTCTATTGCCGGCCAGCACTGCACCTGGTGCCACAGTATCTGTGATCTTCGCTCCTATCTCACATGCACGTGGACGACCATGATATCGCGGAGGCAGCACTGGGGTAGCGCAAAGGTCCGACAATCCCCTTCTTGGGGTGTCCTTACGTGGGATGATATGTTCTTACTATATTTGGGCAACGAAGGGGGACCCGACCACTTCCATGCAAGTCGCGAGGGCTTCGGCCAGCTCCCCGTGCGCCTCTAGCGCTGCCTTCACCTCCTGCGCTGCCACCTGTGAGGTGTGAGGAGAACAGGAGAGTTCGACTCGACTGAAATTACAAACTGCAGAAGCACGACAGGAAACACTCTCCAGAAATGAGACACAGAAGGTAAACACAACAAGCTAACCTGGCCGGCAGCCGATTGTTCTGACATGTTCGGGCACGGGTTTGCCAAATGCTTTTTCATTACCCAAGCATTTCCGGTTAGCTCTCATCCTGATTACCTCTCCCCCTACAACTTGCTGTCGTGTACCCCTCACCAACGAAAGCCAACTGCACTAAATCCGAAATTCTAGCGATCACTGACCTGAGCTTGGTGTTCGTGGTGGCACCGCTCCTGAGCCAACAGCACCTGGCACAGCGCTTTCTTCGGGGCTGCAGGGTTGAGAGATGCTGGCAGAAGCAGAAGCCCGCAATATTTTGTGCCGTGTCCCTGTCACCCCCCCCCTCGCCTTCCCCGAAAGTATCCCCCCCCCAATCCCCCACCCTAAATTTATTAAAATACCTCGCACAAACCATCCTGAACCCCTGAAGCCCTTTCTGCATCCAGGCTTGGGGGATCTGCCCTGTAGCCCTCAAACCGACAAGCGACCCTCTTGCACCCCTAAACCGTGAAGCGGAAAAATTCTTCACCTGAAGCCCAGGACGCGCCTTGATCTTCTCCTCCAAGCCCGGCAGGGCTTGATCCTGGGCTGTGGGCGAAGAGCACCCAACGGCTTCACAAGCGCAACCTGGGGCGGTTTAAGCCCTAAACCCTAAACCCTAAACCCTAAACCCTAAACCGCCAAGGGCTGCAGCCCGGCAGCCTGCTCCCTTGGATCCCCCGCACCTTTTTTGACAACAAAAGCACTTGAGGGGAGCACGCCAAAACCCAGTTCTTTCAAAACCCCTTTTGTTGTGAAGAAAGCCCGAATCGGCCAAACACCCTACTAAGGGGGTCTCCGTAAACAGTGGTACCCTTTGTTTCGGGGGGATCCCCTTAAGGGGATTCTCGTCTGTTTGGGGCTCTAGAAGGGATACCCCCCCAATGTTGGGGAAATACCCACAACAAGGAAACCCCTAAACCCTAAACCCTAAACCCTAAACCCTAAACCCTAAACCCCAAAACCCCAACCGCCGCCAAGGAGCCAACCTCTTCACCTCCACCGCCAGCTCGGCTCGCATCTGATCGCCGCTGAGCTTGGCCACCTCCTCACATCGCCGGTTCAGCTCTTCGAACCTGGGCTTAGGGTTTGGGGGGGGGGGGGGGGGGGCAATGGGCTTTTGTAGGGAGTTTGGGGGTTTATGGAGTTTATAGGTTGTATAGGATTTAGTGGGTTCTTCAACGGGCTGTTTTCGGGTTCGGGGCCAGAACGTGTGACATGCCTTTTGCGGGGTGTAGGTCTTGGGGATGTCAAGACATATGAGTCGGTCTTGGAAGCGCGACTTTCTTTGGTGGGAGGACCGTACAAACAGAAACAAAGAACCCCAACAAAAACAAGAGGACTGGCTCAAATTCTGGAGGGAGGAGCAGCGCCTCACGCTCCTTGCGGAGGTCCTCGCTGAGGCGCTCCACCATTGTCAATGCCCATTTGCGGCTTTCCTGCATGGTTTAGGGTTCGGGTTTAGGGATTTTTTTCGCTCCCGCATAGCTGGCCGAACCGCAAGCAGGGTTTGAAGGTATTGTGCTAGGAAGGAAAACAACTGGCCCTCTCTCTACGAAGCCACGACCATCAGGAAAAAACGACACTACTTTGGGATGAACACATCTTCCTATGGCTGTCCTTCCTTACATGCTGAACAACAAGCAAACACACACCAACCAGATAATAGTCAACACGAAGACAAAAATAAACTCGAAAATAAGGAAGGCGATCTCATGCCAACAGTTTGCCCCGAAAGGTTCTCCTCCGTCAGGCTCGCTTACTCAATACCCTAAACAAAAACACTCAGTACCCTACAAGCCGAACAAGAACCAGAACAGAGGAGCTCGGTTCTGTGCGCATGTGAAACCTGAAGCGGGGTCCCCCTGCCTTTGCACAGAACCGAAACCCAAAACAACCCAAAACCTTAAAACCAGGGGGACTCCAGACAAGGTCTAGCGTTTAGGATTTAGGGTTTTGGGTTTTGGGCTTATTGAGGCGACTCGTGAATCTTCTTCAGAGGTCTTCAGGAGCTGCTTCCGGCCGCAGCTGCCGGTCCTCCTTGTGGGCCGCATGCTCCCTCCGGATCTCCTCGGTCATTGCCTCGTGCTTCCGTCCCTGGGATGTGGAGAGATCTGCGGACGTCGCTTCGCGGGCCGTCCGCTCCTCCTGCCTGCAGGTGATGGTGCAATTCCTACGTGGATACCCCTTTTCCAATGGGAACCCTCTTGCATTCGTAAAAGTGGCTCGATTTCAACACCCCGTTTCAACAACTACCAGCCTGAAGCTCGCCATCGCGGCCTCCAACTTGGCTAACTCTGCCTTGACTGCGCCGCCCAGCTCCGGCAAGGCCTTCTCCTGGCTGTCCAGGCGAGACGCCAGGGCGCCCACCTTTGATACGCTTGCGCAACATTGCTCGACACAAACTTCCACTTGGTTTCAACACGCTGGTGCCCCAAACCCGGCACATCCCCGCACTTTATCCTTTTTTGTACCTGGAGCCCCTTTCTTGAACTATAACCCTAGTACCCTTTGTGGACCCTAGTGGTACATCCTTCCTACAACTCCCCCATCTCTCCCTAAACCCTAAACCCTAAACCCCAAACCCCAAACCCTAAACCCCAAACCCCAAACCCCAAACCCCAAACCCTAAACCCTAAACCCCTAACCCCAAACCCCAAACCCGAAACCCTAAACCCTAAACCCCCCCATCCCTTAAGTCTCAGCCGCTGCCCGACCGTTCTCGCTCATCGCCACCTCCCGGGCTTGCTGCTCACGGCCCAGGGCTTCCTGCCAGGTGCCAGGAAAAAAAAATTGTTGGGGGGGGGGGGGGGGGGTTTTGGGGGGGTTTTGGGGGGGTTTTTGGGGGGGTTTTAGGGGGGGTTTGGGGGGGGTTTTGGGGGTTTTTTTGGGGGGGTTTTCGGGGGTCGGGAGATGCGAGAATTAGACCCGTGAAGCCGCAAATGCAACCTTGAATACTCCGATTCTCCGGCCAAACACTCCGAAACCCTCGACCCCGAACTTGGAACAAGCTCCTAGTCTCCAAAGACTTCTCAGCTTTCCCTGTCCACTGTCCCGCACTGCCTGTGGCCATTTCGCTGGCTAAGCGACTTGGTCATCCGCAAGTGTTCACCTGTGCCCGCCTCGCGTAGTCTTGTCCTAACCTGAATCCCTTGACCCCTCTCTCCTGCAGGGTCTCCATCTTGCCGCCCGCGCGCTCTTCGCCCTGGCGCCTGTCTGCGATCTCGGCATCCACCCGGACGGTCAGCCTGGGGCCGAAGGGACGTTGTGCCTAAGGCTCCGAAGGCCTCAACCAGAAAATCCTTAGACTGACCTGACTGCAACACCCTACGGCCCCATGGCCCTACAGCCCTACGGCTATCAATTTTGTACCCTGGTTTCCCTCAAGCCCCAAGCGCCGCCCCAGGAATGTCCGAGCCGCTGCGTGAGGCGATCCAGGAGCTGCAGGTGCTGCTTCTGCGCCGCCTCGCGCTCCTGGCGAGCTTTGGTATATGCTTTATAGCACCTTTAAGAACTTTAGTACCGAGTGCTGCTGGGAGGAAAAAAAAATGAGATGGGACCGGCCCCTCAAGCAGGAGAGCTGCCTCTGCAACCAGCGCCTTCATGGCAGGGTCGAGCTCCTGTCAAACATGTTGTGCCGGGAAGGGCCAACTGCTTTGCAGGCCCCTGTAGGGATCGCAGGGTTTTTTTTTTGCCACCCGCCTAGCTGACACTCAGGCCACGTTGCAGGGTTTAGGGTCTAGGGTTTAGGGTTTAGGGTTTAGGGTTTAGGGTTTAGGGTTTAGGGTTTAGGGTTTAGGACTTCCGACATCCCACATCCCCAAGTCAAGGCCCCGTCCTTGAGGCTGTTGATGCGCTCTTGGTTGGCGCTTTGGAGGGTCGCGATTTGAGAGTCCATCTCAGCCTTGTGTCCTTCACGACCGACGGCAGGCGCTTAGCGGCACTCTGGCTCTTTTCATCGCTAGGGTTGCGGGTTGCGCTATCAACCCCGTGGATTCCCAACAGGCCTGAAATTCAAGAACCTGACCCAAACTCGGAAGACCCCCCCCCGGAGAGCAAGCGCCCTTTCACCCCGCAACCCTTGAAGCCCCCCAACTATTAAAGCCCTAAGCCCTGTAGCCGCAGCCTCAAGCTCCGCAACCCTCTCAGCCCTCAAGATTAAACGCCCCCAGAATGGGGAGTCGCCCCTATCACCATAACATATTGTTGCTGAGACCCCCTTTGGGGTGGGTGGGGGTTGGACAAAGAGGAAGCCCTCCACCGCACTGCGGTCCTCGAAGGGCGTCGTCGACACGCCCCAACTCCGCTGCACGGGATGCGGCTTCGACCTGGAGCCTCGGAGTATCTTAGGGCCTTCGGGCTTTGGTCTCAGTGCCTCAGAAAAAATCAGACAAAGGAAACATCCCAACACATTCCGGACCCGCCTGCCCACCCCCACACCTGTCAAAGCCCCTCGCAGAACAAGAGCAGTTCAGGCTCTGTTGCCAGACCATGAGCTCTCCACACCCTTGCGCACGCAGCGCCCTGTCTCATCATGATGGCAAGACAACCATTCCACAGACCCTTAAACCTCCGGAACTACACCCTAGACCCTAGACCCTAAACCCAAAGCCCTAACCCTATAAACCTTAAACCCTAAACCCAACCAGGCCGGGAGTCTTGGCAGTCACCTCGGACACAGAGGTCTGGGCCGCGGCCACCGCCGCCTTCAGGCGCTGCTCGGCCTATCACAGAAAAGGATGGGGAGCTCTTCTCAGGAACTTTGAGGAGCTCTCCATATTGGGGTTTCGGAGTGTATTCATCCCCACAAACATGCCGAATCAGGCTCGAATGCATGACACTCGTCCACGACTTTTCCATAACCACCATTGGGGAAGGCTGAGAGGATCATCTTGCAGATTCGTCTTGGCTCCGACACTGAAGTGAGGTGAACTCGAACCCTCACCCTCCCAACCCTTCAAAACCCTGCACACCCGAAACCCCAGAAAACCCTTCTTGCACCTGAAATTCCTGAACCTAAACCTCAGAAACCTTCCAAACCCCAAACTCCCCCAGAAAAAAATCTACCTCAAACCCCACCCGGTGCCTGCTGGAGATCCGACTTGGCTTCGGAGCCCAGAGCTTCCTCAGGGGGTGTTCGTCTTCTTGCTTTGCGCCAGTCAGTTTCCAGGGTTTATGGTTGGAGCCTTCCAATCTCGAAGCAAGCCTCGGTGGACCCAGACCTGAACCTTACACCCCTTCTAAAAGTTTGTACTGAGTTGGTACTGTAGCCCCCCTTTGCCCCTCAACCCTAAGCTGCCCTAAACCCTAAACCCTAAACCCTAAACCCTACACCCTAAACCCCAACAAAAGGCGAGAGGCCATCCGCTGCTGCAACTGCAACCGGCGGTCCGACTCCGACTTGAGCTCGTGAGCCTTTTGGGCGCTGAAGGCACACCCCAGCGCCGAGGAAGCTCGGCACATCATTGCTAGGGTTTTTTTCGCTCCCGCATAGCTTGCTGGGGTTTAGGGTTTAGGGTTTGGGGTTTAGGGGGGTTAGGGTTTAGGTTTAGGGTTTAGGTTTAGGGTTTAGGGCTTCTTTTGGGTTTTGGGTTTTGGTTAGAGGGCTTCTAGGGCTCAGGGTGCCAGACAAACTTGAGGGGAAGCCACTGGGCACCAAAAGTAAGAATAGCCTGCTCGACCGCGTTGGGTGTTGAGGGCTTCAATTCCAAAAGGCCAGAGAAGCGCCCCGGAACATCCTGGAACCAGATTCCTGCTTTGAGCCCGCAAGCTGTTGAACCTTCCACTTACGTGCAGCCAAGCTTCCAGGTTGCGCATGTCTGCCTGGCTTGGAAGCTTGCTACGCGGGGGCCATGGTACGTTGGGGGGGTCCTCGAGTTCCTGTTATCCTACGGCCTGAGACCCGAACACCCTTTTAAATAACCCCAAGGGCCGGAAACCCCCATAAACTCTTCATGTTGAGGGAACTGACCCTGGGGTTCGGCCCGGGGGGCGTCTCAGCCCACCTCACCCCTCAGGCATGGACTGCGAGAACTCCAAAAAAGGGGCCTCTTGTGTTGTCAAAGGGGGCGAGGCCGACTCTGATGACCCTAAACCCTAAACCCTAAACCCTAAACCCTAAACCCTAAACCCTAAACCCTAAACCCTAAACCCTAAACCCTAAACCCTAACCAAACCCCTTTGGAGGAGTTCTGCGATCGCTCACGGCTGGGCCCCCCCCAAGCCTTGCTTTCTTCGGCGAGCCGGCTTCGACTGGCGGCCTCGCTGTTGATCCTTGGCAGCAGGGGCCCACTGAGCCCTTAAATCTCTGAATCCCTGAACCTGGGACTGTGTGAAGGCCAGGGTTAGGGGCTTAGGATTTAGGATTTAGGGTGAAGGGCCAGGGACCTAAGTTCAGGCGGGTTGATACATCACCAAAGCCCTGAACTCGACTCAACCCACCTGCCAGGTGAAGTTTGAACCAGATCCAAGAGCCCTAAATCTGCTCAGGGTTCGGGCTTGGGGCTTGAAGTCTCAAAACTTAAGGTATTGAGCCATGCGCAAAACCAGGGCTCATCGCACGCACCTCCCCGAAGCAGCGCAGACCTCGGCCCAGGCCCAGACTCCGGGCTATGGAATTCGAAGGGGGGAGGACACCCTTAGAACCACCTGATGTTGAATCTCCGTCTGGGCTTCATAGGACAAAAGGCGACAATACCACACAATTCCTAAGGGCACGCCACACGCATTAAAACCTTGAATGCCCGGGGACTCTCGTCGGCCTCTCGCTGGCGAGCTTCAGACTGAGCCTGCCAGAAACAGGGATTTGTGCGGAGACGAACCTTGCAAAGGGGGACTCTCCAAAGTCGCCAGACTCTAGGGGGTGAGAGAGGTCTCAAACGCTCCCTTCGCAAAACGGAAGAACACAAGGGCATGTCTCGAGAATCCCTTCTCAGAGTATGTCGCAAGCTGCGGTGACGCCAGTCTGCCGACCAAGACCTCGACTCCACCCGAGCACCTTGGAATTCCCCGACTCGAAACCCCCAAAGCAAACAAACGGGGCGCCTGCAAAGCCTCCTTCAACGCGCCCACCTTCTGCTCAAGGGCATCCGTCTGCCCCGCCTGCACTGCCTGGACCTGCTTTCGAACATGCAGGCGCAGACACGCTTTTGATTGAGTTATTAACACAAAACAGTTACTACGTTTTGAACCATATCATCTGTACAAAAATATACTGGTCTTCCATGTCAGAGGGGTGTTCTTCCAACAACGGGTGCCTGGGACTGAAGGCTCGCGACCACCTCAGTGGTGTTCCGGCCGACCTCCTGCCGAAGGCGGTGGACCTCCGGAGGGGTTTAACACTGACATCTCTCTCGGAGGGTTCAAGGACGAGGACTCAGCCTGTGCCTTGGGTCTTGAGGGGAGTTGCCATCGGATGAAAGGTGGAATCGCGGTTGCTTCGGCTTGGTATGGGAGGGCCGATATTCGAAGGACTCGTTGCACCAAAAGCACAGGGCCCACGCCCCTGCTGGCGCAGGAGACGATGTCCGAGCTGGACAAAGACTAAAAAGCCCTAACCACTGAACTTCGTGGAAGGCAGCGAGCGACAACCCGAGGTCCAGCTTGCGCCACAGCGCCGCAAGAGCTCGTGAGATAAGCTTGACAACACCATCAAGGCACACTCAACGCTATCCGTGGCTCCGGATGGCCGAACTTAGACCGGACTCTACCGTAACCCTCCTTATTCTTGGGGGTCCAGGCCCCTGAAGACATGCGAAGCAACAACGAATACATTATAAACACACACACACACACACACACATACACACACACGCACATACACAAACAACTAGACACGCCCTGCAACCCCGAAGAAAGCTCGCACCTCCAGGGCAAGCCGCTCCTTGAGCTCATCGATCTCACTCTTCAGGCCGCCTTCGGCTGCCTCGTCTACTTTTGTGTGCTGGAACCCGCATCCCCCAGAAGCCCCTGGACCTCAAAGGACCAGAGGGCCTTTGTGAAGTTCAGGGCTCAAGGAGTGGGCCGGTAGCTTCAGGAGTTGAATGACAGACAACTTGGACTCAACATGAAAACCCGATCGAAGGACTTCCCGAGCCTTGTACATTGCACGTCTGCCGCCTTCTACAGCTTTCTTATTCACAGGGGAGGTGATCCCTCGGCTGTAGCTCCAGGCTTGAGAACTTGGATGCGCAACTCAAGCACTGGCTGCGACCCTCTGTGCACACACTGGCCTCACGGGATCCACGCTCACGCATGAGCTGCTGCTGGAGCAGGGTGGCGGCGTGCTTATTCTCACTGAGGGCGACGGAGAGCTCCGCGGTTTGCGTGCGCATGTCTGCCAGGATCTGCCTGGAGCGTTTCGCGCTTTGGGGTTTGGAGGTCATGGTCGAAGTTGTGGGGTTTGGGGGGGGGGGGGGGGGGGGGGGGGGTGGGTCTGGGTTTTTGTTTGCAACCCCTGCCTGGTTTAAGGGCTTCGGTCATAGTCATGCCATTTGCAGGTATTTAGGGGTTCTTCTGGCTCAGCGAAAGGAGTTTGGGGCGACTGCCGTGCAAAACGTTTTGCATTAGGGCTTCAGGCTTTCACGCTTAGTGGGGTTCAGGGCTTCTTCGAAGCCCAGACCCTGCTCCAACTTCCAAAACCCGCAGCAGGCAGCCTGCCTCAATTCCTCAAACCCTACCGTTCTGAAGAAGAGCAGCAGGCCCCACACAAAAAACAACAAAACAAATCCTGAAACCCCCGAACGCCTAAACCCCGCAACAACCATCAGCTCGAACCCTCCCCCCCCCCCCCCCCCCCCCCCCCCCCCTCCCCCCTCCCCTTCGCCCCTCCCCCTCGCCCGAACCTCAGCAGTGCCCAGCGCAAGACGCCAGACTCCTTGAGGTTTCAGGGGGCTTCTCGCGTTCCTCTTGAAGGGCTTGACAGCAGGGTTTGACAGAAGGGTTTGCCTGGAGAGCCCTTGCTTGCGCCCTGCTTCACAGAGGTGAGTTGCTGTCAAGGCCCCACGGGGGCGTTACTGTATAAGATTTACAAAGCCAAGGAATAGGGCACCCCTCTCGTAGAGGGGCTCCCGGAAGAAAAAGCTGAGCAAGGATCTATACCCTAAACCCTAAACCCTAAACCCTAAAGGCCCTAAACGCTAAACCCTATCATCCTCAGCTTGAGCCCTTACACACACTTGCGTTGCAAATTCCGCGCCCGGTCCTCTCGAGCACGCTCCAGGTCCAGCAGCGCATCCTCCCCGGTGCCTCGGAGCAGCGCTTAAGCAGTTCTCAAGGTTCTTGTCTCGAAGGGTCGGATTAGGATGTTCGGCGGGTTCTGGGTTGGGATAATCCCTAAACTCCTTTTCCCCAAACCGCAGACCCTGAAATTCCCCAAAACCCTAAACCCTAAATCCTAAACCCTAAACCCTACACCCTAAACCGAAAAAACACCTAGATGCTCCCAGCGGCTGATCGCCAGCTCACCCGGGCCGCGGAGCAGTGCGCGGGCGGCATCCGCATCGGTGGCCAGCCGGGTCCCCTCGGGACCGATGATGTCGAAGGGCGCCTGCTTGCAAGGCACAGGGTTTAGGGTTTAGGGATTAGGGTCTAGGGTCTAGGGGTCTAGGGTTTAGGGTTTAGGGTTTAGGGTTCAGGCTGTATACCTATGTGCTGTTCTATTCCAGTACATGCGATGATCCACCATGAGCTGCTACTTCTGTGCGATGATATACTCTGATATACCATTCCATATTACATGCTACTTGTGTGCGATGATATACTACGATATACCATTCCATATTACATGCTTCTTTGATACATACTATTACATACAATTTGTTGCATCCTACGACGTCGGGCATGATGTACTATCGTGTACCATGGAATCTTGTTTTATGCTAGCGTCATTTTTTCTGCAGCTGGGGTCTCAGTCATGCCAGGCATTATGCTAGCATCTACCATTACACGCTCTTTTACAACCTTCTAGTGTTGCGCCCATACTATACATATGTTTACGGAACGGAACTGCGAGACCTGTACTTCGACACTTGTACCGCGGAGGCCTTGAGTCCAAAGGCCCCCGCAGCACGCGACTTGAGCGCGTCCAGGCCATCGTCCGGCAAGAAAGGCACCTTCTCCGAGCACGCACGCGCGGGGTCGTGGCGAACCCATGGTTTAGGGTTTAGGGTTTCGGGCTTAGGGTTTAGGGGTCATGGAACGTGTCAGGTTTTGGGACTAAGAAGGACTATGACGGGCCCTCTCTGGGCACCAGAGAATGTAAGGGTACCGGCAAATAGAACGACCGAAGGGACCACACCATGTCCAGACCCTGCCTGGCCTGCAGGCCCGAAACAGCAACAAACCCGAAGGCACCCCCACTGCCAACCAAAAGCTGCTCAATGTGAGAAGTGAGAACCTTGAAGCAAACACGAGCACCTTGGCCAACAAAAATCAATCCTCTCAAGCCCGGGGCCTTCGCCGCAGAGTTGCAAAGCCGAACCTGCACCTGGCAGCTGAGTCTATGGCTGGCTTCGGGTTTCGGAGCTTCGGGGTTTGGGGTAAGACGAGCTGCTGGCTTCGTCAGGGTTGCTCTGCCTCTGCACGCCAGAGGTTTGGAATTCGGGCTTGTGTTCCCCCATTTGTTCACTTTGTGAGGGGTTATTGGGGCGCGGGGTTCAGGCTTCGGTTTTTAAGTTGCATAGAACTAGAGGTGCCAGGCTCTCTCAGCAACATCAGAAACTGCTAGTAGTGCTCTGGGTGCAGGGAGCTTCTGGCCGTGCAACGCCAGTGTCGAGAATTTTCCGAGTCTGACCCAGGCCTTAACGCTGGGAATCAGCTTGTTTTGGAGCTCTAGTCAGAATAGCAAGCGCACAACGCCTCAAACAAAAATGCTACACCCTTGGTCCTACAACGGAAGGTACACGAAGCACAACCACCTCCGTCTGGTGGGGGCTGTCGGCAGCTGCTGTTGCCATCGCACCGAGCAAGGACCGGGAAAGGTATGTTACAGGGCCGCGAACGCCGCAGCCTTAAGTGGGGGACCTGCTCAGTGGCCTTTCCGAGCCCGGGCGACAAGTTGGCCGTGCCAGCTTGCGAGCTCACTGATGGGCTGCTGCAAACTTAGAGGGAGGGAGGCCGAGGTAACGTTTTCGCACCTGTTTTCCGGCAGTCTGAGCGACAATGGTTTTGGCAGCACCTGTGTTTGTGCTGGAAGGTGCGGGAATGTGCTGGACATCCTTCACAGCTTTCTAATCATTCAGGCTGGCACAATGCACGCCATCTCAAGTCAGCACCCTCAGTCAAAGCTTGGTAGCGGCTCCCGGCATATGGACTGACATGGCGACAAGGTGCCAGCCCGCACTGCACGAGCAAACTCCTACAAAAATTTAGCAGAAGCAGGCTGTCAGACGCACCAAGACGTAAGTCTCCAAAACCGTGCAGGCGCCTGGCATGCGAACCTGCCTTACTTCCCCTTGAAGTACTCTGCCACACCCTCCGTAGTGGGCTTCATGGCCTTGGCTCCCTTCTTCCATTGGCAAGGGCAAACCATGGGATTTCCATCTTTCACGCTCTTCTCATGGAACTGCAGCGCGTCGAGGACGCGCAACACTTCCTGCGTCCGAAAGCAAAGACCCAAGACAACCTACTGAAACCCCCTGGCGCCCATCTTCACCGTGGGACCCTACATTTCTATAACACACTAAACGACCGACTTCTTATTGTTATAGTTATATTGTCGAACTGTAGACGTAGGGTACCGCATGGTGCCACTCAACCCCAACAAGGCTTCAACTTTAGTTCAACAACCCACTCCATCGTTCATCACTCATCACTGAGCGCTCGCAAGCCAATCCTCTACGTTGCGTCCCAGCGGGAGGTCGTTCTTCATTTCCGATCGCACGATGCCCTCCTGGCATGGCTGGCGCAGAGGGCGGGGGTGGAATCTCCTGGGGCGATCCGAAGCCCTGCGGGCCTCACACTGTGGTAGCACTCGAAGAAACCCTCAACCCAAAATCCCTCTAAATTTCAAGCAGGGACCCTCCAAGAACCCGAGCGCACAAGCCCGGCAAGGCACCTTGTCGATGATGTAAACGGCCCGAAGCGCCAGGCCATTGTCCAAGAGGCATCCATAGGCGTCGCTCACCTAAGCTCGCCAATAGCCCATGTGAGGAGCTTCCAGGGTTCAGGGCTCCAATGTAAAACAGAATGTTGGAGCAGGGGCTAACTACAGTTTCCGCCTTCTGCCCGCGATGCTCCTTAACTTTACGGGGTCTGTGGTGGAAACGGCCACTCCCGGCACAGCACACTCCAAATGAGAGTCCCGTTTGAGGCAGCACCCATCGGGAAGGTGAAGTAGTGATACCAGGGTTTAGGGTTTAGGGCTTAGGGTTTAGGGTTCAGGTTTTAGGGTTGAGGTTTCCAACCACACCACTGCAAAGATCCAACTTGGAAGGCAATCCTTCACCTCAAACCCGAACCTCCTCTCCCGCCTCCTTCTTGACATCCGCCAGCAGTGGATGGGACATGGGCCCGATGCCGCCCTTGTCTTGAGGCGTGTTCTTCCACGCCTCCGGCAGTCTTTCACTTAGGGCCTAGGGCTCTCCTGGAATGACAGCGACAGCTGTCCTGCTGTGCACAAGATACGGTGTTCATCTAGGTGTGGAGTTTTGGTCCACCACATGGTTGAGAACTCTCCCGAGTTTGCGCGCCGGCCTTATGCACGTGCTCGGTGTCGATAGAGAGGCCCAGCACCTGAACCCCACGGTCATCGAACTCCTGAGTCGAAGGCCGAGGTTTGGTTCTTCGCCTTCTGCCGAATTTAGCCAAGGCGTGTTGGGGCGGGTTCAGGTTATTATATTATAATATTATATTCTTATAATTAATCAGTTATTAAAAGTGATCAGGGAGTGATCGGATCGGATTCTCTGGGCTCTGGAATGGTGCGGCCTTCTGCATCTTCGAGAAGGTCACGAGCTCGCTCGCGCAAACAAAGGTGAAGTCTGCCGGGTAGGTGTACAGCACCACGTACTTCTTGCCTGAAACGCTGAATACAGCCGGGGGGGGGGGGGGAGGGGGCAGTCGCTCCGAATATCTCCGAATCCTAAACCCTGACGCCGACCCGCAGGCTTGCCCGAGCATTGCCCAAAGCCTCCCTGAGAGAAGGAAACCCTAAACCCTAAACCCTAAATGATTCTGGGCTGAGACTGAGCTCATGGACCCCCCAGACCGTGACCTGCCTTGGTAGCTGGCAAGCTCCACCTCCTGGAAGGAGTCGTCCGGCATGCCTGTTTTCAGCTACGCTGTGGGTTTCGGGTTTAGGGTTTCCGGTTTCCGGGTTCCGGGTTCCGGGTTTAGGGTTTAGGGTTTAGGGTTTAGGGTTTAGGGTTTAGGGTTTAGGGTGCTGGTTTAGGGGATGTTTGCTTGAGATTAAGACTTCGGCGAACCCACAATTGCACCCCCCCTCTTCTTCCCGGGCACATGCCATCAACTTGAAGTTCGGCGCGGGCTGCTGGACCAGGGTGGAGAAGGATCCTCGGGCCCCGGATTTTTGGGGTCGCAAGGTTTAAGGATTCTAGGGGTTTGGGCTCTGAAGCTTCTAGGGTTGCTTTGGGGAGGAAAGAGTGCATGTCTGCGGTCACCTGCACAAGTCGTGCAACCCTGAATCTCCACGCCCTTGAGCCGTGAAGCCCCACATACACCCAGAGCCAGCCCTTTTTGCGACTCTGCCAAACCCTATTCAACCCTTGATTTCCATCTGGGCTGGGTGGGGAATGCCAGAAAAAAGCAGCCTACTAAACCCTAACCCCCTAAACCCCAACTGAGTCAAGTCTCTCTTCTGGCCCTTTGCTTCTGCCATGACCTGGATCGAGGCAAAAGCGCAGGAAAACAGCAGCCTGTACAGCTCATGCATATTTGTTCCAAGCATGAAGCTCGGGCAGATGAAGCGTATTGGCGTTTTAGGATTTGCTCCGCACCATCGAGGCTTCTGAGTGAAATACCGCACTCTGCCAGCGACGCGGAACCGCACAGTGTTGGCTCAGTGTTTTGGGGCGATGATCCACTTTGCAAGGTCTAGAAAGATGTAGTGCTTTCTAGCTTCAGAGATTTGTATGGGGGGGGGGGGGGGCGGACTGTGCATCTACGTGACCTTCCCGTCTGTTAGAAATGAACCCAAATGAGGGCGTACGATACGAGGGGCACCTCCCAATTACAAGGGGATCCTACTATTTGGGGGTCTATACTAGGGGGGCCTTACAATCGTAAACCCTCAAATGACCCAACCCAGGCCCCCCTGACAAGCCTCCGGATGAGAGCGCCGGATGCCGATGTCCCGTGTGTTCCAAGACTTGTGAGCCCGTGCCGGCGATCTTCAAAGATTGGGTGTCTGAGTCCAATTATCCAGATAGTACGCTACATATTGTTCCTGTATATGTATAACGCCCCCCCTGGGTACCTAGGCTTCCTTTTCTTCTGTGCCTCAGGTACCGGCCTCCTTTGGCCGGCTATACTGTCCCCTCAAACCAACCCCAGAAGCTGAACATGTACTGAGATTGTTTTTTTGGGACAGTATGGCACATTCAGCCCCCCTTTTTTGAGGAGGGGCTGCAGTGCGATTTGCCCTCATTCAGCCCCCCTAAAAACCTATCCCAGAAGCCGACATGCTGTACTGTCCCTAAAGAACCTAAAAGCCAAATCTGGAAGCCTTTCAGCCAGGCCCTCTTCTCGAGATTGTTTTTGGGGACCGTAAACAGCACTGTCAGCACCTCAGGCCTTCACAGTGCTACACTGTCCCCAAGAGAGCCATCCCTGTAAGTAGAAATGCTGTATTGCCCCAAAGAACCAAAAAAACAAACTCTGGAGGCCTATACAGCCAGGTCCTCTTCCACAGATTGGATGCTTTAATGGGACAGTACAGCAACACGCCTTCAAAGTGCCGTAATGTCCCCAAAGAAACCCATCCCTGAAGCCTAAAATGTTGCACTGCCCCTTCCGGGTTTCGCCCATGTGCATGGAATCCTCCTCCATTCGATGCCGTCGTTAAGATTCAATTCTTCTGGCAGGTGTTCGCTGATGCGATGCAAAGACAACTGGCTTTTGCAGGTGTGCGGGCCGGGTGTGCTATACTGTAGGTACTAATGATATCATCGATGTTGTATTTACAACTCTTTACATTAACAGTACCGAAAAATATGTGTTGGTTTTTCATATCAGTGTTTTCGTATATTAACTACAATATGTATATATATATATACATATACATACATGAGTATACGTACATGTATATATATATGTATACATATATCTGCCGTGCCATCCCTAAGGGTCTTGCTACGCAAAGGCATTTCTATTTATATACGTGTATGTATATATGAGCCTGAGACCTTTAGGGTTTTGGCTTAATGTTTACATAGCAATTTAAAACGGGAAAGCAAAACTTAAAAAACACATATGTATATACGAAGCCCACCATGTTCTTTTGTATCGCCATGAACAGAGTCGTCAAACAGAGCTTGAGCTCGGAGCTGCTCACACATCTACATGTTTTGTCCAGATATATATTTTTTACAGTATACTTTCATCTAAATTATCCAACTCCTCCAAAGCCGTACTAACCCCAACCTACATATATACGCTATATTCATTTATCTAACACAATCAGTAAAGTTAGAAAAAACAACAAAGAGCTTCTCTCACTGCTTCTTCTCGAGCAGATGCATCCACCGGCCGATGTGTGGCTCCTGCAAGTAAAAATTCTAGTGCAACCCTAAACCCTCGACGCCAAAAACTCTAAACCTTAAACCTTAAACCCTACAACTTAAACCTTAAACTTCATTTCTTTAACCGCAAACCTTATTGAAAGCGTCAAACCGTCGTATCCGGAAAGCTAAACCTTAACTCTTATGCCCGAAAACTTCAAAACTTAACTCTCCTGCCTTCAACCTTATCAACTTTTCTGTTTATCCTCATGTATATATCACTAAATTGTAATTTAATTTAGATAATAGCAAGAAGCGCTTGACGAGACTGCTGAATTGAAGCGCAAGTCTTGCATTCGCAGCACTCAGGCAAGGTTTGCCTGTTTTAGCGCGTCGCCTTGCTGCTCTGCGATCAGCGTCTCAGGTTACTCGACCTTGGATTGCGCTGGTGTGATATCTTCTTATGACTAGGACAGCTGCTTAGGACGGGCTGCGTTGAGTGAAGCTTCGACGCAGGCTGAAGAAGATATTGTCCGCAGACGAACCTCATTGCGGGGGGGGGGAATACTTCAAGTGTTAAGAGATGAAAAAAGCGTAAAAAGACTATTAGGAAATGAGCTGGCGACTTCCACTGAGCAAAATGGCACTTTCCCGGAGCTCCCTCATGACAACTTAAAGTTTAAAACATCATTGTCGAGATGGATGCGGTTGTTTCACTGCCTCCATGCGGCCCTGCCAGAAATGCTGGCGGAGCCCGCAAGTATTGCACAAAACAAGCGGATTGCGCCAGTCGTTGTGGTGCCTCGTGAAAATTTGGATGAGCATACCGACATTCCAGTAAGTCTAAACATGTCTAAACATAAAAAATAGTAAGCGAACAGCCACAGCTGTTTCTCGTGCTTGTAGGAGTCCACCATCATGACCTTAGAGAAACGTACGCTACGACTAAGCGTTCTAATCGCCCACGCCAGCCTTCGGCGTATCCTTGAAATGGATCTGCTTTGCAGGCTCCGGGGTCTTCTTCATGATAGACTTCACCTCCAGCGCAGTGCGCAAAACTCTATTTCCTTAGCATAGTAATATTGCTTATCATGTAAACAAATTCTTGCAGTTAGAGATACTATGCTCCAGTTCGTATGAACGTCTACAGTCGTATGGCCTTGTTCTTGTTCTCTTCCTCTTGCTTCTTCTTCTGGCGAAAGGACTCCTGGTGTTCCTTATCAACATGATTTTAACATGCAGAGCTAAAGTCGCCGATAAATCAAAAAAACTAAGAGGAGAGCCATCGCTCGGAAGTTCTTCTTCCACGTCGTGCGCGGCGACTGGTGTTTCTTGTCCTTGCCCGACTGGCGCTTCTTGCTCTTCCCCACGACGCCTGAATTTATATAACGAAAGAAATGAAGTTCTTACAGATGCTCAATCTGCAATCTGCAAAGGCTGGCCTGCGAGGCACAACGCAAGAACGCCGAAGAAAAGACGCACAACTTGAGCAAAGGCTTGATGCAGTCGAAGCATGACGAGATGGTGCACTCGCTAACGCCAGCGTCTGAACTCCAATATCCAAAGCCTGCAATTGTCGAAGCCTTGTCCGTCTAAAAACCGCACTCTCAAATCTCAAACCTTAAATCCATTGTTCAGTACTGCACTTGAAGTGACAAAAGCCGGCATTGTCCTCGTCAAGTCAAGAAACTTATGGCTGCAACCGCACCCTAAATGTTTTCAGGGTTTCTTGTTCTTTACTCTTCGCCATCTAGCCTGAAGCTGAAAAACGAACTAACAAAAACACAATGGGATTAGTAACCTTAAGAACCATAAGAACCATGAAACTAGTCGTGGTCCCTGAAACCTCCCTGATAATTCTTGTCCCAACATTTATCCCAGCGGACAACACCATAATAGCCGTAAAATTCTTTGGGTCAATCTTTTTGGAGTTCATTTGTCATGCGTCGCCCTCTACTAGACAACAATGACATATTCAGGACTTGAGATGTGTCCTGTCATGCTTCGTCTTTCACGAAGGAACGATGACGCAGTTCAGGGCCTGACATGTGTCATTTTTTTGCCCCATAGACAAAAGGCACTTATACACTCCAAAGCATGGAATGCGTTATGTTGCGCGCTCTTCTTGTATGGGGTTCTTTGGGTATCATAAAGCAAAAAGTTCGAGGACCTTAAGTACATATGTTTAAGGTATATCGTTTGCTTTTGGGTTTCAAGGGTTTAGGATAGGATGCTACCGATATGGCTGTAAAAAACACGTTGATGCGTTTATGTTAGGCATGGCTGGCCTGGTGTTTTTCCATGCATTTTCTCAATGATTCACGCAAATGACGTGTTTTTATACTGCTGCTGTCACGCAGCGAATCTCCAACAGATTCTTGAAACGAATACATCGGCTTCCGGTTGTATCTGGGTTCTTTCCGTTTTGTATCCGGGCCCTACGTTTTTGTGTCGTTCGCTCTTGGTGACAGTGGAAACACAGTCAAGTTCGAGTCAGTTTTTTTGTGTGTAGCCACAAGACGGCCCAAAAAAATAAGGCTCAAGCACCGTACCTTGCTCCAAAGACAATGTTTTGCATTGTTCACTCATGGTTAAACAAAGTGTAGGCAACAACAGTAAGTGGGTATTCTTGCTTGTCCTTTTTCACACAGCTGCCCAACCCACAGCCCCTGCAAACCCCCCTGTCAGAGACTGCAGCAACAGGTAACAGGGGAGCTATGACATGGAGGTGGCTGGACCTAAACCCTCAACCCTGTGGGGATAGGGTGTCAGATCGGTTTGAAAAATGAGCAGGGGAGTTTTGAAGACTGCTTGTATGAGAATTTTCGCACAGAGAAACAGCGGGATTTTGGGGGGGCTTTGCTTGTATAGCACCAACCGCGCCACCACGAACCGCAGCAGCACCACCAAAGCAGTGCAGCCCAAAGGATTCAGCACAGAAATGTGTCGCCGGAGAAGGCGCCAACAACAGCAGCACCAGAATCAGGAGCGCCACACCCCAAGAGAACAAAGACGCACCAACACACAAAACAAGAACACCCTATACAAGCCAAGACACCATCAAATCCCCGCTGCTTCACTGTGCGAAAGTCCCATAGAAGCACAGTCCGCTCAAAGCCCCGCTGCTTCTTTGTGCGAAAATTCTCATAGAAGCACAGTCCCCCCAAACCCCCGCCGCTTCTCTGTGCGAACATTTTCATAGAAGCACAGTCCCCCAAAAACCCCCCTGCTTCTCTGTGCGAAAATTCTCATAGAAAGCACTGTCCCCCCAAACCCCGAAATTCTTTTCCGAGCCCGTGAATTTAAATAATCAAAATAATCTAAAGAATTCAAATAGATTGAGGATTTCTCCGAACCCAGACCATTTAGATAATTTAAATATTTTAAATAATTTAAAAAATGTAAATCCAGATGTAAATTATGTAAATTATTTTCGAAGCCCGTGAATTTAAATAATTTAAGTCGGTATTTAAATTAGTCAAATAGTTTCCAGGCCCGTGAATTGAAATAATCTAAATCTCGAATTAAAATATTTAAATTCACGGGCCTCGAAAATAATTTAAATAATTCAAATCCCGATTTAAATTCTTTAAATTATTTAAACTATTTACATTATCTAAATTATTTAAATTATTTAAATTAGTTAGATGGTCTGGGCTCGGAGAAAATCTGAATCAATTTTAATTCTTTAAATTATTTAAATTCACGGGCCTCGGAACTAATTACATTATTTTAAATCCCGAATTAAATTATTTAAATTCACGGGCCTCGAAACTAATTTACATAATTGAAATCCCGATTTCAAATATTTAAATTCTTTTCCGAGCCCGTGAATTACAATAATTTAAATAATCTAAAGAATTCAAATAGATTGAGGATTTCTCCGAACCCAGACCATCTAGATAATTTAAAAAAATTCAAATAATTTAAATCCAGATTTAAAATATTCAAATTATTTTCGAAGCCCGTGAATTAAAATAATTTAATTCTGTATTTAAATTAGTTAAATTAGTTTCGAGGCCCGTGAATTCAGATCATTTAAATCTCGAATTAAATTATTTAAATTCACGGGCCTCGAAAATGATTTAAATAATTTAAACCATTTAATTCTTCCATACGTTCTCTGTACATATAGAAAAACAGGTAGCAACATAGTACATAAAGGTCCCTCTCTCATGTGTATATATATATATGTGTGTGTGTGTGTTTATTTATTTCTTCTTTTTGTTCTCTATTTATGTTGCTTTTTTCATTGTTGTCTTTATTTATTTAGATGTTGTATATATATATATATATACATGTGTATATGCGATGTTTGAATGCCTGGTTTCCGGCCTATTTAGCATCAGTCCGTGCATCGAAGCTTGATCGCTCCGTAGATGTGATGGTAAAGGAAACCGAGAACTTCCACTCTTGCATGTTCCCCATCTTCGCGAAATACAAGAGCTGCTACATCTTGCAGCCTCGAATGCCCGACTTGATTTCCCGCATTGCCGAATCTTAAAGTCCCACCACAGAATCCATGCGCCCGTCGCACGCTTTGACTCTTTCCACTGGGCGGGCTTCCATCCGAGTGTGGCACAAAGCGATCGCCACTAGGTCCGGGATCCTTGCTGGCAGGGTCGGGATCGGGATGTTGGAGGTTTTGTTAGCTGTCATGGAGATCGAATGATCTACTACAAACCCCTGACCTAAGCCACGTCAAAGGGAAGCTGAGTGCAAGGCTCCCCCCGGGAAGCCGAGAAGCATCGACCTTGTCTGATTCTTGGGTTTCGAGACGGGCGGGCGCGTTCTCGTGGGGGGTGTTCGGTGCCTCTGTGGCCACTTGAAGGCCAACTTTGAAGGCCATTCGACTCTCCGAGCTGTTTCGGTATGAAGGTATTCAGCCATGCACAAACACCGAAGCGCTCCCGAAAGCCTGAACACCCCGAGCATCCCCAAACCTCCCTCTCCCCCCCCTCCCTCACCCCCTCCCTCCCAAAAAACAACCTTGATGGAAATCAGACTCTTGATGTCAGCTGGCACGACCTAGATCCTCAACCTCGGGCCCCCCAACATGACGCCGCTTTCCCGGAGTTGATCCTGCGAAGCTGGGAGTTTGGGGGGGGGGGGGGTTTGGGGGCTTAGGGTTCAGGGCTTATGGGGCTTTTCGGGTTAAAGGCCTCATATTTTGGGCTTGGGTCCGAACTGTCCTCAGAACTGTCCTCCTTGCTCTTCTGAGGCACGAGGAGTTTTTGGGCAGCTGAAGGGGATGAGGCTTCGGGTCTCGGGCCCGAGTGGTGGTTGGCAGAGTAGGGTTGTAGCCCTCAGGATCAGCTACTCTCATCTTCTGCTCGGCGAAGACCCCATAAGTTCCAACCTAGCCCCCGGGTTGCGAAAACCTCTAACTCCCTCCAGCCTATCCCCTCCAACCTCCTCGCCCTCACCCGCCCCCACCCTCACCCCCCCCCCCCCCAAACTAAAAGAAAGGGAGAAAGACTAAAACCGACCAGAAAGAACACCTTCGACATGGCTCAAGCCTTAGCCTTGGTGCCTTAACTTCTTGCACATATGCTGCGAGATCCACCATTTCCCAGCATCCCGAAAGCCCGCGCTCTCTTCGGAAGCCGAGGAGGGGACGTGCTGCCAGGCCTCACACACGGCTTCCCTCTTACATAGAAGCCCTTTGAAGCCTAGATGGGATGCCGAGAATGACTTGTGCGATGCAAATAGATGGAGTTAGCTCACCGAACCCTCCCTCTAAAACATCTCGTTCTCCCCCTTCCTCTCCTTCTGCCCTCCCCCCTTCTTTCGTAGGGCTAGGCCCCGCCAACTGCCCTCCAAGCTCCACTTTCACACTCTCAAACCTGCAATCTCTAGAGCAAGCACAACCTTTTCCAGCCCCGTATAGAACAAGAACTCTAACGCCAGGAAGAAGCCCCCCCCAAGCCCCCCCAAAACGGCCACAAAACCCAAGCGCCCATAAATGCGAGGCAAGTGGCACTCTCCATCAGGAGGAGGCCCCGCACGAGGGACTCCGGGTCGATCTCCGGCCTTTTTAGGGATCTCAAAAATCACAGTAACGTCTCTCTCTCTCTCTCTCTCTCTCTCTCTCTCTCTATGTATATATATATATATATATGTATTTGTATATATATATATATATATATATATGTGAATATATATATATAGAGAAATTGCGTATTGTATTTTTGATTATGATCTGATATATTACATATTGCATGAAAAGTCTTAGAAATCCGGAGGTTTCTTCTGCTCCCGCCTAGCTGGGGCCCAGCTGGACGCGGGGAGTTTAGGGCTTTGCCGGTGGAGGTACTCAAAATCATAGCCCGGAAGAAATCCCAGATCAGCAAACACCCAAGTCGCCAAGAAGCCTGAAGCTCCCCGCCCCCTCCCCCCCCAAGGATTCCCGCGCACCGCGAGCGACAAGTAGGAGTATACCTACACGGGGGACAAGAGATGCTACTCAACCAGACTTTACCAACAATATACACCCAACACACTTGAGTGCCCCCGTGTGAGCATACCATCGGCGAAACTCCCTTGTTCTTTGGCAAGGTCGAGTACGAGACGGCTACAATAGGAACCAAGCTGGGACTCGCTCAGGACAGTGCGCCTGCTTTGTGAGGCTTGAAGTCATGCCCAAAAGTCGTGAGATCTGTCGGCTTTCGCCCTCCAAGGTCGTTGCAAACTGCTTCCGGTACATGCCCACCATATCCCACCACTTCCCTGTGGAAGATCTGCACGATGTTGGTTTTGTCAACAGACCTGGCTTGAGCCCTTGCAAAGCGGAGCTGGTGCTCATTTAGGCCTGGACAGGTGGGGGTAAAGCCCTGGTAGCCTGGGATATGGAAAGTGCCTTTCGTCGTCCCAGCAGTCAGGTCGCTTTTGAACACCGGCATTTGGTCTTCCCACGGCGAGATCTTCTCCCGTGGGTTCGAGCCATGCCTTCCGAAGTCTGCTTTGTGACCGCTCAAGTCCAGTACTTTGCTTACACAACTTCGCGGCGTTGCCACCACGCGCCGGGCCAAGATCTGCTGCGCCGTCAACTGAGGGGTGGGTCTGCTGGACGTGGCCTCGCGAGATGTATGGCGATATTCAGAGCACCAATGGGCGCCTGAACTTGCAGGCCGTGTTGCGGACATACCGGGGCAGTCCCTTGAGCCAAGAGCTACTTTGCCACACGCATGGCTGCCGGTTAAAGAGTTTCGGGTTGGACTTGGGCGTAGTTTTTTGGGGAGGGTCCACCCCCACCTGTCTGACTGTCTGGCTTTTTCAACATCTCCAAAGCCCTCCGACAAAACATCCAGGAATTCAACCAGAAGGTTCAAGCTTGCCGGGCTCCCTCTCCGAGAAAAACTGGCACCCCCTCATCTGAGCTCACCGCCGTTCTTGCTGCCTGGCCAAAGCAGCCGTCAGCCGAGCGCGTCCCGAGCGCCAGGACGACCAAACCTCCCCATCTCCAGGGCCGAGGGTTAAGGGCTTTCTTTGAGGTTTCGGGTTTCAGGTTTAGGGTTTAGGGTTCAGGGTTCAGGGTTCAGGGTTTCAGGCAGCCAGTGAGCTCTAGAGGAAGTCATGTGCAGCTTGAGGCAAAGCCGAGAGCTCCACGATCGAGTAGATTCCATTTGGGTTCAGGCCTCGGCCAGGGGCAGGTGCCCTCCGTTTCTGTGTGGGGGTGGTAGGGGTTTGCCAATTATGGAACTTGTTCACACGCGAAAGTGTAACAAGGTAGTAATCTTGTAACCCATGCCAGCGGAAGTCTGTTTATCAATGCATATACAGTAGACTGTAGAGGATGCCGCTGCAGGTCGGGCTTAAGCCCCGAAGAAGCACCTCGCTGAGCAATCATGCGAGGCTTGCTGGACAGCAAGGCACATATCTTCACCATCTGCAGTACTGCCTTCTTGCAATCCCCGATCGTCCTCCTTGAGTCCCCAGCCTTCGATGTTGTCTACCGTGCCGCCGCCACCGAGGGCAGAGGCACTCCGCGCCATCGCGGCTGCAGAAGCAGCTTCTGTTAGCCTCCGAAGCCGCTTTGGGGCTGTGCTTCATAGTTGACATGAGTTGAACGCACTTCTTGTCATCAGGCTCCCTGGGCTTTCAAAAAACAAAGGGAGGGCACACAGCTGAACAAAACAGCATGCACAAATCCGACCACAACCTCAGACCTCGACGCCCTCCGAAGCTTCTTAGTTTTGTGGTTCTGCCAACACAAGTTGCAGTGCCTGAGCTACGAGCAGCTGGCACCCCCTCCCAAAAGCAGCTCTTGCTGATTCCTGCCTTTCGTCGCGCGCAGAGATGCGGGCAAACGCCCACGCCGTGTTTGAAATCTCCAGCTCACCAAGCTCCGACCTCCACCCGACAAAGGCCCTTCCCACTTTGGGGGAACATGCATCAGGATGCTTTCTTGCCACGGGCATGAAGGGTTCAGAGCACCGGCTAAAACCCTCTAGCAGCCCTGAGCCTTCCATCAAACTATCTACCTGGATCACTGGATCACCCCCTGCCCTTCGTTGTGGGAATCTTGCCCTTTTCGAAATCTGTGGAGACCTCCGGAGTGCACGCTGCCGGGATTTTCTGGGGCTCTGGAGGCCAAGGCACCAGGCATACTCGGGATGCTCTGCGGGATACTTTGGAGGAGGAAAAGGGCAGGGATACTTGGCGGGATTTTATTGGGGATGGCCGACACAGGCCAGACCTGGCGAGGAGCCTGGGGCGAGGAGAACGGCTGAAATAGAGTCTAATGACCCCCGCACCAAGGGGGGGGGAAATCAGGAAGAAGGCTCAAGAGGGCAGATGATGGAGACTGCGGGCCCACAAACAGGCCACAAGCCCTCACCAAGCTCATAAGCTCTTACAGGCAGACCAGTAAACTCTGCTGAATCTGGGCCGGTCGCATGCGCTCGACTGCTTGTGCCGCTGCGGCACCTCAGAACTTTTCAGGATAGGCCCTTTTGTGCCGCTTTACGGGGACACGCTCGTGTTCAAGAGGGTTCGGGGCACAGCTACCGCGACCGCGCTTCTGGAGCCCCTCGGCTCTCTGCTCTCAGGCCAGAGCTCAGGAGTGGAGTGCAGCGGAGATTCAGGGTCGTGAGCCTGGGGGGGGGGGTGGACATATGGGGGGAGGTGTGAGGGCTCTTAAGCTTAAAGGTGCCCATTTTGCTCAGAGGGGCAGGGTCGAGAGGCCCTAGAAGGGCTTCTTGGGCCTTCTTGTGCCAGCAGCCTAGGGCGGTGGGAGCTACGAGAACCCCATCTCCCCTTTGAATCCAGGGCTTCTTAAGCCTGCAGAAGCCGGAGCCCTAAATCCCAAACGCCCTGAACCCTAAAGGCCCTAAACCGTACACGAAGCCACACTCCAAACCTTCCAGCATCTGGGGGCAGAGCGTCCAGGCCATGTTGGAGATCTCTTGCCTTGATAGGGGTGGTTACACATGACTCTTCCACACGCGCGCAAAGTTTCGAGAAACGAGAGCGAAAGCTCAGCCAGGGGCTTGTTCAGTTCGGTGATGTGGCTCATAGCCTGACAGACTTGGGCTGAGGCACTTTGACGCTTCTCAAAAACTCGCGAAGAAGCTTGCAAAGTCACAGGCTTTCTTGCAGAAGCAGGATCCCACCCCACCCCCGCAACACAACGCGCCTGGGCAGCGAGGGCCCTTAGGAATTGCTCATCATGGGCCCAAAGCCTCGGAAGCTCAGGGCACCGAGAAGCGTTGGGTCCTTCGGCTGCACTTGGGCAGTTTGGTATTGAGGTCAGGAAGGTGTTTCGGGCTTCGTGCTGAGGCTGCTCCAGAGGCCTACATGCAAAGCAGAATTCTGGGAAGCCAGGCTTTGCCGACGATCACGACAGGTTCGTCACCTGAAGACAGCCCACGGGCATAGTGAGGTCCGCATCCCCAAAAGGCGCCCAAAGCAGAAGCAGATCAGAAAGGCCCCTTTGAGCTCAAGCCAGACTCAAGCCCTGCTAATAGAGGCAGATCTCAAGATTCTCCAGAGTCACAGCAAAAACTGGCTGCCCTCCCATACCCGGCCGGGAGGAGAAAAGGTCTCCGCAGAAAAACCTTCAACTCCCCAAGCTGCACGGCGGCCTCCTGGGTGGTCAGCTCGCACTGCACCGCCATGCTTGCTCCGGCTGCGGCCCTGGGAGTCGCAGTAAGTCTTGGAGGTGCCAAAAAACAGAACTTGCGGGTCCGCAAAGCTCAGACCAACCCTGGGCTCCCGGCTCCTTCAAAGGGCGGCCCCAGATCTCCAAAGTTGCGAGGCACCACAGCGTGTTGGACAGCGCCTCCAAGGCAGATCCATTCAACCCCACACCAGCTTGCCCACAACGTGGGAGCTGTGTCGGAACCATTCCTGCACCTGAGGCCCTTGAATAGCCCAAATGCGGATCTGAAGGGTCGACCGTTCGAAGTCGTGGCCATGGAGGCTACAGTGCTCAAGGGTCCAAGCAATCATGACCTTGCTAGGAGCTGCTGCCTGCGCGTCGAACTTCTCGATGCCCTTCGGGGCAGAGCTCCCGACTCAAGACGCCGAAGCTAATGCAGTGGCAAGCGAGACTACACTTTTTTGTTGGTTGCACGGAACCCTTAAACCCTTTTCTGCATCCACTTTCCAAACCCAGTAATTATCCGTTAGGATCAATGCAAGCAGCTGTGATTCCTAAATACTCTAACGCTCGGGTTCTTCTCCGACCTCCACCGCAGCTTGCGCGACCCGCTCGAACAGCTCCGTGCCCTTGTGTTTCAGCTTGGCACCTCAACTGCTTTTCGAAAAAGTCTTCGCCAGAATGCACGACATTTGTAGGGGGTTTTGTTCATGACCCATCTTCAAGGTCACTGCACACCGTCCTGCTCTTGAGGTGCAGCTCGCCTAAAGCCCATGTGAGCATCCAGACTGGTCCTGGGTGCCGGGCAAGACCAAGCAAAATTGGAGGTAGACTGCCTGCAGCAGGCACTTAACTCCTAAACCGGTGCATCAGACACCTGTTGTCTGGCTGTCATCAGTAGTCGTCGTGATGGTGGTGGGACCGATGGAAGAAGTGGACTCGCCCATCTGATGAATCCTGTAAAAGCCAGGTCCAACCTGAACCAAAAACACCATTCACCCAGCCCCCTCACATAAAACCAAAAGGACCACTTCCCCCCCGGAATGCCCGCCTCCCTCCTCCCCCCAAAGAAGCCCTGCCCCCTGACCTCTCGAATCTGGGGAGCTTCTGAAAGGCAGCTTCGGCCAAGACACCCATGACCTGCCGCATCGTCCATAGATTTCTGGCTTCAGGGGGCTTCTTAGTATGCACTGCTGGCTCGTTTCTCAAAGGGCGAGATCAGAGTGACCAAAAGCCACTGAGTCAGGAACCCGGCAGCCTTCAGGGCTTCCCTTTTGGAGCAGGGCGCTCTCCTTCCCTGCAGTCCATCCCGAACCTTCCGCCCTATCCACAAAAAAAAACCCGGCCGCATCATCGTCCAAGAGAAGAGTCGCCAGTGCCCAGCCTGGCACAGCTGGACATGGGGAGGAGGAAGGGGGGGGGGGGGGGGCTGGAGGGGGGGAGGGGGGGACCGGCGAATTCCCTACATAAAGAAGCTGGGAGGGGAGTCACATTCCCCCGCCCAAGCCCAAGAGGGGGTGAAGAGACCAACTTGTTCTTTTTCAATCAAGGAAGGCATGGCCAGGTCCACTGGCAGATGTGGACTCTTCAAAAGAGAACCACTTCAAATGAGAGAGCTACTTGACGAAACCACTGCACTAAACTTGCGATCTGCTAGTCGCTCGCCCCACTCTGAGAAAGGACGGTGAATTAATGGGACCTGTGCTTGGCAGGTTGGCCCTCCGCGTGCAGCTGGCCCTTCTCACAGGCGCCAATTGCCGCGTTGAAGGTGATGTCGTTGGGCTGAAGGTTCAATTCAGGCATGCAGCTAAGAAGCGCCAGCGCCTGCTGCCACTGCCCGCACTTCTCACCTCAACACATAGGGGGGGTGCCCAAGGCGTTGGGGAGTAGGGGTTCCACGGGGCTTAGTGCTGACTTCTGCAAGATCTAGAACAACAACTGGACTTCAGGACATGCCCGGGAGAGGGCTCAAGTGTTTAAGGTTGGTGGGCCGAAGCTTCGACGCAAACATGCCAAAACCCTATCATCCACCATAGACCGCCGTTAAGCCCCTAGGCAAGATGGGGGGGTTTACGAAAATAGGACCCCGAAAAGAAGACCCCCTAAATGGTAGGATTCCCTGAACATAAAGACTCCAATAGGGTACCCGAATTTCGGAAACCCTCCATACAGATCCTAGCAAGCCCCAGTTGCAGGCACTAATGGCAGCATCACAGGCGATCACGCTGGCCAGCAAGGAGGCGCCGAGCATCTCTTCAAGGAGCGCCAGGGCTCTCTCCCACTCCTGGGGCGCGCTCAGGGTTTAGGGTTTAGGGTTTAGGGTTTAGGGTTTAGGGTTTTTTGGCACCCGACTAGGGTTTAGGGTTTAGGGTTTGGGGTTTAGGGTTTGGGGGCGGCTTAGGGTTGACAAAGCCTTGAGGCATTGGAGTTTCGACTCTCTTGTGCTTGCACCAAGGCAAGGCATGTGACACGCTCTGCATACCTGATACTCTCCTTCCGACCCCATCACCGAACACGCTCAACATCTGATTCGAACAAACATCCGCCCTTTCTGACTGGATGTTGCGTTGAAAGCTTCCCGGGCTTGAAACCCCAATGTTCCGCATCTCGACTTCAGCAATTCGGGGCTTTAGCCTATCGTGGGCGTAGGTGCTTAGGAAGGGTTGGGGCACCATACCCCATTATAAAATGCTCCAACCCCCCCCACACACACACACACACACACACACACACACCCCAACTTCAAAACCCAAAACTCGAGATCTCAGATAGAAACCTCTCAGCCCGAAACTACCCCCACAGCCGCATCTCGCAGCCGTGGCTCGAAGCCCTTCTCACAGGCACTGATCAAGGCACTGCAGGTAACCTGCGCAGGCCAACTCGACAAACCTTGTCCACCAGGGCCTCCTTAATGCATTTTGACTCCCCTTGCAAGAAAGTCTCCTATAACCCCCTCTGGGCCAAATTCCAGGTCCCGAGCTCCTCTCCCAAACCAGCCTCGTCCGGCGCGCAGCGCCCCGCGCGCAGGCGGCCAAGCAGTGGGAGGGCGGTGCACCAGCGGCTGCCCTTCTCCAAGGCTGTGGCAGCCTCGGGAGAACTGGGGGAGGTTTGAAGGCATTGGGCTTCGACACGCGAACTTACATAAGGACTGCACATGTGCGAGGGCTTGTTCAGGTTGCTTGGTGGACTTTGGCCTTTTTGCGGTTGACGTGGGCGTCGCCGGTTTTTCGACAGGCTGCTGCAAGGGGTTGTCTGGGGCGTCTCCTGAACGATTGAGGATTTCACGGGATTTGGCAGTTCGATTGGTTGCAGACGTTATCGAGGACTTGGATCGGCGTTTGCAATCGAGTCCATCAGGAAGGTGGTCCATGCTGGTACTCAACACTCTCGGGTGCTCCGTAGCCTGTACTTCCTAGGTCCTATAGCGCCCTAGGCCCCGACCAATGTTCGGCAGCATACCAACCTGCTCGGACCACCCTCAAGGACAATGTCAGCGGGCCATGTGGCGCTCCGGGCGCTCAGCAATTTTGGCAAGGATCAGTTGCACCGCTGCCTCTACATTCTCAGGCCGACCAACCACCATAGCAACATCGTCTCTCACGCAGACCTGGGCACCAGACGTGGCCCGAATGGCTTGGATGTTGGCCCCCTTCTTGCCGATCAACGCGCCTGCCCTGGTGGTGGGCACGTGGAGGACGTGCGAGGTGTCATCGGCTTCGTAGACATCCCGGATTCTCTTCGAGGATTGGTGCAGCGCGTACTCTGGTGGCAACGCCACAAATCTCCTCCACCGCCGGTCACTTGCCCGCATCACATCATCCTGAAGCTGGCGTGCCGCCATGGGATCCTCAGGCAGCCAGAACCGCTTCATGCCCAACAAAAACTGGACATCCACTGCGGCATACTGGATGAGCAAGGGGCTGAGGGGCCGCTCCCTCCAAATCTCCGTCCCTGTCTCAAAGAGCTCATGCACCTGCTCCTTAAGGGCCTCGACGCCTTGGACCTGATCCTCTGTTAACCTGCCGGACTCCTGGAGAAACTCTGCCAGCACTCTCTTCAGGCCGTGCAAGTACAAATCCGTCGCATCCTGAAACTTCAGCGCCCTAAGGACTTGAAGGTCAAACGAAGCCCGCACATCCGCGCGGTGCAGGTGGTGTAGCGCGTCGCAGTCCGCACGGACATCGTAGAACACCTTTATCACATCGGACTCCAGGAATGCCTTCAAGCCCCCCAGCTCAAAGGCTTCGTCCTTCAACGTGTGGATATCAAAAAGGAAGACCGTGCCGGAGCGGCCGCACGCTTGAATCAAGCATACTTCGCCAGCACGGCTCAGATCAACCCCCTCAATATCGATCGCCACCTCAGCCTCTTGGAACAACTGGGCAACTGCATCTTGGCATTGCTGCAACGTGTCCACCAGCACGGCAGTTGCAAGGGAAGCCATTGCTTCGCTGAAGGGTAGCCTTAAAGTAAGTCATCTCACTGGCATGGCTGGCTTGAGTCTGAGGATGCAAAGCCGGCTCGGACACATGTGATGAATGGGCATGTCTCTGCTCCACCTGAGTCGGGTTAAGGACTCGCTCATTTCTCGCGCGCGAGGCAGGTCCACTACCAGCGTTTGGACAATTCAGCTGCCACCAGCAACAGCCCGCATGCAGTGGACCTGATACAAACTCCATATTGCATCTAGACATAATTCCTGCAGGAACTCTTGGACATCCGCGGGAAAGCTCACCGCTCGGGGAGGGTGATGCCAAGAGTTCCACAGAACTTCTAACTACGGGCTTCTCAGCCGTAGCCACAGGCCAAAATTAGCGCCGCTGCCAATCTCAGTGCAGGAAATCGTGTGGGCAGAGCTGCTGACAACACAATTATGACACGACAAATGTGACACGACAAATCCAGACCTCTTGTTTGCGACGTAGGTCCGCTTCCTGGTGGCGTAGATATGGTTGCGAGGTCGCTAGATGTCGCCAGCTTCACAGGTCTGCTCACAAATTACACTGTGCCACAGGTTTGATTGGCCCGTTGGCTACGCAAATAAGATTGCAGACTACAGCGTAATTGGATCAGGGAGTCTCTCATGGGGAGTGTCTGTGCCCAGTCTTCTGCCAGGCATGCGAATGCAGGATTTCGCGGAGCCTGACAGCCGAAAAATCCACTCCATATTCGATTTAGGGCGCACCCTGGAAATCACAAGGGACTGCAGTTACAAGGAGGACGCCACTTTACCATGCCAGACCCGAAGGGCTCCGCTCTCTTTGCAAGGTTATTGCTTTAAGGAGTTTGACTCCGACACTCCTACTGTCTACACTGGTCCTACAGCATCAACACGAAAATTGACGAAAGGAATCAGAAGCTTCACAAGCTGCGTGCCGCCAGCTTCGAAAAGCTTCCATCCATATGGAGCAGCTCGTGGTAGGTGCCCGCTTCAGACCCGTCTCCGATGCTCTCAACGCGCCCGGTCGGCTACGTGGCATCGATCTTGGGGACCTTGTCGATGAATCCGAAGACCTCCGTTGCAGCATGGTGTCCCGAGGCAGAGTCTCGGATGTACTGGACGATGGAACTTACAGACATGACGCCGAACACCACGCAGAAGAGGGTAAGTAGCACCTCACGCCCGCCGAAGTTCCAATACTGGATGCAGGCGGCGCTCATCCCAAAGCCCGCAAGGTAGATGCCCTGAATCACGCTCATGTTCAAGCCTAAAGACCGGCCCAACTTCCATGATTTCCGTGCGCTCATAATTGGAGTTCCAAGGACTCATTGATGATTTCCATCGTGTGCTCTTCTGCACCAAGGGCTCGTACGGTACGAATGGCCGTCGCTGCTGAGGCTGATCTTGCATCACCTCTGCGCTTTCGGCAGCCATGGTGGCGCTATGTTCTGCGCGATGTCCGGAAGGATGTCAGGACTAAATGAGCCAAAATGGCTCGAGGTCGTTCAGATCTCAGGCTCCGGTCTGAAGAGTGGCTTCAAAGCGTTTTGGGCCCCCTGCTACCCAAAGCGGATACGATACTGATGCTCAGCCAGGCGGCAGCGTTGTGGAGGGCCAAATCTCTGCCACCTGCTGCGGACTCTTCTCAGCAAAGCTACCCAACAAATCCTAGTAGGACGACCAGGAGATGTTGGCAGGTTGAAGCAACATCGATAGCTCATTGTTAGCTTTGGCCACTTTGCGCCTTGGCTTTCCAGGACCAGGCGGGAAGAGGTGAAGAGGTTGAGGGCGTGCGGCCACCGGGCACAGGCGGTAGCAGCAGTCATAGCGGAGCTGACGTCACAAGCGGTCGGCTTCAACGAGGTCTGCCTGCTGCCCCGCAGCATTTGTAGTGCCAGCTGCCACTGGTGGCCACTTTCTGCAAGGGCGAGTGTGAGATGTGAGCCAAACTCATTCTGCGTTGCGCCAAGCGCGTGAGGAAGCAGAGCCTGTGCCCACTGGCTGGCACCTGCGTATGCATGGGTCTCCCAATTCTGTGACATGGCGTCGTGCTCCACGGCGGAAAGCACCATGGTGCCCAACACGGCCAAAGCTGCAAGCCACTCATCTGCAGCGTGGCAAGCGCCCACAGCAGCAGTACAGATGATAACGTTCTGACGGATGGTGCGACCGGACCGGGCGTAAAGACCTTGCAGCGCAAGCCGCCACTGCATGCCCCTGCCCTTTGCAGCGATCGAAGACGTAAGACTGATGCTATCCGGCATTGAACCTGCCAGCTGCATGCGCTGGAGCAGGTCAGAGGACCAGCACCAGCGACCTTGGCATGCCTTCGAAGCCTTCATGGCGGAGTTGAAGCTAATCAGGTCGGGCCGGATGCCTGTTCCGGCACCTTGCAGGAGTGGCAGCATGGAATGTTCCACATGACCCCAGACTCGACCCTGTTTTTAGGGGCCTCAGCTTCTGTGCTTCCATGACGGAACTTCCATCAGGTTCTTAAAATGCTCTAGCGCATGCCTGGAAGGTGATCGAAGAGTAGCTGGCACTGCTGCCACCGGCCTGCCTCGGCCTGGGAGGCCAGCGCCGCGTTCAAGGTTACCTGGGAAAGCTTCCCATAAACGCTGCGTAAATGTGTGTAGGAGGCACGCGTTTAGTGTAGTGTAGGTGCGAGTTGTGTTCTCCTACCTGCAGCCCATGCGCTGTGTTAGGCTCCAGGTTCAGGGAGGCCAGCTGACCCAGCAGAACCAGCGTGGCGTTCCACCCAAGTTCTGGGCTCAGAAGGCTATCAAAGCTGAGGAGGTTGGGCCGGATCCCAAGATGCGCCCCTGAGAGCAGTTGCCGAGCACACTGCCAGCGCTGAGCACTGGCTCGGAGAGCCAAGTTGAAGCTCATGACATCCGGCCAAATACGCCTGTGCCGCATGCACTCCTTGGGTGTCCAACATTCCCATGCCCCCCCGACGCTCACCATCACAACAGCACGACGTGCCACATCTTCCCTCCAGACACTCTAACAAAGATGCCAAGACTCCAACAGCTCCAGGGGCCCATTCCACTGCGCACCCTCCTGGCACGCCTGGATCGCCACGGTGAAGGAAACGATGTCTGGGGGCGAGTCCCTGCAGGGCCCATTCATTACACTGCAGGCCTAGACCCACATTCTTGGGAAGCGCTCAACTCAACCACTCTGTGCTGACCCTATACGCCTTCACGCACTTCAGACAAAAACGCCTGTCCATTTCCTAGTCCAAAATCCCAAACACCGATTTTTGCACCAAACTCCCCACATCTCTGCCAGCAGTGCGAGGCAAATCTGCCAAGCGCTGCCCTTGAGCAGCGCAGAGAGGGCCGAGTTGTAGCCTGGGCTGCCCCTGGAAATAACACAACCGAAAACCTGAAGAATTCTGCCGCTCGCGGGTTTGGGGCTGGGGTTTAAAGGCCTGAGGCTTTTCTTTGGGCTTATACCTTATAATCCGACGATGTCTCTGTCCGAGCATGGGCAGTCTGGCCGCTGATGGTCGGCGGGTGGAGCTGTTCGAGCTGCAGGGAGTGCAGAAGGCAAAGCACCAGCCTCCAGTTCGTGGGACACGGGGGTTTCGGGCTTCCGCGAGGCTTCAGCTTGGAAATGGTGAGGCTTTGGCTCCCTGTCCTGTGATAGGCCCAGGCTCGGCCTGGGGCCCAAGTTAGGATGCCGAGCTTAGACCCCGAAGAGCTACGGAGTTACGGTAAGATGTCTGTCTGCTCTTGAGTTCCGGGTTAGGGCAGAGTTTCCCGGCAGTGGCAACTCGAGCCTCCAGCCAGCCTTGAAGGAACAGGCATTGATGCAGCTGCTGAAGCTAATGGCCTCACTGCCGCGTGCGACCAACAAAAAGGGAGCCGGATAGGATGTGGCTGGCTTGGGCAGTACTAAGCTACGAGGCTGGCCTAAAGCCCTCTGGAAAATATTCCCATACATGATCCTCTTAAACCCAAGAAGGGAATTATACCAAATATCCCCAAGGCCTGTTTAGGGTTTAGGGTTTAGGGTTTAGGGTTTAGGGTTTAGGGTTTAGGGTTTTAGGGTTTAGGGTTTAGGGTTTAGGGTTTAGGGTTTAGGGTTTAGGGTTTAGGGTTTAGGGTTTAGGGTTTAGGGTTTAGGGTTTAGGGTTTAGGGACCTAGATGAAGCAATCTGAACGCATCGGCCGCCCGACGTCGGCACATCTCTCCCAGGAGCGCGCACGCCAGCCGCCAGTTGCCGACGCAGGCACCCAGCGCCAAGTTGTATTGGAGGGTCGCCACCTGGCTGCTGCGGGTTTAGGGTTTAGGGTTTAGGGTTTAGGGTTTAGGGTTTAGGGTTTAGGGCTAGGCGGGGCCATAAGGGACCCACGCGTTTTCGGGAGTTTAGCTCTGTTGCCCTCAGAATCCCCTGTAAATACCGATGTTTCCTGGGTTTCGCCCATCACCTCATCCCCGCAATTTTTATCCAAAATCATCCTGCAATTTTTTGGTCATCCGTAGACTGCACTGGTATTTGTGGGTTTTTTGCCCTACTTCGCACTTTCGACGTGTCCTAAACTAAGCCCTGTCTTGCTTGCATCCGCTTCTGCCCAGCCCTGGGTCTAAATAACACGTTTGCTTCACCATAGTTAGAAGAGACCATCCATGGCCCAACCATGATGACGTCCATAGTCTAGTCCGTTCTGGGAAGAGAGTATCCATGGCCCAAGCATGATGACGTCCATGGTCTACTGTGTTCTGATGAGAAGAGAGCATCCATGGCCCAAGCATGATGACGTCCATGGTTTACATCGTCTAACCCGATCCGAGAAGGTTAAACCTTCTTCTGGGCAGAAATGGCTGGAAGTCCTTGCTTTTAGGCGCACTAGGGAGTAGAAAGGCGTCATTTCTCAACACTAAAGGCGGTGACCTAAGTCCTGCATCTCAGGTTTGCTGGTGGGGCCACAGTTTTGCGCGGGTCTGTTGTGGACCCGCCAGGGCTTAGGGTGTAGGGTGTAGGGTGCAGGGTGTAGGGTGTAGAGTGTAGGGTTTAGTTAACTTAGCCCGCACCCCGCAAAAACCGAGGAGCGCAGGAACTTCGATCAAACCCCAGCCTCGAGCGAGGCCTCACGCATTTGCTCCAGCACCCGCAGCGCCTGATGGCCAGCCAACCGGTGATTTGCGTTAGACATTCTTGAGTCTTCCAGCCTGCGCTGACACTCGGGAATTCAGTGCTGTGGAGGCATCCATGTTAAAGGGCGAATCATACTGCAGAAGAAGAAGGTGGGAACAGAATGCAGCTGCTCAACACCAGACTCCCTCAGCCTCCCCAGACCCCCAAAGCCGGGACGGTAGAAGTTGAGGGTTGAGGGTCTCAGGCTTTCGGGCTTAGGCTCTGGTGTAGGGTGCATAGGGCTTGTGGCTGAAGGCATACAAGCAAAAGCTCTTTGACACAAAGAAGAAGTGTTTGAAGAGCAACACTAGGACACTAGGAGACGCCAAGCTTGCAGCCGCTGGGTTCGGATTCGTAGTTGGAGGATTGGGGGACTTGGTTGACGCGGTTACGACCAACGCTAGTTCTCAGGATATCCCAGCTTAGCTAAAGGACCTAAACCCTAAACCCTGATACTCTACCCCGTTCTCTATCCATGTTCATGCTTCCTCCAATCCTCGAAGCAAACAGGGCTGGATGATTTGCACCGGCTGCAGTTACACTAACTCGGTGCCTCGGGGCACCAGGCCTTCATGATGTTGTATCCGTTTTGGGGAAAGCCTCCCCTGCCCTTTTTGTCGATGCTGACATGTGCATGTCTGCTTCCTCCTCACAAACAGGGCACCCTGCGAAGTTGTCTGCAAGGCTTTGGATGTATTCATGTGAGATACTGAACCATCCGACTTCTGCGCGTTCCTACTTCTGAGGGCAGCGCAAAACAACAAAAACCCTGTTGGAAGGCCTGTCAAAAATGCCAAGTTGTCGCTTTGCGAACCTCATGGCATGAAGAAAGCATAAACGGGGAACTGTAGCTGGTCAAGCACCAAGCGCTCCCAGCGGCATCCTACTCCCAGCGGCAAGCCCGTGTGCGGGTGCACGGGTGCCTTGCGCTCAAAACGGGCTGTTCTAGCAATAATGCTCATCTGACCTTCGCCCCAGCCTTCTGGCTTGCCATTCCGGAAAGTCTCCCTTGGCTGCGCAAGAAGTCGTGGAGCACTTGTGGTGCGGGCCGTGGGGTCTGGGAAGCCGGCAACGCATCAAAAAACAACCGAGGCTCCGCGGCAGCTGGAGGCAATCCGCATCCGCGTCGGAGAGCTCGGAGGAGCCGGCACTGAACTTCTTGACCCAATTCTGAGCCACGCATGTGTGCAAGCTCCCCGCTTCCCAGCCCTGGCAGCCCTGGCAGAGACCCTTAGGATGCCCATCCCAGTAAACACCCATGCGAGAAAGCCTCTTGATTCCGAAAGTCCTCAAACACATTGCAGGAACCGCACGCTTTCTGAGCATGACCCTTGTTCATGCCTTGGCCGTGCGTGCCTAAGCATACTTTTTTTCACCCCTCTCTCAAACGGAATCTGGTCGCTGTCCAAGGGTCTGGCATGCAGATGTTTGATACCGTGCAACAGATGACGCTGCCGGCCTGGTGCTGTCGGCGGACCTCACGCAGCCAATGGCAGCACCAACCTGAGACGTGGCTCGCGCAAGACTCTGTCCCAACCATTGTCCTTCATACACGTATATGCACAAATAGATTCTGTGTGCCATGCGACTGGATACGTACTTCATTGCTGAGTAGATGCACCAAGATGACGCTCTATGATAGCCAATGCAGCCACGCCGACAGCCAACCAGCTCTACATGGAAGCAACTCGCAGGCAGACAAAGGCTTTGCCAAGCAAGCTGAGGGGCACTTGTACCGCCGTCCAACTCGTGGCTCTTCCCGGGAGGACCGCGATTCCACGACGGACTTCCACTTCGGATCTTGCTTGGCTGCGGCTGGAACGGGCACGTCATCCCGACCACAATTTTCAGGCGGGTGGAGCCATCTGCCTTCATTGGCGGAGGGTCCAAAGACCAGCTCGTTGCCAAACCACACGGTGGCCGTGCCTCATGGACAACTAGTGCTGACTGCTTCTTGTTGCATGGACTGTTCAGGCCTGGCGAGAAACAGCATGTCTGGCGCAAATGCCGCAACTGCCCTGGCAAGTAACCGCCCAATGGATTTCCGAGCAGCCGACAAAACAAAATGAACAAGAAAAACAACATGAGAGAGGAAGAGAAGCAGCGCGCAAGTCAAGAAGCAACCGATCGCAGCTGGGCCACAAACTTCTGCAGCGGGACCCTTGCAACTTCGCTCAAGACGGGGACTTCGGCAAGCCTTACCCATCTACCTTCATCGAATCAGGCCGCAAGCCGGGTCAATTTTTGAAGCAGGCTGCACGTTTTGAAGGAGGGGCACCGACCCCCTCTCTGCGGCCCAGGTGCTACCATGATCTGTAGCCCTCAGCTGCTTCATGACCTCCTCATAGGCCTCCCCGCCTGGGATGGAGGCCCCAGTCGCCGGGAAACGGCTGCGCATCTGCTGGAAGCAGTCGTAGCTATCGTAGTAAGTGAAGACCAGCCCCCTCCCAGACAAGGCCTTCAGCTCCTCCACAAAGGCCTTGTCCTCTTGCAGCTCTTCACAAGCCACCTTCACAAGCCACCAGGCTTTGGTCTCCTTCACGGCCTCCCGGAAGAAGTTCTTGTCTGCCAGGAGCTCCGGGGCAGCAGCGTTACACAGGCAATAGAGGGGATTCGCACCCCGCACCGCCGCCAGGCCGAGGTTTCGGTCCTTGCGCAGCGCCACCGGGGCTGTCTGCCAGGTCGAGTAACTCCCTTTCTGGAGATCTTCCAGGATCTGGGCCTGGAAAGGGCTGAGAAAGATTGGGTGGTGCAGTCCGCTAAAGGGCCAGATCTCGGCCTGCGGACGACCCCACTGCAAATGCCCGAAGAGAAACAAACAAAAAAAACTATTGCTTCCATAAGTTGGTGTTTCTTGCCTCGCCTTGCCATGTTGGCTCAGGGAGGGTCTGGGGTTTAGGGCTTAGGGTTCAGGTTGCCTTGGAGGCCTCAGTAAGCTCATTATGTTCACTGTCGGGGTGTACGCACGGTCCTTCTGCGTCGCGGACACGCGGGCAGTTGTCTCCTTGACATGATGGCTTTCTCGATCAACGCTGGCACCGCAGCCCATGGCAGGAAGGATCAAGGTGCCTCCAACCTGACTGCGCCGGGCGCCTATGGCGACAGACCAGAGGAGTCTGCGAACATTCGAAAGGACCCCGTTGTAGCAGATAGCTCTGCAATCAATGAAACCTATTTGCATCAACATGTCTTCGATCTCCGCTATCCAGCGAAAGCCTGTGTCTATTACATCGAAGGAACATCTGGCATCCACGTCGAATCTGACACCCCTCTCTGAAAAAAAGTCGTGTCATAATTCCTGGCCCTAAACCCTAAACTCTAGACCCTAAACAAAACCCTACAAATTTGAGACTGGCCTGAGCCGGACGTTGAGGGAGGCTCAAACTTCCAGACTTTCAAGCTCTCTTGTTGGGTACGGTTTAGGTTTAGGGCCAAAAAAATGTGAGAACGAAGTGAAAGAGTACGAAAAGACCATACAAAATTTATAATGGAAATATAAGGATGAAAGACGCATGATTTCCATATTAAATTTTTGGGCTTTTGACGGGGCGCTCGTTGTATTCTCTTTTTATGCGCCACTTAAACACTATTATCTTCTTTCAACTAATCTCAACAGATACAAGTGAATGAAATGAACGCGTGATCTGTGAATTAGCGAAAGAAAGAAGATAATAGGGGAAAAAGGGGTCATAAAGGAGAACACGAAGACAATACTTTTTAATGGGGTTTTTTGACCAATCATCGGTTAACCCTTGATTTGTGGTTCGCCAAGGATAACAGGTACTTGAATCCCAAGAGCTCCTACAAAAGGATTCTGATGGCACCTCCATGTCGGCTCACTTGTTACGTTCATAGAAAACAACCCTTTTAGAAAGAGTAAAGCAAACTAAATTATGAAAAGAACGCGATGAATGTACAAATGAACGCTTCGCTCTTACTAATAACAGTGTCTTATCTTCATGTGCCCGGCCTGATCCCACCTAACTGCACTCGTGACAGTCGAGTCCCGAAACCCTGAACCAACCCAAAAAGCAAACCTCCTCAAGCCTGCCCCGAGTGCCGTTCGCGCGCGGCCCTCAGCAAAGCTTGCGCCGCTGCTTGGGTCAGGGATTGCCTCGGTCTGCGGTTGTTTCTTGAGGGGGGGCGGGTGGGTTTGGCAGGTCTACAGCTCTGGGTGGGGTCTTGAGGGTGGCAAGGTAGAGGTTTGCTTGGTTGAGGAGTGGGGGTTCGGGTGGAACTTCCCGGTTCTGTTGCGGTCCGTGGCGCACAGCCTCAACAGACTCCATCGAGCAGGCCGGTAAGGGCCCACCGTGGCCCTCTCTCATGAAGGATCCTCGCCAGTGCCCTCCATTCGATCATGGGCTCACTGCCTACATTTCTTTGATCTTTGGTGCAGAGCAGGGCTGGGCTTGATCCCGCACACTCACTCAGGTCACTCACTTCGGGTCGTGCCGGTTTACCAGTCATTCCTTCTGCCGCCGAAGCACAGATGGCTCGGGCCTACCTGGGGCCTTCAAGAATGAAACGGCACATCTAAAGCCCCCCTCCCCTGATGTCAAAGTCCTGCAAGAACGGAGCTCCCAAAACCCTGCTGATCTTTTCAGTCTGCACTCCACCTGCCATCGCTGACCTCGGGACTGAAAGAACTGACCTCACGGCCTTCCGCCGTAGATCACGTGAAGATGCTCCCCACGCTCTTTCCGGCCCATGAACTCCTCAGACTTTCCGACGTGCGCACCTTCCTTCAGAGACAGCATGGCAATGCCAGCTGTCAGGAAGACAGAAAGCAGTGTCCATGTGCCATGCACGGTCACCATGGAAATCCACTCCAGGTAGCCCATCGACTGGATCATTGGATGCAGCGACGCTTGGCTGACGAAGAACCCAACACAGATCCTGTGGTTCTGTGTCCACGTGTGCAAAAATGGGTTGCAGGGGGCGATCGTTTCGACAAACCTCGACGACCCCTCGATTTCGGCGAGGCCGCGCTTTAGGAACAGGCTGCCGGCCGCGAGAAGAGGCCAGCGCAAGTATGGTTCCTGCGTCGCTGCCGAGAGGACGACGGAGCTGCTGTACAGCACCAGGCAGTAGTGGCAGGTGCTCATATCTGAGCAACTTCTGCCGGCCAGTCTACCGAGCACCAGGCTCATCATCGGCAGCTGCACCGAGTGACAAACAAGGTAGACCACCATGAAGGGGTGCTGCATGCGCATGATGAAATCACTGACCGCAACCCCTGGGAGCATGTTGAGCAAAGCTACGCCTGGGGTCAGCGACAGCATCATGAAGCTTATCTGACCGACCGCTGCTGCCGCTACAGCCCCTGAAACCACACGGAAGGGCTTGCGCTGCTCAATCTCCGGATGCTTTCCGAGAATGACCGGGATGGTCATCGTCAAGAAGGAAGCTGCCAGCACGCTCAGAGCGTAGGATGCGCTAGTGAACGTGCCCAACGTGCCCAAATTTGCACTCGCTAGGACCAAGCCAGGTGCTGCTGGCAACGAGCCAATGGTTGACAGCAGTGCCGACAGGCATGCAAGCTCCCCAACGTGGGGAACCAGCTCCACCCGGGCCACCTGATGGGGCTGGGCCACCGCAGAGTCTTCTTTATTCCCACTGCAAAGCCGCGAAGTGCCCGTAGCATCGCAGAGGCACGAGAGGCACGAAGGACACGAAGCCTCAGACCCGCTGTCAGCGACGCGGAGGAAATCCTGGCCCAGGGCAGCCCAGGGGGCGAGGCACCTCTCCAAGAAACGGCGACATCCAACAGGATCACACTCCGGGCAACGGTCGGCGGACATGGCTTCACGTGGCTGTTTAGGGTTTTGGGTTTACGGTTTCGGGTTTAGGGTTTAGGGCTGCACCAATAGACTGCTGTGCACGTCTGAGAAAAGTTCGGTTTCATCTCGGGGCTTGCAGTTGAGAAGTTCCTGGCCACAGGCTTGTCTCGCGGCTAAGCCAGCAGTCTCGGTCTTCCAAAGTCTTTTTTTTTGGATTCGAGAATTACTAACGACAAAGAGCATCGAAGAGCGACGCCCAAAACCCCAAGACGCCCAACTGGAGTCCAAAAGCCCCATCGAGACTCGCAACCGACCAGCATCATTTTACAAGGTGCAGGAGGCTCCCCAAAACCGCTCCCCAAACCCCTACAACCAAAGCCCCAAGCGATCCTTTCAAACCGGGACCTACACCCCAACACACGCCAGCAAGTGCCCGAGTTGGAGGTGCTCTGCGGGTTGGACTCCTCAATCTCCTTCGGAAGCGGGAAGGTGGAGAAATCAATTTGGCAGTTGGGCTCCCTGGACGCGGACCCCAATCTCACAAGAGGTCCCTGCTGCGTTAGGCCCCGTGGACCATGTGTGCTTACGTCTTGTGGCTTTTTGAGATAGGGGTCATGGAGGGACGTCTTGCAAAAAATCGAACCGCAGCTGGCACACCTACGACCTACGAAAGACCGAACTGGCCGTTGGTCCAACATGCAGCTTTCGCGAAAAGTCAATTCCTCTCACGGAACTCTCGCGCCGAATCGCGCGCACCTCTGAACCGTGAACCTATAGCCCTGGAGCTTTTGTTTCTACGGATGTGAGTGCTCGGTTTGGGGCTGCGTTGAGGAAGGTTTGAGTGCAAGTCCCATGGTACAATATTGTACACGTGCGGCTGTGGCTCGAGCGAGGTCGCCTCAGGCTTGAGTTCAGGCTTGCATTTTGCTTCCAGAGAAAGGAAAAAAGTGGGCCGTCACCAAAAGAAGTTTCCTTCGCGAGCCTGTGGATTTTCTGTACATTCCTGATAGGGACGCTTAGATCAACACCCCACTCAGCTAACTACATGCTGGACCGCAGAGAAGCCTTTCAAGACCTACAGGGCTGGCAGGGCCTGCATCGACTCGGCAGAGACCTGCATGCATTCTTTTACGGCCCGTCTTACGGATGAGAACTGCAACCCTAACCCTAAACCCTGAACCCTAAACCCTAAACCCTTTTTTGCAACTGGACTCCGTGCAACCCTAAACCGTAAACCCGAAACCCTAAGCCCTAAGCCCTAAACCCTAAACCGAAACATGGTAGAAAGCATGAGCTTGCTGAAGGAGGCCGGGGTCTAGACGGGGGCGCTCGGAGCTGCGACACGAGTTCTGCCGTTTTGCCACCCGCCTTAACCCCCGACAAGGCAAACCAGGAAGGAGACCACAGGAGATCCAGAAAACACCCCAAGAAACCTCGGGGGCCAATTTCAGGGAGGCAACCCTAAACCCTAAACCCTAAACCCTAAACCCTAACAGGTTGGCGAATGAGTGCTTATTGGATCCTAAGGCTCCCGACCGCGGCCAAGAGAGGCAAATGCGCCATTTCGAGCTTGGCCATGGTCCGTAACGTGTTGGACAAGTCCTGCTCCCACCGGGCAAACATCCATTCTCTGCCAAAAAGAATCAGAATTATGGTTCTTTCCAAGCCCTATCCCTAACCCCTAAACGCCAGCCTCTCCTAGGCATTCAACACGGAGAGCTTCTGTATGCACTGGTCTGCGGTGGCAGCCAGCGGTTTCGCACCAGTCAGCAGCAACCTCCGGTAGGTCTTGACTCGGTAGTTCCGGGCTGAGGGACTTCTTCACCCTCTCGCAGGCAAAGCAAATCAATCCAACTATCCAACCCGTTGGCAGCGTCCATTCGAGGTCGGGATTCTGCAGCACTTTTTGTGGAGGCTTCGGGGCATATAGCAATATAGGGCTCACACAAGTACGCTTCATCCTAACACGACCCTAAACTAAATACCCTAAGTACTGTAAATCCTAGATACCCTAAAACCTGAAAAAAAACCCGAAGCCGGAGCTGACCTTTGCTCACGTTTGGGTTTCGGCGAAGCGCTTCCTAAAGCAGATGCCCGCTTCATAGTTTAGGGTTTCTTCGCCCACACTGGGAGAGGCCAGGTGAGGCACAGGGATTAGGCTTTCGAGCTTAGGGTTGCAGATGTCTAGTAAGTTAAGGGTGAGAGAGGGCGCTCTAGTCAGCCCTAAACCCTGCAAAACCCTCGCCCTATATGCCCTATAAGCACTCTAAGCCCTAACTATCCCGAAGCCCCAGCCCCTCACGCAGGATGGCGAGGAGGAGGCTCGTTTTTCAACGCGCTGCGCGGGGGCAGAGTATGCACATTAGCGATCATTTGAGCCATTCAGCTTTGCAGCATTCGATCTGTTTGCTCGCCCGGGCTCGCGAACTCTGCTGTGGCCGCTCGGGTGCGGAGGAAATGCGAGAGGACAACGGCCGACTCGCTCAGCACCACATCCTGGCGCTGCAGTTGCAGTGCGTCCACGGCCGCTTTCTGCTCCAAGTGCTGGAGGTTCGCCCGGAGCTTGCTGCACTCGCGTCGGTGCTTTTGGGTCTCCTCGTTCTTGGCATCCAGGGCCGCCTCGAGGCCGCGCAGCGCCACACGCGCGTCCCCGAGCTCCGCCCTCGCCTCCTGCGCCGCGACCGCAGCGCGGGCGGCCAGGCTCCGGGAGCGCTGCGCCTGGCGGCCGGCGCGCATGGCCTGGCTCACCAGGGCGCGGCTCTGGCGCTGCATCTGAGCGGCCCGGGCAGCATAGGCCAGCTTTAGGCCGTTCTGGTCCCTTGCCGTCTGCTGTCTCAATACCTGCATTGCTTCACTGCGCATCGACGACAGCGACTGCAGTGATGAGATTTTGCTCCGCATCGCCGCCTGTCTCTGCTCCAGCTCTGCCAGTGCCGTCGCCACATCTTGCCACGTTGCCGGCTCCCCGCTCGTGCTTGGCCGGCCCTCGGGGTCGTGGGGCTCCATCTTGTCTGGCCTATGGCTTTAGGAAACTTTGGGTACGACCAACTGACACTGGAATTCTGGAATCCTAGCCCACAGCTTTGAACCCTCCTGGTCACCCGACACGTGCCATAAACCCAGACTTTGCCAGCCTTGATGCTGCACAGATGTCAGATACTGTCGCAAACATCTGTTAGCGGCAAACCAGACTGCATGTCGAATTCTACATCACGGCAGCGGTCATTCGATCACGGTCGCATGCAGCTGCAGCAAGCTGATCATCATTTCCCGGGCCAAGCCCTTCACTGCCATGGCGATGCACCTCTAAAGCTGAACCTCCAAACCTCCCAACGCCAATCACTTCCCTAGCCTCACAAGGCTTCCAAAGCGGGCTCGTAACTGAAAAGAGCGCAGGCCTCGCCAGAGCCCATGCCAAGTTGGACAGACCTCAACGAATCCGGGGGAGTCCGGCAGATGTCCGGCAGGTGTGGGCGAGAAGATGAAGACAAAACAAGGATGATACCCAGCCTGCTCACCGGCAGTACAACGACAGTTAGCAACATCTGGGGCAACTGCTTGGGACTCGTTACATCCCAGACAAGGCTTATGGCCTGGTTTGGACCTGGAAACACAAGAACGCTAGGGCTTGTAGGGCTTAGAGAGCTTCATCCGACATATCCTGCACCCTGTTTCAAAGTCCAGTTCCCTTACTCACAGGCAACGCGTGTCACAGAATATACCTCCCAAGAAGCCCCTTCCAGTCTCGGCCGCCGACCCTGCGGCACAAACTCCGTGATCTTGCCCACAGCAGCGGCCTCCACAGTATGCTGTTTCTTTCGTGGAGAAAGCTTCTTGAAGGAGCGTCTTTCCTCAAGCATCCCAAGGTCCTAAAGCCTGCTCAAAGCCCGCTTTTCAGCCGTTGAGCTATCACAAGTGCATAGTGAAATGGATGTGAGTTTGGAGGGTCAAGAAGTCTGCAGAAACGCAGATATGAAGGCACGCAGCATCATGCGGCATCACGCCGCTTTCCAAAACTACTTGAACGCTTCAGCCCTGAACTCCACAGGTCTCGAGCACTGAGCTCCGGAACACAAAAGCCTCTGTTTCCCCAACCCTCGAGAACCAGCGGGAGCCCGGCAGAGGTGGCGTCCTGCAGCGGCGCCTTAGCATGGCTTGACTGCGTGGAGGGTTTTAGACTTCTTAGGGTTTGCGAGTGCCTACTTCTTTGGGGTGCAGGAGTGAGGGGCTTGGGGCTGAGACCCAGGTACCCCCGAGCTCCAGCACGAACGTCCTGCGAGCTCCAGACCTGAACCCTCGAGCAGCTCAGCCGAGGGCACGGTAGGTTTCGCACTTCGCGAACCTCGTTGCGCAGCTTTTGGGGCTCAGAAGCATTTGGGGGACCCCTGTGTCTCAACAAGTGGCCAACAATATCAAGCCCTGAGTTCTTTACCCCTCAGAAACCTCGAGTAGTTACATGGTCCCCTTGGTGTGGGCCCTCAAGAGGGGGGGCCCCTTATGTACCCCTGACATACCCTACACAACCAAGGCCCATACGTCCGCCCTTTCAAGGAGGCAAGGGTGCATACTAACGGCCGGCCCATGGTAACTACCCTCAGAGATGAAGCCATGCGTGAAGAAAGGCCCTGGCGCCCACGCCGTGTTGGAGAGTGCCTGGTTGTCTGCGGCCTGAGGCGTGGATGGAGGACATCTTTGCCTCGGGTATTCGGGTTCCTTCCAGCCAAAAACGGAAGGTATCCGAGGATGCTTGTTGCCACCTGCACTAGGCTGGGCTCCTCGTCACAGATGCTGGGGCAAAGGAGTGTTCCTTCGGGTAGATCTACTTTTTCTCAATCTTAAGGTCCCTATCAAGGATTGCAGCTCTAAACTCTAAACCTAAACTGCGACTTTGACCTGACACCTCGACAGTGACCATACAGCTGGTGGATCTTTTTGCAGATGACCTGAAGCAAACCTTTTGCGGTGTCCTGGGTCGCCGAATTTGCAGGCCAACGCTTGAACCTTTAGCCCCTGAACCAGGAACACGTTGAGATGCCTTGTCTCAGGGAAGCTTCTTCGCTTTAGCGCCTTGAGGGTCGAGGGTTTGGGTTTTGGCTGAGGGTTCGAGGCTTCAAGATCCATTAAACCAAACCTGCTGGCAGTTTGAGGGAAAAAAGAAACCCCTCAGAATTACACCCTAAACCCTAAACCCTAAACCCTTGGCACACTTCTCGATTTGTTCCTAAACCGAGCTCAGGGCTCCCGAGACGACCTTGGCCTCGAACTCCACAGCGATGGCCTCGGAGGTGTTCGCACAGCAAGTAGCATGAGATATATATATATATATATATACATAGATTTATTCAATTTGTGTACGTATGTATGCATGCATGCATGCATGCATGTATGTATATGTGTGTGTGTGTACGTATGTGTGTATATATGTGCGTTAGGTAACTTCAGGGTGGAGGGCTCAGGGTTTAGGGTTTGCGCGGGCTTGTTTCGGCAGACATGTGTGTTGCTTTCCGCTTGGCTTATAGTGTCGGACGGCGGCGATTGGCAATTTGGGGCATCGAAGAGCCTTGCAAAGCCCTTTTGCTCTACACTTTCTCATGAAAAAAATTCGAAACTGCAGCCTGCATACTCCACACAATGGTTTGGGGCCGTGGGATCTTTTGGGGTTCAGCTGAGACGGCCCTGCCAAACGAAGCTGATGCTACACTTCTATGCCACAAGTTCCCCACATCCATCAAGGTCTCGTTGATAATGCTGACCTCGGTCGAACTGGCTGGTAAGAGCTGCAAATATTGATAAAAATATTGATAAACTGAGCATGTACAATAGCCCACACATACTTCAGGAACCATGTGAATTTTGAGCCACAAACCGTGTTGATGAAGTGAAGCACACAAAGGCCGGTCCCTTCTGCTCGAGCCGAAGGGGGCCCCCAAAAAAGCCGGAGCCCTTGAGATGGTTAGGAACGGAGCATGGTGCCAAGCCCCATTAACCGTACACCTTCTTCAAGCTGGGAGCGGCACAGTGGCAAAAGAAAACGCTGTGTTGGACAGCTCCTGCCCATTCCACGTCGAAAGGTGCCCCCGGGCCGGGACTTTGCACGTTAGGAGTCGTTGCGTCGGCAAAGAAGGCCCTCACCAGGGCCCCCCCCGAACCCCTTCCCCGAGATTAAGACGCTTACAACCGGGAGGCGTCCACTTTACAAAGGCAAAAAGGCCGCTTAGCAACCAGGAGCATGGTTGGTAGAAACTTCCACGTGACAATCACCTTGATGCTCATGGAAGGGATGCCTTGCACGTGGAGGGAAACGACTCTTCTTGGACTAGAAAGTGCGAGAATGAACATGACTGAACATGCAAGCCCTGGTCAAGTTTTGAAACAGCAATTGGTGCCAACGTCTGGGTATAGAGGATATTTTAACACAGCACAAGAGAGGGAACACATGCTATTGGAGAACACCAGCAAGCTGAGAACCAAACCACTGAAAGCACATATCCGGATCAAGTATAAATGATATCTAGCGCCAACCTCGGTGAAACAAGCAAACAACTTTCAAAACAGCAGCTAACAGCAAATTGCTGTCTTGCAGGTTGCTGAACTGAGAACACGCACACGCACACAAACACTCTTTGCAACCATCTGCACAAGACACTTCAACGGCTCTTACAACTTCAGACAGATTGCGGAGCGTGGGTGATTATGTCCGATCTTATCCTCTCTATGCAGTTGAAGTGGGCATTGTAAGAAGTGTACCGAGTTGTGAAGTGGGCGTTCTGGTTGCAAAGCGACCTAACTGTCCAGGAAATCGCGACCTTGCCCCACCCGAGGCTGGTCGCGTAGCGTTGACGCTGTTGAGCTTTGGGCGTGGGGCTCTTCAGCTTCGGTGTCCCTAGACCCTAAACCCTAAACCCTGAACCCTAAACCCTAAACCCTAAACCCAGGAAACGTGCACGAGCTGATACTCCTGCGCGCCTTTGTCCCGCACATTCCTAGGCTGCCCCCGTCGGCGCCTGGGTGTTGAACGCGGAGATTTTCTTGACCTCAGCCCAGGATGCGGGTTCCGTTGCTTCTTGCGGCTCAGGGTTCAGGGATATTCCGAGCAGTATGTCTCATGTTTACAGAAGTTTACATATTCCCAAGGTTCGTCAGGCCCTGAAGTTGAGGGCCTTCTTGGGCTTCTAGGAAGTCCGACCCGCCTCCTTTTTGAAACTGTGCAGAACTCGGCGTAGGCAAATTCCAGCGTAACGAAGCGGGTGTTAAAACACAGCCTAACTAATTCGGCGCCCTTCTCACCTTCTGCAGCTCCGACTGCGGCAGCCAGTAGCCTCCAGGGGAGCTGGAGCAACCAAGGCCCAACCCCAGCTAACTTTAACTTGGTCCTCCTGGTGGCTATTGGACAATACTTGCCACATCCACAAAACCCCTTAACTCGGACACATCGCGCAGGGTTGGTTTAAGGAATATGGATGCCGAGAAGCCGGATATCAGCAGCAGGGCACGCTGCGTACTGCTTGGCAAAAATGACACCAGTTCAGAAACACGCGGGGCATCAGTCGAGGCCAATAAGGCACAAATGATACAAGCACGGTGAGAAAGACACATAACATCTGAACTGATAGGAGGAGCCGGGAGCACCGTGTTTTCACCGCAAACTCGTGTTGCAGCACTCTCCTAGCCAAAGGCGGCTAAGCCATCTTTACCGGCAAGGAATCTTGTGTTGCCAAAAGAGAACTCTTCAAATAAAGCCAGGAAAGGCCTTAAACTAATTGGACTCCTACTTGCTCGAGCCCCACAACTCCCGTTCCCAACCAGGGGTTTCAAGGAAGATCTTCGCGCAGTTCACGTACTGGGGTGCCCCTTTCTTCTGTGCAGGGAAAATGACCGTGTTCATCATGGTGGCAAAAGCCGTTTGCTGAAGTAGCGTGGCGCTCTTGTCCTGGTAGAAATACACGGTTCGTGTCCAGCTTGTCTCATTTGGCCCGGTGGACGTCAGATTGTACTGGAAGCGTCCGCCGATGGTGTCGACGGCATCCTGAGCGATCACATCGCCCACGGAGAAGATGATTGCACCATCAAAGGTTGCAAATGAAGGAGGCTGGTAGTCTTCAACCTGGTAACGGAAGAGAGAGTAGAAAGCACCAGCCCACAAGAACTTCTCCAAGATCATGCCCGCTGGTGTCTCGGGTGTGAAGGGCTGATGCGAGAACCCGCCCACACTGAGCGTGTTGGGGTAGCAGACAGGCCACATGTTCGAGGTCATGATGGCATCGAAGACTGTTTGCGCTGGCTGCTTGATGGTGATGGTTGTTTGCAGCTTCCACGTGGACTCCAGGTTGCGATTCTCCCACTTTGGGAGCAGGTCTGATGTGAACCACGACGAATACTCGGCCGTCTCTTCCTCTGACAAGATATGGGTTTCCCCACTGAGCGGCCACTTTTCTTTATCTTGGCGCAAGCTGGAATGTTGTTGCTCGACTGCATGTGGCGAAACTGCCGCAAAGTGACCCTGCAGCAAGGATGTGTCGGAATGCTCCTCGCACACCTCTGCCAAAGACAACAGAGCGCAAAGAGCCACTGCCACCGCCGCAGTAAACGATGCGGAAGCCATGACCTTGTCCTATCAGCAAGAAATGCTGAAACCCCCAACCCGGATGCTCGAGCCAAAAATGCTCCAGGGGTTCTCAACATGCCCTTCGTTCAGTGCAAGACTCTCGTCCTCCCACTTGAGACCTCTGCCACAACATGAGCTTCCATCAGCTACACCAACACGACAATGATAAGGAACCGCTGTGCTCCTGTGTGCAATACGCCCCGGTTTCTTGCAAAGAGTGATTCTGCATGTTCTTTTTACAATACGTAGACATGAGCACGAGGAACCTTGCCGAATCGATGATCCTAACAAAAAAACCACCTCTTCAACTCTTAGACAAGGAAGTGGGCCATGTCTCCAACGACCATAGTTCTAACTCGGAGAGAGATCCTGTAATTGCTATTCGCGAAAGAGGTCTATACAGAGCATTTGTAACAATAAGAGACCTGCACCCCTCAAGCAAAAACACGCAAGTCGCTTTCCAGAAACCACGAGGAGCCTGGCTTGCACTGCAGCTGCAGCGCTCCGCTGCCGGGATCCACGGCCGTGATCATGGTGTCCATCCAGCAGGCGTAGGTGGCAGAGAAGTACTGAACCTCTCAGGTGACTTGAAGAAACCCTCGTCCCGTCCCACGACCCCAAGCTTCGACGGGGGGGGGGGGGGGAAGCTGAGACACTGGGGCGCTCAGCAGGCTTTTTCTTTTGGCTTAGGGGCCCAGTCAAGGACCAGAACACATGCTCGTAGCCCCGAAAAGCCCGTCATAACAAAGCTCCACGAGCCCAAGACCCCCTAAACCCTAAACCTAAACCCTAAACCCTAAAGCCATTCAGACTCATGCTCGGAGCCTTGTCCCCCTCGGCATACAGCGGCGTAGCCCCTCCCGTCGCGGAGGAGCCGGCGCGGCTCCGGGACATGTCCTGAAGGGCTGTTAACGTAGGGTTTAGGGTTTAGGGTTTAGGGTTTTTTTTAGGGCTGCCATGCGCTTCCAACATGCTTGCTGTACATAGGGAAAATACTCGGCGCGCGCGTTGGCGCAGTGCGTAAGAGGTCGCCAAACCGTGTGTCTTTGGATATTAAATGTTTTAGGCCCAGGAAGTCCCTTCGGGCTTCTGGGTCTGCGGCGGAGTGGTGGTTATAAAACCTTACTGCTTCCGTGGAAACTAATTCAAACCAGTATCTACAGGGGTGTCCTCTTGCGCGGGCCTTAGTAAATCTGATTCGGTCCTTGTATCCGGGAGAGAACACTACATGGTGAATGGGGTCCTGGGGGCTTGCTAATATAGAGCTCTGGAGTAATCCAAATTGTTGCGCCAGCAGTGTTTGGGAGGGCAAACATGGCTTGCCTGCAATTTTCCAAACCTTCTGGTTAGATATGTGTGAGTAGTACGAGGATTTGATTTTAATGGAACGTCTAAGATACCTATGGTACCAGGCGTCGATTTTTTTGAAGGAGTGGGTTTCTAGTGTGAGGACATCTAGGGAGTATAGCAGGACAGGAACAATGCAGCTATGGAAGATGTGGGTTTTTACTTTAATGGGTAGTTTACTTTGCCATATGTGTTGGAGCTTCATGAATGAGGAGTGAGCTAGTTCCATTCTGTGCTGAATGGCGATTTTTGGCGGAGTAGTCCAGCTGATCCTAGAGCCCAAATATTTAACCTGATCGCTTACAGGCACTGGAGTGCCATCGGCAAAGCTGATGTCTGCCTGTGCGCTGGGGTGGCGGAGTAGTTCGGTTTTCGTGTAATTGAGTTGTAATCCATATAAAGATGCTTCTACCTGTACGCATGCCAAAAATGATTCGAGCTGTGGTGCCGTGACTGCCATTAGAAGAGTATCATCTGCGTATTCTAGATCATAAATGGGCTTGCCTATTGACCAAGTGTTTTGCGGTGTACCCTCGCTCCTAAGCCGAGCGTCGATGTCGTGGAACAATACTGTCATGATCATGATGAACAAGTAAGGGCTGAGTGGACAGCCCTGTCGTATGCCACTTTTAGGCGTGCCCCAACTTTTCTCTTGAGAGAATCCTTGAGTGCAAAATTGGGGGTCGGTGTAGAGGTCTGTTATGATTTCAATGTAAGTGGGGTGCACTCCTAATCTTTTAAGGGCGACCATCATGGCGGGGTGGCTAACTTTGTCGAACGCTTGCTTCCAATCTAAAAAGAGAAGTTGGAAAGGCTGACCTGTTTTGGCGGAGTAATCTTGGAGCCTGCGCAGGATAAACAATGGCTGTTTTGTACTTCTTTTTGCACGGAAGCCATACTGGGTGGAGCGTAGTTGTGCGTCGTGTTTAGTGGCTAGTCTTTTTTGCAGCATGGCGGAGTAGATTTTGTAAAACGTGTTTAGAAGGGAGATCGGCCTGTAATTGGAGGGGTCTGAGTCTGATCCCTTTCCCTTGTAGATGCTTACCACGAGCGCTTCTTTCCATGAAGAGGGGACCTTCCTGGCTCTGAGGCAAGCGTTCATAAGGCGGAGTAGCTGGGTTTCACCGTAGTGGTCGAGGAGTAATATTATTTCTCCCTTTACGCCGTCTAGTCCTGGGGCCCTGCCTTTTCTTATACCCTGGATGGCAGCGTAGAGTTCTTCATGTTGAAAGGGAAGGGGGTCAAGTTCGTCGGTCTTGTAAAGCGGGGGGGAAGAGCGGAGTAGTTCGATTTCCTCCTCGGTGACGTCCGGTGGGGACCACTGGTTGTTCTGGAGGTGATCTCTAAAGATTTTGTGGGTGTTCGTCCATGGGACTGGTGTGCCTGAAACTTTTAGTCTGGTTCTCCTAGCTCTAAAACCTTTTTTGAAGCTCTGGACTTGTTTCCAGATTTTGGTGTGTGACGGGTTGGGGTCAGTAAGCAACTGCTCGCGTGTCCAATCCCTTTTTATTTTACGGGCCTGTTTTTTAAGGAGTTTGTGTTTTTTGATATGGGCGGAGTGGTCAATGGATTTTAGGTGCCTAACTTCATGGAACTGTTGTAGTAGTTCCTGCGTCATCCAGGGCTGCTTGGGCTTGCGTTTCAGTAGTGGTATGTGTTGCGACTCAGCTTTGTGCAGAGCTCGTACTAATGTGGAATTGAGGCGTTCCAACGCGGAGTGGTCAGTAGATTGTACTGGTTCAATGAACTCCGAGGGGGTGAGAAGAGGGGTGATGTCGTGCCTACCTCCCACTGGATCAGGTATTTGTTTTCCTTCTTCTGCTAACCTGTCCGCTATTTCATTAAAGTGGTCTCCTGAATGGCCTTTGACCCAAAACCAATCTACTGTGGTGCGATTTTGCAACTCTGCCAATAAGATACGTGCATATTTAATCATGGTTTTGTGTCTTTTAGCCTTAGATTTACCCCTGACAGCGTCTGACATCCAACGACTGTCGTAGTAGAAGGAAATTTGTTTAGGCGGAGTGGTCAATGTTAGTATGTACAATGCCGCTTCCATCCAGGCGCTCAGCTCTCCTGTATTATTACTGCCTACTGTCGCTCCTAGGTGAACTGCTGCATGTGGATCAGTGCTGACTGGACCTTTTGAGGCAATTGAATCTTGATTGGTTGTTATGATTGTGTAGCCCCAGCCTGCGGGAGTAGTGGCCGAGCAACGGCCTTTGCTTCCCGACCCATCCGTGTATACCGCCCAATTGGCGTCAGTTGTGTTGAGATTGGGTATTGATTTGTGTTTGGTACATTTTTTAAACGTGTGATTGAACAGGGTTTTAGCGGAGTAGTCTATGGCGGAGTAATCTCTTGCAGGAGGTTTGATTGTGGAGGGTGGTTGGGCTTTGAGTTTAACCCGAATGACTGATTCTAGAAGATAATGGTCACTAACAAATCCTGTGCTATGAACTGCTTGGCATTGTTGAACCGTAGGTAACCATTTGGATCTGGTGACCAAACGGTCCAGTGCCTGGAATCTGTGCGGGTCGATGGTTGGTCGTTGTTGTTCGGGCACTAAGGCGGAGTAGCAAGTGAGGTAATCCCTGACTTTCCCTGCGACCTTTAGGTTCTCATTTTCTGACTGGGGCAAGCTTTGAAATCTATCCCAAATTGGTAGCCATCCTATGGGGTCACTAGAGAACGTGAGCCAATCTAATGGGGGAGGGGATTTATCTCGGTATGTGATGTGCTTCAGAAGGTTACTCTGCTTGTAGGTTAGAACATCCTTAGCTTCAGAGGTACTCAGGAATCTCAGATAGAGCTCTCTGTTGTTACCTTCTGTGGTTGGTATACTGAGTCTTCCCTTACCATATACATTGGGGCCCAACATGTGATGTTCATCTGGTTTTCTACCTTGTAGTCTCACATTGAAGTCCCCTATGATATAAACCGGCTCTGGTTGAGGAATTTTGTGCAATACTGAGTCTAGCTTATCCCAGAAGGGGAGCTTGCTAGTTTCAACATCTCGTTTATTGTGTGGGGAGTAGACTCCTATGAGGTGAACATCTCCGGCCGATGCTGCTAGTGTGATTTGAAGGATCCTCGCACTATGCTGAACTACATCTTTGAGGTGTGGTAGAGTTTGGGGGGGAATGATTGCTGTCACTCCTGCGAACTTGTCCTTGTTACTGCCATTGCTAATGAACCTGTGCCCCTCTGAGGTGAATTGGTGGTATGTTGTGTTGCGTGTTTCGGTGAGGAAAAGGACGTCAAGCTTTCTACTACGGAGTAAAGTGAGGACTGACTGGTGTTTTAGTATTTCGGCCATTCCCTGTACGTTTTGTGTACCTATTTTAAAAGGTTGTCCATACGGCAAGGGTGGTGGGGCTACTGCTGGCGGAGTAGCCTTTTTTTGCTTGCCGATTTGTTCAGGCCTTAGTATAAGGGTTTTGAAAAGGTACGAATTTCGTACCCCGGTTTGGCACCTACTTTTGACTGCTTTCAAGGGAACCCCCCCTTTTACCAGTGCGCTGCCCGACGCTTCTGGTAATATAGGCCCACCCACGCTCCTGCGCCAACGGCGGAAAAGCTGCCGTCGAAGGCGTCTAGAGCGGGCACCCAAACCTAGAGGGTGGACTGAAGAAGGGGGGGGAGGGGTGATACACTCTTCGTCTCCCGGTTGCCCGGGTCCCGGCGTGCCTCGTGGAGGCGGTGTTGGCCTATCCTTCTGTGAATTCGTTGGTGGGCGGAAGGGCCGGCTGGCCGAAAAATGGCGGAGTGGTCTTCGGGTGTAGTTTACCTTACGACCATCTGTGAAACGAAAAGAAACTCGCCTACCCGTTCTTATTTTGGGTCTGGGGGCGAGTTGAGGGAAAGGGGAATATTCGGGAAGCTTTGGGGGGCTAATGGGTCGTTGGGAAAGGAGAAAATCACGGCTAAGTTTGGCTTGATGAATGAAGCTGTACTCCATAGTGGGTTGAGGGTACTCAGTGTACTTTTGGGGAATTAGAAGATCTAGCTGTAATGTTGTTGTGTTCCCGTTTTTGATGTGTTGTAATTTGTTGCGGAGTAGCTGTTGCAGAAGCTCCCACTGGCTTATCCCATACTTGATAAGTGAACATATTGTAGAATGAACTACCAGAGAATCCATAAGGACAATGGGGAAAGAGGATCTAGTGGTTGAGGTGTAGTAAAAGACGCATAAGAAGGCGATGATAATGTAGGTGCATGAAGCTTGAAGGTGAGGATTAGTTGGGAGTTTATTGGGTCTCTTTCGGCTTCTACGAACAACCCTCATATCCCACTGCAGGTCTTTAGCTGTGAGGGTTTGTTTGGCGACCTCTACAAACTCAGCGTGCGACCGCGATCGTGCAACACCCGGGGCACCCAAAAACCTGGAAACTCTGAAAGGGTAAAGTCTTATCATATGGGGGGCGGGGCGGTTGTGGGTGGAAGGCCTGCTCAACCCCTGACTTAAAACATCTCGAAGCAATTCCTTTAAGAAAGTTTCAAATGTGAAGTTGCCTTCGAGGAGTACCTTGAAATTGTGGGGGAGCGGCGCAGTAGCCTGGAGATAAAAAGAGGTACGTACCTCCCTGGCTAGATCGCGAATTCGAGCCGGAACCCTTCAGGCCGTGGGGGCCGTGAGAAGCGGAGTAGCCGCAACCGGGGCTCCGGAAAAAGTAGCCTGGCGGTAGTCGCCGCATTTGCGGCTGTTTTCGCCAAACTTATCACAATACTCATCCCAAACGTAGGCCACTTGGGACACCAGTCTGATCTCGAGGTCGATCGGGCACGGCATCGAGCTGGCGGAGTAGATCATCGGGGCCGTCCAGTGACGGGACCCCTTTCCAGCAAGCATCCCCTTGCCCGTGCCCTTTGCTGCAGCCTTGGCGTTGGCGAAGTGGTCGCGCTCTGCTGCATCCATCTCCTGCTGGACCCCGAAGACGATTTTGTTCCAGCTGTAGGACCAAATCGTGTCCTCCTCTGTCATCAACTCATCGGGCGGAGTGGTTGCAAGCCAGTCGGAGATGACCTTTGTGATCTCGAGGATGCCTTTGAACTGCTCCCCCTCGGCGTAGTAGTGGAGGCGAGCGCAGGCGGTGGCTTGCTCATCAAAGCCGCGCGCCATTTGGGGCGACATCACCGTGAGCGTCTTCCACAAGATCACCACCTGGCGGGGCTCGGTCTCCTCCTTGAGGTTGAGGGCTTGGAGGAGTACTCGGATTGGAATTTCCAACTTTCGTTGGAATTGGGGGCTCGAAGGTGTAGCCCTGATATGGTGGCGGGGTACTGGAGTGCGCTCATCCTTGTACAGTGGGGTACCCTGAGTGCCACCATATGCCTCCATGAACGCCTTTCTCAGGTCCCAGGATTTGAAGCTGAGTAGCGTTACCGAGCTCCACTTCTGTGCCCCTGCCGGCGGAGTAGACGGGTCTGCCGAGAGGACATTGAGGTACTTGTACTCGCCGTCGAAGTTGGCCCACCCCCTCTGCTGCAAGAAGGCCTGGACGTGGGTGATCTGCTCGAGCATCCAGTTGACCATGAAGAGCCGTTCGGAAGGCGACATGCTCGTATCCCAGCCGGTCAAAATGACCATGAGTGCAGCACTTTGCTTTTGGAGGGCTCTGTTCTCTGAAGCCATCCAGGCTAACTCCTTGGATTGGCGTAGTAGTCTATCGTCCAGCGAGACCAATGCTGCCTCAACTTGGTTGATCAAATTGTAGAGTTCAGGACGGATCACGGCGGTGTGGTAATGCCGGATGGTGTCCAGGACTTGCGCCCTGGTGGAAATCGTTTCCTTAGGGCCATATCTGTCGGGTTGTTTGCGTTGACACCGGCGGAGTGGGCTGTGGCTACAAAGGCCGTCTCCTGCTGGTAGTGCATGGGCTGGAAAAGACCAGTGTCTTGCTTTGCCGGCGGAGTACTCCCTGAGGCGGTTGGAGCCGTTGGGCCAAAGGTGTCTCCGGTTGGGGTGGCCAGCCCCGTTGAGGAAAAGGCCGGTGTCGGGGGGCCGCGCTTGGCAACCCTGCGCTGCTCGAAGAACAACTGCTGTGAGGCGGCGTACGCTGGGCCCTGTACCAAGGTGGCCTGCTCGCTGTAAACGCGCCTGGCCTCCATGAGGCTCTCTGCGGCCCCTGTGCCATCCGTCATGGCTCGAAACTGGGGTGGCGTAGTAGCCCTTGAGGCTACAAGGCAAAACCCCGAAAAAAAGGCCGCGGCTGAAACCATCATGCGAAGTGGTCCCTGCCTGGCAGAAAATTGACTGTGCAAACTGAAAGCGAAACCCACCATGTCTAGCAGCGAAGGCTGAAAGCCGATACGCCTGGGTTTAGGGTTTAGGGTTTAGGGCTTAGGGCTTAGGGCTTAGGGCTTTTAGGGCTTGCCGGGGCTTTTCAGGGTCCCAAGGAACTGCGAGTGGAGTTTGGGGGGAGCCCTTCAGCCTACATCCCACCGCGTTGAGCGCTGTCGGGTCCTTGAGGGCTCGGGGGTTGACTCTTCAATCACCCTCTTGAAGATCGTGCTCTTTTTCCACTGGGCTTGAAGCAGGGGTTCCTTTTTGGGTTCCATGTCGGACATCCCCACCAAAGGGAAGATCAAGAGAATTTGCCCTGAGACTCACCGCACCGAGGTTCCATCATCTCCAGCGCACGCTTGAAGTCCCAGAAAGTGACCTGAAAAGCTTCGGGCTTCGACTCTCACGCTCGCGCGCGGCAGGCAAGGCTGCGGAGGGTCTCTCGCTGCCGTAGTTGCAGACCCAGGGACTCACGGGTTTTCAGGAGCTTGGCAACAATTCAATTTGATGCTGACCGAACCTAACCTGACAACCTGCCTGCGCTAAACAGAAGCCCGTGCCATCCTTAAATCGCGCCCGGTAACCTACACAAGGGCTTGCTATCAAGAGCCCACACCACAAGGATGTGCCTATGGAGTGGCTTAAGGTTTCAGGCTTCGCACTGGTTTGCGGCTCTTCAAACATTGGGCATGTGGGCCTCCCTGCAGCACACACACGGTGTATGAAACGGCTATACGACACGAACACCTCATCCCCATGATTTCTCGATTGCATCATCTGAGGCCAGGCACCCGTCCAGTTCGGCTCAGGTCCATGCGATCCATGATGTCGGCCACAGTTCCTTTCGCAGCCGGGGCTCAAAACTGCCCACAAGCAGAAATACCCCGAGATCTGTGCCAATCGCATCCCCCAACGTGTCTGCATCCGGGCGGCGGTCGGCCATGATCTCCCGGACCTTCGGTTTGTGCATCATGGCCTGTCGGATTTGGATGCACGTTCTCATGGCAGACTGGGCTCCATGGGAGGAGGGGGGGAAGGGGGGGGGGGGGCTCATTTTTCCTGCTAAAGTTCATGTGTGAGGCTTGCTTCGGCTCGAAGGATCAACAGGGCGACGTAGGCATCGGAGCTGGGCCGAAGCCCTGCGCAACATGCTGTCAGCTGTCCACCCTTCTTTGCTGAGAGCAGCTCCAGGACAAGTCGGTGCTGAAAATGGGCTCCCGAAGCCAAGCACCACGAACCATGCAGAGGGTTAGGAGGCTTCGCTGTGGAGGATCTGTTGGGGCGTTGGGGTCTGAGAGCACGCGTGGACTTCACAAGGGCTCCCTTCGGCTAGGCTAGGGCCTTGATCTCGCTGGCGTCCAGGCTGTTGCTGTTGTCTGTGTCCAACTCTTTAAAAATTCGCCACCTAGCGGCTGAGGTACAGGGAGGAGATGAGGCAACAAATGTGTGGTGTTTCAATCCGGCTTTGTCGGGCTCTTGCCAGCTGAGCGAATGGTTTTCTGTTTGACTGAAGGGGGCGGGAATAGATCGGCGGAGCACCTACCCACTGTAGTTCACGATCACCATTGCAAACCCACCCCTCCACGACGCTAGGGCATGGGACTGTGTAGTCTGAGCCTTCTGCCGGCGAAGCCTTAACCACCAAACTCTCAAAGCTACGTCCCTTCTGTTGAATGCATGGACTGAGGTCACTGAAGTCGACGCCACTGAAAGTAAAGCTTTGAACAACACTGCAACACCTCAAAGCCTACCCCCCCTTTTTTGCAATGGCAGACTAAGCCGCAGAACTTCATCATTTTCGGCCTCGCAAGAGAATCGATTTGGGATGCGGGGGCTTAGGGTTTTTAGGGCTTTCATGGGTAGGGAGGGTGCTTTTTGCCTCGCCTGGGTTTAGTCTGGGGCTCTTGGTTGTGGTGCGTATACAGTCTTACGGGTGCTCCCCCTTAACAAGAGCCGTTTGATTCCCCGGCCTGTGGATACTTTCCAACTGCAGGCTGCAACCCACATCCCCAGACGCCTGCCTTCTTCGCTGAGATCATCTCTGCCATGAACCGGCTGTAAGTCAATGTGCCACTTGTGCCTGGTACAGTGAAGCGAATCCAATGGCACCAGTACCAGCAACTCCCTGCTCTGCTACGTCTTCGGGGTTGACGTCTATCAAAAGCGCTCTGCTCCTTGAAGCCAACAGCGAGTATACAGGCACGCCAAGTTGCCCATCAAGGTCTTCACCAACATGTCAACCTGTGCCTGAAGTTGATGTCTGGCAGCGAGGGAGAAGGAGGGAGAAGGAGGACAGCAGTAGTGCATGGCCCTAGCAAAAGAGGCTGCTGCTCATCTCAGTGCATTGCCAGCCCACCCCTATGCTGCAATTCAACCTGCAATGACCCCAGAGTGCGCAGGGTTCAGGCAGCACAAACGACTTATATCTTTGTGCAGCTCAGCTTGCCGGGTCCATCTTGCCAGACAAAGCCTGCCAACAGGAAGGGGCAGTGACTCAACATAGCGCTGGACCCTACTCCAGCAGACAAGTACTCGGCAACAATACAGAGCGCTCCCGATCAAACGCCTCGCAGACTTGAAAAGTTCCAGCCAGGACACTTGCACGGCATGCACCATACTGGACCATGCTCGCGCTCAGAATTCGCATGCTCCCCAACAGTCCTCCCGCGCTTCAGACTCGGTGACCACGCCGCTGTGGTCGGTATCCAGCTGGGCCTTCAGAGCCACGATGAAAAGAAGCTTCCGCACCATGTTACCGGGTTTGGGCACCAAGCGCCTGAGATTCTTATGTTCTTGTGCTCAAGGGTTCTCTAGCCCTCTGCCGTGCCATGCTTTGCAAGCTACTTCGGCCTCGTCTGGCCACATCTACCACCCACAAGCGTCCCCAAATAATCTGCCAGTTCTCCTCCCCTATTTCTGCGGACGTGTGGCAAAGAGCGCATTCAGCTCCTGCCATCGGAAGCTTCCAAGGGAATTCCGACGACGGAAGAATGTCGAGTCTCTCCCCCAGAAAACTCGAGTTCCCAGCGGATTGGGTTCTTGCTCATTCTGCGCCAGTCTCCGAAGAAACCGTTGATGTGCGCAAAGCTCGCTTTCGAACTGTGAACGCCGTGACCCCCACAAAACCCCACCATTTCCACCTCTGCCTTTTGCCTGCAAATCCTGCAGACGCAGCTGCAGGCACGTCCTTTAGGTGGGTCAGGTTCTCTTTGGCAACCATGTCCATCATCAGGGCTCGGTGAAGATCGCTCCTGGATGGAGAAGCAAGCTCTAGACGCAGGGCTGCAGGGGCATCTGCCCCGGATTGACTACCTATCGAGACAGCATTGCAATCTGCGTAGGGCTGAGGCTGACGGACTGCATGCCGACGCAGGGCTTATAGCTGGAAAGAGCTACTGCAAACATGTGTTCCTTTGAAAGCGCCCTCCCCTCTTGATCACTGCTCAGATGCAAAGGGTGCCCTAAACCCTAAACTTGCCCTAAACTCTAAACCCTAAACCCGAAACCCTAAACTCTAAACCGCAAATGCGGCCGCGGCATCATGGGCTTGAACTGGCCAAGGTCTTTGATCGCCTCAGACGAGTTTGGAGCCATTCGGGCGCCAACCCCTCAGTTTGCCCCAGGCTCAAAGGGGACATGGAAAGGAGTCACTAACCCGGAACCCATGTAAGCCCCACCTAGACGCACATGGGAATTTTCAACTGCGGCCAGGAGAAATGAATGAAAGCACCCGCGAGCCTAGATGGAAAACTGCCGCCCCCCCCCCCCGGCAAACAACCTTCAACCCTACAACCGACTTGCAAGGCGCCTCGCTTGAGACAGGGCTGCTCTCTTCCTGTCCGAAGAAAGATTGGGAGGTGCCCTTGCCTTGCTACGCTTTGGGCCCAGACTGGACCAAGGCTTGTCAGATTCTCTGAACCATCTCCGCTTCTTCTTTGGGCCACACACAGATGCCGCCCGCAGCCTTTTGCGGTAGGCTTGCAAAGATCTCCGTCCGACCATCCTAAACCCCTTAACCGTCCTAAACCCTGACACCCTGGGCCCCTCAGCTCTAACACCAAAAGCCCTTCCCTTGAGCCCTCAAATGCCCTGGAGACTCTTTTGGACGCTGGAGTCCCTGGTGTTGAAGTTCAACTGTTGCGTCCTTGCCGGCTTCCCGCCACCAGCTGTGCTGCAAGACCTGGAAGCTCGGGGCGAGTTGGTTGGCCACACACCAGAAAGGTACGGAGGGGCTGAAGACGCTGTTGCGCGGCGCAACCGTGTGACCCAACACGAACTGCCGACTAATTACTCCGGACGCCAGTGACACGCCGTTGGGTCCGAAGTGCTGTGGTTCCCAAACTTACAACTTACGAATAGTGAGCTGCCGAAACCATGACCCCCCAAACTTCGGACCCCAGAAACCCCGCACCATCGTCCCGGAGCACGCAAGGCCCGCCTGCTGTACCAAGGGCCGTTCCTTTCAGCGGGGGCCGGGGGGAGTGGGGGGGGTGGGGCTCTCGACCATCAGCTCGGCAATTCAGGTCTTGTTTTGCCTGCCAGTTTTGGGGTTTTGGGGGGGCTTTGGGCCATGAGGGTTTATAGGTTTAGGAGGGTTCATCGGGCGTGTAGGGCTTATGGGCTTATGGGCTTTGAGCGTTGAGGGTTTACAGGGTTTCGGAAATCCTGGAACCGAAGCATATCACCTCGACAATCTGACATAGCTCAACACAAAGACTAAACTTTGCTTTGGGCGAATCCACTCAGGTGCCATAGGGCGTACAAGGGGTCAGGGACTTGCCTCCCAGGCACTCGAGGCACGGTTTACTTCTTCAGGCTTATGGTCAATTTTGGCACCCATCTCAGCTCCGCTGCGGGTTCCGATACCAGAAAGTGAAACAAGAGGGGGGGGGCCAGTCTCAAATCCAGCCCACGCAATGCTGCCGGGCTTCTCGGAAGTTCCCAGCCATCATGTGCTGCACCAGGTTCTGCGGATGGCTTTGGCTCTGGGGTCGGACATAGAAAAGTCGCAGGGTTTGCCAGCATAAAGGGCTCCCTAAAGGTACACAGCTCTGAGTTCTAGAGGGGCAGGAGCGGCTGTTCAACTCGCTTGAAAGTCCCTCTGATCCCTCAAGGTTCGGGGATGCACGAGAACTTGCCTGGAAGGATGGGCAGTTCGACAGCGGCTGCCAGTCCACTAGCATCCTTGGGCGCGGAGGAGGCAAGTTCTACCTGCTGAGCATGTCTGAAGGGCCCAAGACAGAGTTCAGCCTTGCACCTGCAGGGTTCCAAAAACCGGACGGAGCAATCAAGCTTCGGATTCTTCCGCATCTCACAAATTCGGAAGGAGGGTTTGGTCCAGGCCACATATCTTGCATCCCATCACCAACCTGGAAGCCCTGAGAACTAAACATCAGAGGCTGAGCCCGGCACCCACACGTCTGGGCCTGGCAGGCGGTCCGACACGGCAAGGACATCTAGAGAGCTTGTTGTTTGCAAGCACTCGCTGGTTCCAGCAGGCTCTACGCTAGGGTCGGGATTCAGGGGTCGGGGGTCAGGTTCGGGTTGTTATCTCGAGGCCTTAAAGGTCTTTAGGGGGGCGGGGGGGGGGGCGGCTTCCTGTGGAGGATCGGGCAAAGCCACCTGAAGCTGCTGGACGGTCTGCCCTTCAAAGGCACGCCGCCTTGGGCAAACCAATGAGTGGCTCAATTAAGACCAGGGGAAGGGGGGGGGGGAGAAAGTGGCAAAGCATGACTCAGCCTGGGCGCAGGCGACTTCAGAAATTTGGGCTTGGAGCTCAGGGACTGAAATCTTAAGCCGTGTTATGATTGTAGGCCTTTGGGGGCTTCGCGAGGTATTCTTCCTGAAACTGGTGTGGCCCCAATCTTCCCTACAGGGTTCTGTAGAAAGGGTCCCGAAAGCGTCCCCAAACCCAAGGATACAAACGCGCAAGGGCTCCAGGGAGTCCTTCACCGTGCAAACCCTTGGGCTGGTCAAACCTCCCGTGTGTACCAACATCCCAGATACCAGGGGATAGGATTAGGGAGACCCTTGGGGATATAGACCCTGTGAATAAGGTCCCCGTTTAAGAGAGCCAGAAGAGGGTTCAGAAGGGTTCCCTTAAAAGGGTCCCCCTATCCTTCCTAGGAGATACTGTACCACGGACCAGGACGGACGAACCCCCGCTGCTTCACGCAACGCCGAGGAGCTGGTGCAAGCAGTACATGTTGTAAAACCTCGTGGCTGCGTTGGTCTAGATCGCAAGGCTTTGTCTCTGGCTTTACAACGACTGCTGGCCACAGCATACTGGCTTTCAGAAAAAAGGTTTGAGAAGAGACTGGGAGGCTTGGCATGCAAACAAACTCCCCAAGCCTTTGAGCCCGAAACCCTACTGACCTTAGGGATCGCAAAGCCGCGAAGCTTAGGCCGTTCTCTCGCCCAGCCTGGCGCACTGAACCTTTGGATGCTCCCCCTTATACTCACAGCCCTTCATAGGGATTATGATAGGGGGGTACTATAATCCCTACTAAGGACTGTTAGTCCAAGAGGGAACATCCCCACACGGAACCCTGAAAAAAAAAACGAGACTGAGGTCCGGACAGCACTCCTGGGATGTGAGGGCGCTTGGGCAGCGAGAGGGATTGTTGGGGGTGAGGGGGTCGGAGTTTGTGGGCTCAGGGCTTGGGTTTGGGAGGGGTTTAGGGTTTAGGGCATAGGGTTGAGGAGTCTAGGGAGTTTAGCAGGGAGTTTAGGAGGGCCACCCACCACGTGATCATGTTAAGCCTGCTCTTCACAGACGCGGAACCTTCTCCGCTCAGAATCGGCACGCAAGGTGTGTAGCTCAAAGCCATTCAGGGCACGATTCCTCCCAGGGCTGCCAAGGCACCCATGGAAAAGATGTCGCCCTTGCAGGTCCACACTCCCTTGGTCCAAACCTCGCAACAGGAGCTGGCAAAAAGCAAGGAGGGGTCACGGATACAGAAATCGACAGGGTTGAAAGGCAACTTTGTTGAGCCATGGCAGATGCCCTAGTTCCGCATCTGCCTGTATAGCAGCCCCTGCGCTGTTGAATGCATCCACACCAGATCTCAAACCTTCTTGAACAGATGATACAACACCCTCTGAGCCATCAAGAGTCCCTACCAAACTCCGACCCTTTGTACCCCCACACCCTTCATGCAAACGCGCACACACACACACAGAGAGACAGAGAGACACAGCGGCTCAAGAGCTGGGGGGGCTCGAGCCTTTGAATAGGGCTTGGGGTTTCAAGCTACCTGGCCCCGGCGCCTCGGGGGGCATGTATCCCGGCGTGCCCATGATGCCAGAACTGCCCTTCCTGGGGCTTGAATCGATCGAGATTTGCGGCTCAGGCTACAGCACCCCCAGATCCTGCACGCAAAAAAAAAGAAAAAAAAAAAAAAAAAAGCCGCGGCACCCGAAACCGACAGAGGCTTCCTGAAAGGCCCTGCCTCGTCCCGACTCGAACCCTCCCTTTCTCAACTGGACCTTCACCGGCCTTTCTCCCGACGCCCCATGGTCAAAAACTGGAAGCCCCCCAGCTGAAAAAGTCTTCAAAACCCAGCTTCCGGAAGTCCCGGGCCAAGCCGAAGTCGATTACCACGACATTCCTCGGGCTTAGGGCCTAACATGGCTTATATAGCTCTTATTATTTTTACTATTACTATTATTACTATTTACTGTTATTATTCCTATTGCTATTATAACCATTAGTATTTATATGATCAATGTTGCTTTGGATGTTGCTTTGCCACGCCCAGGGGCCTTGGTTTAGGGACTCGGCTGCTTCGGGGAGTCCCCCTGGTGGCTGGGAGTGGCCCTACTATCATCATAATAATAATGAAAATACTAATAATGAAAATGATAACAATAATAATAAGAATACGAATCATAATTATTATTATCATAATTAATAGTAACTAAGAGGCTTCTGTGGGCACCGGAAGCTTGGGGCCCCTAGGCCGAGGATCGGGTTGTGCCAGTCGGTGTCGCCTGAGATCATGACGTTGGCCTCCTTGATGTCGCAGTGCATGGACTTCTTGCTGTGGAGGTACATGATGCCAGCCTGTTCTGAAACCCCCACCAGGCCCCCCTTTTCGTGTCTTCTTCGTGCAGACATGTCAGGGAAAACGAAACAAAAACGAAACCTTGGCGGGTTCACGAACAACCGTCGCGGGACCGAGCCGACTGAGCCGGGTGGCACAGATCTGCTTCAAGATGCCGGCCAGCCAGTTCCTGCCACCGGTGTAGGGTTTAGGGTTTAGGGTTTGTTGTTTGGGGTTTAGGGTTTAGGGTTTAGGGTACCGCTAACGCGAACTCTCCGTTTGAGGCGGGTTGGGGCTTCATTAAACGTTCTAGGGTTCATGCCCCTGTGTAAAGTCCAAGTCCGGAAAATCCTGACAGTCCAAGCCCCGAGGCAGGAAGCAAACCTGGCTCATAAAACATGGAGCTCATGCCCAAGAGAACTCGAACACCCGCACGTCAACCCCAAAGATCCCCCGAGACCACAAGTTGAGCCAAGACCGCTGGTTGAGCGCCACGCCGCGCTCCGTCGCCTGGCGAGAGACCCGGGCTGCTTGGGCAAGAAGCCTTGAAACCCTTTCAAAGCGGTTCTGGACTTTTTGGTAGGGTTTAATTTGTTTTTTGAAGCCCTTTCAGAGGGGTTCTGGACATTTTTGGTAGGATTTAATTTTCTTTGGGCTTCGGGGCTCAAAAACTCATCTTCACAACTAGTTCGGGCCGTTTGGCTCCAGAAGGACTCGCGGCTTCTTGCCGGGCACAGCTGACGATGTGGGCTCCAGGTTTAGGGTTGGGGGATTACGTCCACAAAACCCTTCATCCTTGCCATCCCCGGCATCCTAAATGTCCAAAAGAACAACAAATCCGCCATCTAAACGCGTCTAAACATTCAGGAGCCGCCTTGGAGGCGCAGGTAGTGAGGTCCCCACCAAAATAGGGCTCGCTCACCACATAGATGTAGACATGGTCCTGGCCAACACTACAGTTCATCATTTAACGTATAGCATGCGATACCCTATTCTATGAAATACTGCGTGTTTTTCCATGCTATGGAAATGCGTACAGTGCTACTACGGGTTTGCGACTTTGGGGCCTCTTTGGACCTAGAGCCACGCGTCGGAGCCCGAAAGTTGAATGAAGGCCTTCAACATTCACTGGCGCGACCCTAAACCCTCATCCCTAAACCTTAAAGGCCCCTTTGGCAGAGCGAGACCTGGAAGACTTCGTACACCCGGGCGATCTTCGGGTGGTCCAGCGCAGTGAGGAGGTTGAACTCCTCTTACAGGTCTAGGGCCCAGGATGCCGAGTTTTGGGGGGTTAGGGGGAGCAAGGATTCAGGATTCAGGGCCTTGCAATCACAACCCCCATGACTCTGCTCGTCCCTGAGCGCCCCCGAGAGCTCCTCCACGATGTCTTCCACCGGTGCATTCCTGGAGGCATTTTGGGTCAGTTGGCCCATGCAATGGTCTGGGTTCAAGGGGTTCAAAATCGCACACCCAAGGTTGCAAGCTGCACCCCTCAATATCTCACTGAATATGCGCTGACACGTAACGTGGCCACCCATCTTCGTGTAAAAGGCTTCTCCAAACCGGCAAAGGAGGCCTTGCCCTCAAGGCCCCTTGCCGTCAACACCCGCCAGGGCACGCGCAGCTCTTGTTGTAAAACTTCACCACGCGTTTCCTCGAGACGGATGGGCTTGAGGTTTCGCGGCCTCGGGAGCCTCTGGGGCCCATGCAGCCTTAAGGGGCTTCGGACTCCGGCTTGGCTTTTTGGCGCCTGGGCCTTCTTCAGCCTCTAAACCTTACAAACCCAGCTCCAACACCTCTTTTCGGCCACAGCACAAACACATGCCTAAACGGAGCTGTTAACGTCCCAAATCCGAGACCAAACGCCCGACCCATAAAACGCATCCCAGATTGCCCCAAAGACTTTTCACGCTCGGGCTCAGCTTGCTGCTCCGGTCTGTAGCCAGGTACACAGCGCCCTGGCCGCCTTGTCCGAGCTTCTTCCTGGGCCCGAAAACCCACAAAAGCCATCGGCCCTGACCTGTCCACCCTGTAAACCCCGCAAACCCCACAAACCCCACAACCCCATAAACCCAACAACCCTCCTCCCTCTCTCTCTCTCTCTCTCTCTCTCTCTCTCTCTCTCTCTCTCAGGCAAGGCAGCTCCAAGCTCCGTCTCGCAAAGGCTGAGAGTCAGAACATCTAGGGCCTCGAGTCTCCTGTAGCCCCGAAATCCATCAAAGCCACTCCGGGACCCGAAGTCCTAAGCTCAACACCACCTCCTTGAAAGAAAGCCTGAAGCGATGTGTCGGGTCCAAGCGACTGCAGGGCAAAGGCATTGTCCAGCTGCTTGAAAGGGATCCTGGAGCTTCGGATCGCCATTCAGAGGGGTTTAGGGTTTAGGGTTTTAGGGTTTAGGGTTTTTTTTTGCCACCCGCGTAGCTGACCAGGTTTAGGGTTTAGGGTGAGAGTTTAGGGTTTACGGATGTTTAGGGTTTAGGGGTTCGGTGCTCATCCGATTCAAGGGTCTGGGAGGGTTCAAGGCCGTCCTTTGCAGAAGAACTCCATGTCGGGTTGACTAATGCTGACCCAGGCACGACTCTGCAGAGAAGTCAGGAATTGGCCTGAGCTGCATCAGATCGTGGTGGTTTGTGGCATTCCGGGCTCGTGACGGCTTGCTCACACCTCCTTGAACAATCACCTGCTATGCTCCAAATTGTCCTCTTGCATGGTACATCCAGTTTCATTGCAGCTCACAGCCCGCATAAACCTGAAAGCAACTGCTCTCGACTTGCAAAAGTTCTCGCTTCCCTCGTCTGCTCGCTGGAAAAGTGAATCCATTGCAGCTGATTTCGATGCTTTGGGGGCGGGGGGGGGGGGGGGGGCAACCAGATGCCGTGCGGCAATCCGTGATGACAACTTCAACATGCTTCTAGCAGAAAAGGGCCGGGCCACTGCATGGGCAAAGCCTGAGACTGGTTTTGCCGCTGCAGGCCATCCTCGCCAACCACTCGCTCTGAGGTTTTAAGGCAGACAAGGGCGCATAGGATTACCTTTAAAGGCTTGTTATCGTGCTCTGGCTTGGGGTGCAGGGTTCCGGTGGTTTGGCGCCTATCGGGCTTGGGAATGCGAGATCGGGGCTGCCAAATTGGCAGAAGTGCAGCCAAGCATCGCGGAACACACGCAGCATGTGGGTGATCCTGAGCCGCGGGACTTGTCGTACACCAAGAAGGTCAGACACTAAAGCCGTGAACCCCAAACCGCCACAAAAATGCTTGGCACCCGAGGTCTTTTTGGGGCTCTTCCGGCCTAAGAAGGAGCACCCTGCAATTGAGCAGAAAGGGTTTAGGGTTTAGGGTTTAGGGTTTAGGGTTTAGGGTTTAGGGTTTAGGGTTTAGGTTTAGGGTTTAGGGTTTAGGGAAGCCCTCTTTCAACTCCTCAAGGGCCCTGAGGGCGAGCCCAAAATCCCAGGGACAGGTGCAGCGCTTCGCTCTCATCCAGCTGACCATCCCCGGAGAAGTCGTAGCGATGGAAGAGCACCTGCTCAAGAGGCTAAGGTCAGGGCTTGAGGGCCTTCTTTCGGAGACTGTTGCTGAGTTGAGGGGGGTGAATTACACACTTTGCGGTGTATTGCTGGCCCTTTTCCGCCAGCTGAAGGGTAGGGCTTCTGCCTTGTGCTTCTTCTGCGTTCAGGCCCGGCAAAGTAACTTTGACCCATGTGATATGGAGGAACAAGCTCCATGTGCGAAACCCCACGAAACCAGAAGTGTTCAACACGATGCCCTCCCAACCAAACTCAAGCAAGGCGCCTGAAACCTCCCGCAGTCCTATCTCCAAACGTCTTGAACTTCTGACGCCCGCCCTTCTCACCTACGAACAACAAACCCATGAAATCCAAACACAAAACGGGCAAAACCACACAGGAGCCGCAACAAAAGCGAATCCCCCCGACCCTCCCTAAACCTAAACCCTAAACCCTAAACCCTAAACCCTAAACCCTAAACCCTAAACTCCCCACTTTAGGGCAGCCTGGATGTCACCGAAGGCCGTGGGATCCACGCCGAGCTGCGCCCCGAGGGAGAACGCGAGGCCGTGCACCTCTCCGAGTCTCTTCTGCGCCTTTTTACCCCCAAACCCTAAACCCTAGCCCTAAACCCTAAACCCTATCCCTAAACCCTAAACCCCAAACCCTTTGCCACAAGAGCCCAAACCCTAAACCCCAAACCCCAAAGTTTTTCCCTTTTGAGGGGATGGAGGCGATGGAGTGCGGGGATGTGGGGGGGGTTAGGGTTGGTTTCTGCAGGGTTTGGGGCGTTGCTGGGGCTAAACCGTGCGCTGAGAAAGCACTCGGGTGAATCATGCGATGCGACTGGCTGCCGACTGCAGGCCGCATTTTCTCCCACCCTGCGCCATCGAAGGCGAAACTCGGTTTGGCCCTAGGCTGCGGGTGATTCAACTTCCAAAGAGAGGGATCCACGGCTGCATGGGTTGTTGGCCGAACTGCTTTGCAGACGGGGACAAACCCCTTTTCACAACCCTTATGTTGGTTGAAACCAGGAGTGAGGTCCGACAAAGACAAACCCCGAGCGCAGAAGCCTAAACCCTCTTAGGGAGTTGTGGTTCAATCTTAGATCCGAGGCTTTGTGCTCCCGTCCTTCAAGCCTCAGGATTTAGCAGAAGGAATATCTGAAGCGAGCTGGGAATCTCAGGTTGTGCATGCGTACACAGGGTTTGAGGAGGAGGAGCCCTCATTGCCCGCCCCCCCCCCCCCCGCCTCATGAGGCTGTAGCCTCCGATCTGCGCCGGCATACTGGTGAAAGAGTTCCTTGACCTTCTTCTCCTGGGTGCGAGAGGCTTTGGGGCTTAAGGGATTCAGGGCTTCTTTTGGGTTTCGCACCCAAAGACCGCTTTAGGAGTTCTTCCACTTCTGGCCGTGACTGCTGGCTGTCCACAAGCACGTGCAACGTGAAACTCCCGAAACTCAATTGCCCCGAAAGTGCTGCCGGAACGAACCCAAAAGCATGTTTCGCCCCCTCTCTCTCCCTTTGTTTTCGGTGGACGAGGTCGCTGTCTCTCTTCCTGTGTTACCTCTCTGGTCCGAGAGGCAAGAGCAACCTTGTCTCTGAGAAGCCTGGGACTTTCAGTGCGCTTAGCTCCATGTGCTTCTGTCTCTCGGGGCTTTCAAGAGGTCTGCATCCAAGCCTTAGCAGGGTGGCCAAAGGAGTCTTGGGGTTTGAGTTTCCCGGATCCAGCGCTGGAGGGCCCTTCTTGCAATGCACGCCTGCTCTATGCAGGAAAGGCAACAGGGCCTATGCCGGCTTGGCAGACCCTGTGCCAGGCTCAGACTTCGGTTCGTGCACCCCCATATGACCTCATGGCACCCGGGGATGACATTTCAAACATGTTGGTGCCCCGCTGACCCTCCAGGCATCTCGCTCGGAAGCACGCTATAAGGGAGCTGCATGCATCGACGCGGCATGCAAAAACAGCTGAGGCAGTACGAAGCAGCCGGTGCAAGAAGTGAGCTACCGGAACCCCCACCCACTTCCCTCGCCCCAAAGCCCTAAACCTCAACCCATAAGAAACTACCAATAATAATAAGATGGTGATGATGATGATGACAATGATAATAATAATAATAATAATAATAATAATAATAATAATAATAATGATAATAATAATAATAATAATAATAATAACATAAAATAAACAGTAAAACCTGTCGGGGAGCTGGACCCAGGAGCTCTTCGCTGTGGGCAAGGGCGAATTTTGCATCGCAGCCTCAGCCGGGGCCCCCGGAAAATTTGTCGGTTTAGGGTTTAGGGTTTTTTTTCCCACCCGACTAGCCAGCAGCAAAGCGGGGTCAGGGTTCAGGGTTTAGGGTTTAGGGTTAGGGTCTAAGGTTTTTTCCCACCCGTTTCGCAAGCATCTACGGGGAAAAGGTCAGACAATACAGCGGCCTAAGTTCAGATGCGAGTGTCAGACTGTATTGGGCGGGCCTCAGGGTTGCTCCAGTCAGATGAAAAACACGTCCAACCAAAACCTAGGTCAACAGAACAGCCCCGAGAAAGCCCATCCCTCAAAAGATGCCCAACCCCCCTCCCCTCCCCTTCGCGGCAGCCTGCAATGATCACAGGTCTGGTCTAAAGACAAAGCTACCCCCCTGTAAGGCTTGAAAGGATCCTTGGGGGCTTTAGGAATCAGATTCCTAGGGGGGTCCCTGCTTTTTGAACCCAAAACCGATAAGAACCGAACCGAGCATTCTCACCGAGGCGCTTGAAGCTGCTTGAGGTCAGCATAGCGCTGGCCCTTGCACAGTCGGAGGGGATCTAAGAGCCGAAGATTTAGACTTGCAATTTGAGGGGAACGGGGGGATACGAGGGGGGCAGAAGAAGGGGTTTCGGATGCACTTCGTAGATCTTCGTGGCGTGCCAAGGTTTGCGGACAGCCCTCCGTCTTCTCAAGGCTGCATCTCAGGCCCCACATGCCCGGTGCCCACCAGCCCGGCCTTGTAAATGTACTGTGCGGGCTGCCCAACCTCGGATGCGCGTCTCAAGATCTGCTGGGATTCCCGAAGTCGTATTTCAGACCCTGATCGAATCGACACGTAGGGTTCGGGGCCAAGTCGCTGCGGGCGGTGCTACGCCGTAGGCGTAGCCCCCGACGGCAGGTGCAGGTGGAGACGGCCCCACATTGGGATCATGGTACATTGCGCCTGGGGGCAGGGAGGAAGCTTCACAGATACTGGTGCACCCGCTTCCCATCTTTTCCTCTTCTTCTAGCCTTGTTTAACCTCGTGTTTCTTCTTTGTTCTTCTTTTCCTCGTCACTCCTCTTCTTCTCCCCTTTATTATTGAACTTTCTGACAAGGACATAGTGGGACGAGTTGCAAAAGTGTGAAGGCGTAGCCAAGTCTTGGCTTAGGGTTTGGAGCGGGTTAGCGTTGAGAGCTTCACAGAGCAAGACCTACCGATCGGCCCAACCTTTCACACAACCCCTTGCCAGTGCCAGCAGCTACAAACTTTTGAGGCAATTACCCAGAAGTCAACACTCGACAGGTGTAAGCTTTGCAAGCCGCAAGCTGGCCACGATTCCCAACCTTTTTCGCGAAGCCCCCCCGACATCCCAAACCCTACTTCCGGGGGAAGCCGCGTACTCAGGCTGCCGTCGCCGCAGCTATCTCGACATCGCGCACTCATGCCCTGGCCTCTTTATGCTTAGTCGATTATGGCTTTTGTGGAAGCTCATTCTGTTTTAGCTGGGATATCCATGTTGGCTCGTCCGCTCAGTATTGCACAGCAGTCCCAAAGAGGTATGAGCTGGCAAAGCCCCGCAAAGCTACTTCCGATGGGCTACAAAGACGGCCGCAGGGGGCTCAGAGGGCACATCGAGGGAGGGGAAGGGGGGGCATGTGAATGGCCATGCCGGTGAGGCCCTCACACCCTAAGAACCTTTGCCGGAGGGCGGGATCTTAAGACTCTGCGACCTAGCCATGAGGCACATACATATGAACAACCATGCACTATATAGCAGGTACTTAAGTGCCCCATCCACTATGGGAAGTATGAACCGAGCCGCAACGTCACGACATGACTCAACTTGAAGCTTGAGGCTTAGCCACGCCCAGCACTGTCTGGGGCGAAAGCAGCTTGATCTGCGGCTGCATCTGCCTGACAGAGCTCGAAAAAACCCGAAAACCAGTTGACCTTTCGGTCCGCTCATGCTTGCAATGCTTTGGCTTGCAAGCAGGCCCGGGCGGACTACTCAACCGAACTCAGCTGAGGTCTACACTCTTCGAAAAAATGAGAGGGAAAGCCTTTCTAGAACAAATGCCCCGAAAAGCGCGCGCCAAGACACTAACTCCTGACTCAAGGTCGACAAGCGCGCGAGGGCCCAGGAAGTGTTCCTGGCGTCTGAGCAGTCCGGGACCAGGCTGAGGAGGCATTTCGTGGCTTCGTGGCCCCGACTCTCTCACTTCCAGAAGCGGGAGAGCTGAGGGCTGAGATTCTTGTTTAAAGGGTTGCGGGTTTAGGGGTTTAGGGTTTAAGGTCCTTCTGGCAGAATTGAAGCACCAACACTCTCTTCGCGCCTGTCGGACTTTTTTTTGGCATTGAAGCACGTCAGCTCTGCAATCGTCAGCCACTTTGCGTCGAACTGCTGCGCACAAATGCCGCCGCAAAAAAAAGTGCAGATTGTTCGTGCTCCCAGGTATCTGTGAACGACCTCATCTGCCTTTGGCAGATTTCAGCGCTGTAGCGCTGTCGATCTGCAGACAAGAGCGGCCACAGCAACTCACACAAGATTGCTGGGACTGTGATCACCCGCCGCAATCTTGGAGCCTTGCTAAAGGCAAGGCAAGCGGACGGAACGTCTGCTTCCGCGTTCACGTGTGGCACCTGCACATCTACAAGCCAACACGAAAGCGTGATTGAAACGACTTGAAACACTACCAACTCTTGCACGTGGACAAGCTGCTGAGAAGATGCATCTTTGAGAGTACGATGTCGTGAACTAGCAATTTGCCCTCCAGCACACGTCTCACGATCAGGCAAGCGGAGCGATGGAGGAATGGGACTCCGTCCTCATTGCCGCCAGCAGGGATATTGACTTACGAGTTCCCCCCACGACATCCTGATGCTTTTTTGGGTTCTGAATGACTTCACACAGGAAACGAATCCTTTACCGTGCATAGCTTATGTAGTACCCTTACACCCTGAGCCAGCTGCCGATTGAAAAATCGTGGCGATCTGCGTGAACGCACGATAAAACATGAATTATTGAAAATCCCGCACATGCAGGAAATGAGCTGATCCACCACCATCGCAATATTGCGTCCGTGGATTTGATTTTGGAGTCACGGTGCAATCAAACGAATGGCCCATAGCAGGTGTTGACAACATGCGTTCCGCTGAAGTGGGCTTCTATTTCTGCTCGGCCCTGCAACTCCGCGGCAGCAACTTCGACTTTTTTGGTGCTTTTGCGACCTGGAAAGCGGTAGCCCCAGATGGCATCCTTGAAACGTGCAGCCGTCCCGACTTCAATGAAGTTGATGAAAGCGTAGCCAACACCTTGCCTGTTGCGCCTGTTCGTAGGGAGGTAGAAGAAGTCATAGCTCCCAGCAAACCCCAAGGAATCAACTGCACGAAGCACTTCAGTTGTGCGGCACCGGCACGGAATGTTCTTGATCATGACGGTGTGGAGAGTCTCCAGGCGCGGCTCTTCGACGGCGGTGTTGAAACTCGAAGCCGGCGAGTTCTGCGTCCCTGTCTGCACTCCATCTGATGCGCTGCTCTGCTGGGTCGTCTGGCGATCGAAGGTGCAGTCGAAGTCACGATACTCGGTGCTTGCAGTGGTGCAGTCACTGGTAGTGCAGTCACTGAGAAGGCGAGCGAATGGCTTGGCATCCGGTTCAAGGTCTTCCTCTTCAAACTTTGCACGTGGAGGCGTGCTGTGCGAACGGCGATGTGCCTGCTCCTCCTCACACCACTGGACATCTACATCCAAGAAGGTGTTCCGATTGGTCAGAGTCGCGGTGCCGTCGAAGAAAGGCATCTGAGATGCCAAACTAGACATGCTGCACCGGCGGGGAAGACTCCTCGGAGAGTAAGCCTTGAACAGGCACCTCGGGATTTGAGCCAAATAGCTCCAATCGTCAAGAAGCCCTCCCAAGCTCTAGGAAGCCTGGCGAAGGAGTGGGACTCATGGGGCACTGAGCCCTTCTCTGCAGCTCCAAGCCCATCCCCATCCACAAAGCTCAACTGAGCTCACTCATCTTGAACGACCCATGAAAGCTTTCAACACCTTTGAACCTTAAGTTCGCTGGACTCTGAAGAAAAAAAAAAACAACAACACCTGCCTCAAGGGGCACCCTAGACCCCCATGTCTTGGGACATTCCCCCTTATGCTAACACTCCCTAGTAGGGCATATAAGAGCCCCCCGATTAGAATTCCGACTAAGGACTGCTAGTATAAGGGGGAACACCCCAACCTAAGCCCGAAGTGAATCACGCAAGTTGGGCCCCGTCTCTTGTGACGTGAGCTCGGCGGCCTTGGGTACGGAAGCACGCCTTGGCGGAGAATGGCAGGAGGTTCTGGGCGCAGACAGGGGGGGGGGGGCGTTTAAGCAGCAGGATGACGTGCAAGTGGACCCCAAACTTTCCAGAGAGTATCATTCCTTCTCTAACTTCCCCCACTAGGTTCAAAGTGGTGATAGAACATTCGCGTCTCCTCCGACAGAAAGGTTGTTGTTTTTGACTGAAGCTTTCCACCGCTCAAATCTCGGATCGCCCCATGGGGTTGACATCGTTCTAACTGTCTGGGAGGGAACCCCGAAACCAGACACCAAAGCCATACACAAAGGCGGGGACAGTCTCACACAATGGCATCATATCTGCAACAGGGCTCACAGTGCTCGCGGGCAATTGTCCACACTGGCCTCACTAGGCGGTATCCAGCTCGAGTGCTGACATTCTCATTCTCGACGATAACCACCCAAGAGCTCTGCCAACGACGAGTCGAGTCCGCCCGCAGAGGATGCCAAATACTTTCAGCGCTCTAAACCCCAGAAGAATTCACGACTTCAACCCACCCAGTTGTTGGCATCTCGGCAGCTCCTGCCAGCACCGACAAGGCTGCAACGTGCTTGAAACACACCTCTGACCCTCCCAGGCTCCGACGCGACAGCGTCACAGAGCGCCTCATCGTGGATCAGCACCTTAGGGCTGCGGCTTGAGGCGGTTGAGGCTGCTGGAAGATCTGATCGGAGTCTAGCGGTCTTGCGCATTCGCCTTACGTTGCTACGCCATGCTTCGGTTCAAATGCTTGCGGTGGGAGCTTGGATCCGCAGACTGAGGGCAGACCCCCAATCTTGAAACCGAGAACAAAGGCGGCAAATGGCGGCAACTAGCACACTCCCACACCCTGCCTTCGTGGAGGCCCGGACGCTGTTGGAAGGGCCCTGCACCTTACATGCAGCACTCTGGATGCCAAGCATATTGAATCAGCCTATCGACTCCGGTGAAGAGAGGCTGGCTTGGGACTAGGGTTTTGGGGGGGCCTTCGGGGCTCGCACTCGCTGTGTATGTTCGGGAACCATATCAAGGTTTGGTCTTCCTGGCGCTTCCAGCACGGCATGACAAAATGGCTCTTCAGGATCCCACGTCAGCAGTTTTGTGAATCTGATTTGTCCCTTTGCGGACAGCATCTTGCCCCAAACTGCACACCACAAACTGACAAGCTGAACTCCCGCCCGGCAACTAGACCTTTCCTGGCGGAATGTGCAGCATCCTTTGTCACAGTGCCAAGAAGAAGCTACCAGCTCTGGATCACAGAAGATTATTCCTGCAAAGGTTTCTTTTCCGAGCCAGCTCGAAAGCTACGTCTTGCGAAGGGTCAGCAGAGCACCAGGCACCAAGATGTGTGATGATGCTTTTTCTTGGGGCTCCACTGCCAGAGGCAGAGCACAAAGCCAGGACCCAGATCGAAATCTGTTTTCTTGCGCTCTTTGCTTTCAGCTTCTCCCTCGTCGGTGCTTTGAGGAAACAAAGTTCTTCCTAAATCGGCCTCAACAAACAGATCCCAGGCACGGGGAGACCTTCTGCGCGCTACTTTGTGTTAGGGACGAAGCGAAAGAATTTCTGGCTTTTGAGTCGCAGCCTGGCGAGGCGCATGGGCCCCGATTAAGGAAGAGACGCAAGGAAGAAGTTTTTGGGGGTTTGGAATCACGGCGTCACGGCTCTGTGGTCCACGTGTATGTACTGACCCGGCGCAGGACCTGCAAGGTGAACCTTCTGCATTTCGGAAGTTCACGGCAGGCAGGCCACTTCTGCCGAGCGCGTGCAAGCTGCGTGCCGCTGCGTATTACAGACAGGCTTCTGAAAAAGAGAATGTGCCCTGCATCGAGATGCATGGTCCTAGTCCTAGTCGTGCTTGAAAGGAGACCCGGGCCAGGTCATGAAAACGCCTCTGACTCTCCTCTGACTCTCCTCTGACACTCCTGCCAACAAAACACGAACATGTCGGCAAGGTGAGCCTTGCACGGGTCACCTCAGCGCGTGTACACTTGGGTGAAACCTGCAAACCATCTGCAAACCACGGCCACCGTCACTTCCCTCTCCCCCTCTTTGAAGCCGTCAGGAATTGCAGGAGCCGAGGCTTGGCAGAGCTCTTGCCCCGGGCTCGGGTCAGCATGGCTCTTTGCTCGCCGCCTTCCGCCGCCACCTCTTCGGGGGCGAGGCTGGGAAATTGAGGAGGGGTTCGAGCACTGCAGAGACGGCACGGAACAGTTGCGAAAGATGTGAACAAGAATTCAGGCTTTGGAGCTTCCGGATCCGGACGCTTCCTTTCGCCTACATCCCAGGCAGAATAGGCCCCCAAACCCTGCCCCAAAGACCTGCGACCACAAGTCCCAACGATTCATCCCCAAACCTGGGAACCACTCAAACAAACCGCATGTGGCTTGAAGGGTCTTAAGGCCCCCTTCTCCCCGACACAGAGCCTGGAGAGGTCCCGCTCGGAGCAGGCTTTGCGAGCCAGCGGTCGCAGCAGCCGCCCGAGGTCCTGGCTTCTGTGGTTTCTGGATTCAGGGCTTCCGATTGGCCTAGCAAGGCCAAGCAAGGCCTGCACCATCAGTTTTAACCCCAATCCCAAGCTTCAACTTTCTTGTACTTGCAGGACAGACAAATTCTACACTTAGTCTCTGGTCCCAACACCTCAAGATCTGCAGCCTAGAATGCAGGCCATGTCAGCCAGGGCTACCGTGAGAGCGAACTTTGAAACTCTCATCCCAAACCTCTGCTTCGCTCGAAAAGGTCCTTGCTGCCGCCCCAGAGCTCGTCCACCAACTTCAACTTCGAAGTAGGCCAGCCTATTGGGCTTCGGGTTTTTTCTCGGCTGGGCATGTTGGAGGCTTCAAGACTCGAGCGAAAGGCTTCAGAAATCATGGCTCCGAAGGAGCCTTTCCGTTCCTTCTTTCTGTCTTTCTTTCCTTCTTTCCTTCTTTCCTTCTTTCCTTCTTTCTTTCAGAAGCCTCATCCTCTCTCTCTTTCTCCCAAAGAAAACTGCACGGACGTGCATAGCATGCGAAACACAAAGTTCCCGGTAAAGCGCCAGGCTCGGGCATCACTGAGAACCTCCCCCTCCACACCGCGAGAAAACCAAAAACTCTTGGAACCTCCTCGAAAATAACTCCCCGGTTCCCACGCAACTGAAACCTCCGTGCTGCTGCAGCTGCATTGCCCCTCCATGCTTGTCGGAGTCTCAGTGCTGTGCCCGTCGCTGTTGCGTTTGCCCCTGCCGGCGCCGTCTTTCCTTTGCGGGTTGGGTGATTGCAAGCGCGGTGGACGCGCGCCCTTCTTCCTTGCTCCCTCTGGCGCTGAGAATGGTCGGGTGGCCGCCCTGGTGTGCGCGGCCGATGGTGCCTTTCTTGCTGCGGGCGGCCAGGCATCATATATTGGGATGTTCCCCCTTATACTGACAGTCCCTAATAATTAATCGTATAATCCCTATTAAGGACTGTTAGTGTGAGGGGGAACATCCCCAGTCATATGTGTGCTCGTATGGACTTCCCATCTTCGCCATGATCCTGCGATGTAGGTCTCGGCGGTGGACCTGTTGCCTCCCGGGGTTGCGCGGCTCCGTCGTATGCTGGTTCTGGGTCAGTTGACTCTGTCCGATGAGCCGCCCTTGAGGCTATGCCGGTGCGTCTCGTCAGCCGAAAGCCCCCCCCCCCCCCTCAAAACAAAAAAACAACAAACAAAAAAGTCTCTCAGGCAGACCGAAGCCCCCCGACAACCCTCAACGCCAAATGCCAGACACCCTTTTTGTAACACATCGCTGAGCTCCGAAACTTCTGAACTTGAGAAAGCCCACCGGGTGCCTCCTTTGCCTGGCTCCTGCGGCTTCAGCGGGAAGCTCAGGTCACTCTTCGGGGGCGGCGCCGGGATCCTTCAGAGAGCTGTCTTTGCGAATCAGGGTGCTTGCAGCCTACCGGAGCCTACCGGGGTCGGGGGCGGGCTTCGTGCCTCACGAGGAGCAAAAGCAACAAATAGCTCCCTCTCGCAGTGGGCCCACCCCTGCGCTCGGGCTTGTGCAAAACTAGCGCCACACAGTCTCTGTACGCTTGCCACACTATTGCGGCACTGGCGGCTCAGTCTTGTCCAGGTTTCTTATGTTTCTTTGAGGGAGCATTCCGGGAAGGGAAACCAACAGCAGTCAGGATGTCTGGCTGAAGGGATCAACAAGAGAAAGATGCGGGATTTTAACACGTTGGTCCGGAAGGCACTTCGTTGCAGTGAGTCCTTCCGCACCCTCCCTCGACCCATTCCCCGCAGGGCGTCCTCGCTCGACCTTCTGCGATGAGTAGCCACCTTGATCCAGAAACACGGAACCATAAGCCGCAAACGTGAACCCTTAGACAGAAACACGAGCCTCACACCGACAACCGCCAACACCAAACCCGAACGCCAATGAACCCCACAACACCCTGCAGGTCTTGCAAAGCAGCTCTGACACCCTCAGACACTGAGTCCTACATGCCCCCATCCCTCACATTCCTCAAAATCTCACCCTATGACCTAAACTGAACCCGCAGAAACCTTGAACCCAAAAAAACCCAGACTATCCAGAGCCGGAGCAGCTGTGGCAGGTCCTCAGCCGTGGGCGCGTGCCCTGATGCCGGGATCAGTCGGCTCGTCGAGGCACCTCTGGGAGTGCAAGCTGGTCCGGGACGCAGGGCTCGTTTTTGCCTAGGAAATCCTGGGCCCCAAAAGCCCTGAAGCTTCTTCAGGGCCCCGAGAGCCATCTTCCGCCCGGCCACCCACCGTCGCTGTGCCCGCCGCCGTCGCCGTCCACGCGGATTGCGAGCTTATGCTCTGGTTGGTCTTGGCAAAGCCGGGGACTCTGGCTCAGCTTCGGTGGGGACCCCAAGCCCTCGTTTCACTGAGGCGCCTCCTGGACTCCTAGACTCAGCTCCAAGCCCTGCTTCTAGCCGATCTGTGTGATTCTTGAGCCCGGTTACAACTCCCCCACTGGGGGCCCTGAATCCTACCCTCCTCTGACAAAAGCTTCGGAGCTTCGGCGGCCCTGACCCGACACCGCCCTAGACACTTCCGAATCCGAGAAGATCAAAATCTGCATCTCTTGTCATGAAACTGTGTTTACCCAGCCTTCTTCGGGCGCAGTAGCCACATGTACAAAGTGTGTGCTTTGTCGTTGAGTCTTGGGGATCGTTCAGGGCGCGATGTCTAGGCCCGAACCCCAAAGCCCAAAATTACCTCGTAGTGCTCTCTCCCCCTCTCCGACAACTCAGTGTCGCCGCATTAACAAGCCAAAGGCCTAGAACCCTATACGTCCTCAACCCTGCACCCGACGAATATGGAGGTAAACAGACAAATTAGCAATGGACTCATGCACACTCACTTGGCTGCTCTAGCCCCGTTCTCTGTGTCATAAATCATGCATAGACCCGTCTCAAAGAAGAGGTACTGAGCCCCCAGACGAACACACTCGCCTGCGCCAGACCCGGGGCCGAGCTGCTGGGCGCCAACTGCCTGAGGAGCTGGGGGGGCTTTTGGAGAGCTTGGGGTCCAAGCGCTCACGCTCAGACAGGGCGAGGTAAGGGGTTTAGGTGAAGCTCCAGGTGAGGCCCGGGCTTGTTGAGGCTCCACCTGCTCCAGAGAGTGGCGCTTTGGGGCTGAAAGTTTGGGCTGGCGCTCTTGTCTCACCCTCGAAGACACCTCCAGAAAAGTCAATCCGAACCCTAAGCTGCGCTGTAAATTGTCCGAGGCCGGTGGCGCGGGCTCCGGAGCCGGTGTATGCAGCGTGCTCCTGTTCGCGTAGATCGTGGTCCCCGCCGCGGTGTGGCTGCCAGGGATCTCCTCAGCATTGCTTACATGATGTTACAGGAATGTCACATGTAAGGCAAAGCCAGGCACAGGCATGAGCTGAAAGGTCCTCAGACAACACCACAACTCTTGCCACTCTGGCGCTGCAGCCATCAAGTGCCAGGCCATTGCAACCGGAATACCCGCAACTCCGAACCCTAGACTCCTCGCCGTACTCAAGTCTTTGGAGGTTTGGGCTTGAGAATGGGTTGAATGAGGGGGGTGGTTTAGTTCAGCGTGGGTTAAGCTCTTGTTGCGCACGAGGTGCCCCTCGCGCCCGGCCTTCAAACCTTTTCACGCGAACACGATGGTCCCGGGCCTCGCACAACGCCCAAGGTTGGACAGGGATTGAGAAAGAGAAGCACCCGTAAGGTACTCAGTAGAAGAACTCAGGCGCCAGGAATTGTCGCTGAGCCTGTTCAGTCCATAAAGCTCCCATCGCTCCAACTACCCGAAAAGCAACAAGAAGCCGTCCGCCAACTCCGTAAGTGAGCTGCTCTAACTCCCTGCGCTCATGCGGCGCAGCCAAGGGTTCTTCCCGGCCTTGTTGTGAGCAAGCCGGCGCTGGGACTGCAGCAGGGGTGGCGGGTTTCCGTTTGTACTCTCTGACTACTCTTCCATGCTTTGCCTTTTCAAGGCTGTTGCACTGAGAGGGAACGTCCGAAGTATAGGCACAGTCCCGGGATGTTGCCGCCGTCTCACAACACACATCAGAGTGCTGTGTTTAGGGTTCAAGGCTGGGGTACAAGATGCATAAGACCAAGCTAGAAGCCACAAGCTCTCGGTGGTATCTCTTCAATTCCTGAGCCGCCCTGGCTCTGACGGTCGTTCCTTCGCCCTGGTTCACCCTCGAATCATCCCGAGCCAATGGGGCCTGTTTGACTTTAGAGCTGACCCCCCGCAACCCCCTTCGGGAAGCGGAAAATTTTCTGAAGCCCAACTGCTCCGGACGGACGTCCCCACCTTCGTAGGTTTCATGAAGTCAGGGTATTCATCCTGCGGCGGTCGCTTTGCTGCCACAGCTGCCACAACTCAAACCCTCAACCTCCTCCATATGTCGGCAACCTAGCACAAGGCACTCTTCTGTTTCTGAGATGAATGCGATACCCAAGTCAAAGCTAGCCACACAACTTTGGAAGCAGCAGCTACATCGAGCGACCGTACCGCCCCCCTCCTCAACAGCCACGGCTAGTAGCTAGTAGAAACCCCCCAGGAGGGAAAAAAATAACCTGCGTAGGGTGCACCCAGGTCCCGCTTCCTCCTGATCCTCCTCCTCCTCGTCAAGCTCGGCACTGGAAAGCCACGAGGTCGTGGCCCAGGTCAAGTACCTGGTCTTGTCCGTGTCCAAGAGCTCGAACCTGCGAGGTTCATGCTTGGGTGGCGCACCTCTAGTGGGTTTGGGCCCTTAAGGCCCTCAGCGCATTTAGGCTCACCAGAATCCATGATGACACCGACTGGGCGCTCATGTGCTTACGGATGCACATCTTTTTAGGTTACCCTACCCCACCCAACAGGCCACTCTTCTGGCCAGGGACAAAGTGTCCACATCCCCGTCGAAAGCAATCCTCGGTTGTCTAAACATGGGCGAGAGGAGTGGGGCTCCCTCAATTTACAAACTACTTGAAGCCTTTTTCCCACTGACAGTCCCTGTCGTACAGACAGCCCACATGAAAACCCGAACTCGACGAATGCGGGCTTTTTGCCAACCGCATAGCTGGAGGAACCCCTGGGCAGGGAACGATGATCCACATGTTTCAAGGACTCGGGTTGAGGGTGGAAGGCAAAAGCCCTCAACCCAGGGTTCATCAAGCCGTCGCCAAGACACAAGGTGCAGGCGTCGCGAAACTCTGCCAGCCGCACGCGGTCGTCGCACCGGATGTCCAGCAGCTCCGACCAGAAAGACCTGAAGCGATTTCGCCATAGCCCTGTTTCCACCCACCAAGCAGACCAGCCGCACTGCAGGAACAAGTTCAGGAGGTCCGTTTACGAACACTAATATCAGCTGCCGCACTCTCCAGCATGGATGCAGGAAGGGAGGTTGGGTGGGGATAGCGTTAGGGTCACGGACGGACGCACAGGAGACAGCGAAAATGTGGTTGCACCCCTCCAGAAAAACACACATTGGTTTTTGCTTTGGCATGTTGCTCCCCTCAAAAGACCCTAGGCCTGTTGCATGATTGCGGACCCTGCACTCTAACCCTCCCAGAGAGACCCAGCATCGATTTGTAGGTTTTTTTAAGATGCCCTGGACTCAACGGATTGAGTTTGGCGCTCAGGCAACCCTCAACCCCAAGCCCCCAAGTGACTCAGTGGCTTTTGAGGACGGTCCCAACCCTGAACACCAAAACCCTGAACCTCCCAATTAGCAGGAAGATCTAGGAGACTTCGCTTGACCCACCCACTATATTTCACACCCTCCCAAACCCATGAAGCCTCGAGACCGTTCCCTTTCAACCCTTCCCCCCCCAAGGCCGCAAACGACACAACAAAGCCTCCAAGTGCCGGCAGAAGCAAGGGCCGAATCCACGAAGGCCTCCCAACTTGGGTTTTTGGATGGTTTCGTCTCACTGCCGCATAGAACCGCGCATTCGAGGACTTCAAGACTTCTTTGGGGCGGCCAAGGGTTTTGCACGGGAGAGCTCACGCCTGAGGGCCGCGTTTTGCCACTTATGTAGCTGGCACACGTGCCCTGCAGGCCACACACCACCTGCACTCCTCTTCTGACCTCACTGTCGAAAATTTATCTTGCGTCCGACACTCAGTAGTTATTCACGAGGCTTTTTGCAACCCAGCCTTCAGAAGCTCCGCTGTCGGCTGATCCAGCTCCTTCAAAGACGGAGCCCTTCACCCAAAACCTACCCAGCCAAACCACCCTTTTGACACCCTGCAGCTTCACTTCCTCGATGTTAAAGAAACCCAAACCCCAGACTCGAACCGAAGCTACCCCAAAGCCTTGAAAGCCAACGTGCAAAACTCTTATGCTGAAGATCGGGATGCTTTCACAGCTTTGGGTGTTGAGGGGATGAGATGGAAAAGACAGGAGAAAGCCAAAGGCACTCTCATCTTGCAAAGTGAACCCAGCCTCACACACACAAAAAAAAAAAACATACACACACACACAAAAAAAAAACACAAAATTCAACCAACACTCCACGGAAGAGAAAACACAATCAAGGGGTGGAACGCACAAGCAAAAGCACAAGCTGTGAAGCCGAGCTCCAAGCGCATATCCAAGCACAGATCACAAGATGTACTCTTTTGCTGCGTGAAGCACAGGCACCTTGGCATCACCCTTATAGTAACAAGCCCTTAGTAAGGAGTCTAGTTCCCCCCTAATTACTACAATCCCTAATCAGGTTCCCATGTGGCCCCCCAAAGCAGAGGAGAGAACAAAGGGGGGGGGGTCTCCCAGAGGCTGACGTAGCCGTTGTGGTTCGCGTCCAGCTCCTCCCAGAGCTCCCGAGGATTCCCAGGGTATCCCACGTCCTGCCGGCTTCGGGTGGTTTGAGGCTCGGAGTCTTCAACAACTTTACTGTATCAAAAATACATGTAAAACCATATATACACACATATATATATATATATATATACAAATTATGTATTTGTTTATGAATGTGTATATATATATATGTGTATGGAGGCAACCAGGCCAAAGGCTGCATATTGAGCAGCTGGAGCTAACGTTTCAAGGCTTGACAGACTTTACAAAGCTGCTTGGGCGCTGGGCCCAGGGCTTGCCGTTCTGAATCGAGGACTGGGATGGCGTCAGCTCTAAGACGGACCCTCAAGGCGCTTACTCCATTCCTCGAAGTTAAGCTGCTGAAGCCTTGTTTCTGCCCGACATCTAGATCCGAAGAGTGCCCCCTTGTACCAAGAACTAAGAAATGAAAGAAGAGCCTTGACGGCCGCGCTGAACTCCTGAGCAGATCCTACTTCACTTCTCTAGGTGGGGCTTAGGTATCGTGGTTGAGGGTATTGTGCCACTTGTCTAGCTTGGCTTTGCGTAAGGGAATCGAAGACCCGTGTCTTCTGCTGCAGGCTTTGTCACACAAGCATCCTCTGGCCTTGCACATGCCAGAATAAGCCAAGGTCAATCGGCCCACTGCGAGAAATACTGAAGTCCCAAAGCTTAGAGAACCCCGGAAAGCCCGAAACCCACATCACACAACACAAATACTTGACATCGATGCATGTGCCAGTCAAGGCTCGTGGTAGTCCAGCTTGTCGTTGTGGTCCCGATCCAATCCCTCGCGCCACGCGCGGACAAAGTTTCCTGGCTCTGATTGGGTCCTTCAGAGCTAGTGGCCCACACTTACATAGCTTGCACTATCCCCGCCATTCTATAAAGTATGCGAGGGAGCACTTGCCAAATTGCCTTAGCCGAGTCACCGTAGGACCTGAGCAGGCAATCCTTGAACTTCTTGCGTCGCTCGAACTTCTTGAGCACAGGTTGCGGGGGGGTCCAGGGCCTTCGCTCCTTCTCCCAGCGAGAGGGCGGTGGGTCAATGAAGCCACGGTCGGGTCCCCGTCCCATCCAAGTGTGCAGAAAGCCGAACTCCTTGCGGCTCATGCCTGTGCGCGCCTTCTCCGAGCAAAGTTCCGTGAAACAAGCCTCGCCGTGCTTGAAGCCCAGACCCTCGCAAGCCTGAACGAAGTCGTCTCGGCTGACCCGCAGGCGCGAAGCGCGGTTGAAGCAATGTCGCCAGGCCTCTTCCACGGATCCACACAGGGACCTTGACTGCTGGCTCTGGGAACAAAGAACAAGAGCTTTTTTGCCCTGGACAACATGCTGATTTTTGGTCCGGGGACCAAAAACATGCTGTTTTTGGTCCGGGGACCAGAGCTTCGTCGCCAGAACACCCAGTTGCTGCGCCAGAACGGGGTCCAGCTCCTGCAGGCTCACGAAGCCTGGAGCGCAATTTGGCTGCGACCACAGTGACTACGGCCTTGAGGCCTGAGGCCTGGAGGCCTGAGGTTGTTGCCTGCTGGCTCCTACTCTCCGAGTCAATGCCCAGGATTACAAGAAGAGGGAAAGAATGAGGGTGTATGCATGTTTAGCCTTGGATTCGAGGGCCTTGTCGCGCATGCAGGACAAGTAGAGGGGATACGAGGCGTGGCCGAACGGTAACGTCAAAGATGCTGCCTACAATTCATTGCTGTCAAGGCCCAAAGCCTGACAACTGCACATCGACAGCTTAGAGCCACCTACAGCCCACAATCGTTCAACACCATCATCGTTACGACCTCTTACTCTTCGGGGGGTGAAGAATCGGTTCGGCCCGGCGGCCCGACCGGCCCAAGGCCGACCACACTGCCCGCGCGTTGCTCACCTGCATGTGCTTGCAGGCCCGCAGGAACTCGAAGTAGCTCAAGCGCCCGTCGCTGTTCACATCCATGGCCTGGGAAGACCCAGAAAAGACTAAACCCCTAAGCCCCTAAAGCCCTAAAACCCCTATACCCCTAAAGCCCTAAACACCGTTAGGGTTCGGGGGGGAAGTCCAGGCCTTTTTCAAACTCCGATCCCAACCCTCCAAGTTCATGGCCTTCCAGGCCCCTATCAGGGAGCCATAGTGCCGCACGCAGAGCTGCCGGAACTCCGTGCGCACCCGCTCCTCGACGGCACTGTTGCTTCGGGCGGTTAGAATCCCCAGCCCAAACATCAGCACATCCCTCTACAGGGCTTGTATCGGGTTCAGGGCTGCAGGCCCAAGATTTGAGCCTGCTTCGGGCCGCAAGCGTGTTGCCTCCAAGTCCTGAACCTGAAACCTGCTTGCAGCCCAGTCCACGATGTCTTGAGGGGAGGGCTTCTGGCGGCTGAAGTACGTCGCGGAGGACTCAGCCCAGCTTCCTCGCCTGGGGGCTCAAGGGGCAGGTGGCTTTTGGGGTTTTCGGGCTTGTTCTTTGAGCTTTCGGGCCGGAGGGTTGCGTAGGTCCTGGAGATGCTTGTGGGGTTACTTGGGGTGGCTTTTGACCGTGAATGGGCTGTTTGTCCTGGAACCCTGAGGCTTGAGGCACATTTGGGGCAGGCTCAAGGATGCTCTAGTTGCTCTAACGCCGAACCCTGTCGAAACCGTAGGCATCCCTGCCCCCGAAGTCCCCAACCCTTAGCTGCTGCTATCCGGCCTCTCAGCAGCATCCGCACCTCCAACTGCTGCATCGCTCAGCGGAGAGGGCGGCGACATCCGGGGGTTTAGGAGGTTCTGTAGGGTTGTTCTCCTTTCGGAATGAGGCACCATGCGGTCCGGCTGCTGAGAACCAGAGAGGGCAGGCTTTAGAACATGACCCTGAGAAGTGCACATGCTGCGCAACTACTGGGTTACGTCCGGAGCATGGTCGGTTCTGTGGGCTGATCATCCTACCTGGGACGACTTGAGGGTATCTTTGCCCCCTTGCACTGCGCGATTGGGCCGGACGCCCGCGGGGCGGGAAACTCGGCGCTACTTGCTCACAACACAACATAACATCCCAAACCGAACGCATCCCGCAAAAAGTGATACCTCCAAGATCGCACGCCTCATGGGCCTGCACCAGCCTGCGCACCCTTCAATTTTTCCCGGCAAGGTGTCAACTGTCACGACTCGTCCAGTTGTGAGTTCACAAGGAGCAGACAGAAGAGTCTAAAATGTTCCCTAAACCCTAAACCCTAAACCCTAAACCCTGTGGGGCAGGGTGTGGGTGTTGGACGTGTTTCGAGCAGAACTTGCAGTAGAGGGCAGAGGACCTTGAGGCGTGGCAGCTTAGGGCACATGCTGTTACGCCTGTTTAGGGTTTAGGGTTTAGGGTTTAGGGTTAAGGGTTAAGGGTTAAGGGTTAAGGGTTTAGGGTTTAGGGTTTAGGGTTTAGGGTTTAGGGTTTAGGGTTTAGGGTTTAGGGTTTAGGGTTTAGGGTTTAGGGCCAGGGTTTAGGGTTTAGGGTATTGTAAGATTTGCAAGCTTCGGGAACCTGCTTTGAGAAGCAAGAGTTGGCTGAAACCCTCGACGCCACTTCAGAATCAACAGCCCGGCCCGGTCAAAACAACGCAAGTTAAGCCCTCAACCCGATAAAAACCGGTTCACAACAGCTCTGCTCCACTGTGAGGCTCATGCATCAAGCTGCTCTGTCCTCTCCTGGACACGGCCTGCATTCGGGGGGTCGTGTTCTCACTAGTTGGTCCCACAGCGCTCTCATGCCCCCGCGTTTTCGACTTCGTGTACTTTCGTCAACTTTCGTTCTAACGTCGGACGGCCAGAGCACGATAAGAACGTCCATGCTACCAGATCACCCGACGCCCAGAGCATCAATGCCTGAGCATAGAGCAACTATAGACAAGCCGATGCGTGCCAAACAAAGTCGTTTTCCGGAAACAGAACAGAGCCTGCGACCCACGAATCACCGAACAACGTGACATTCAGCAAATGGATGCCTCACAACAGTGCGCAGTGAGACACCGCGCCGTGTTCCCAGTTGGTCCGGTGTCCGCTTGTTCCGATCGGCATACTGGGGCCCCAAAACTGGTAGCAATCTAGTAAGCGCTACACACAGGCCAGAGTCAGGGCCCAACACAAACCTACAGGCACCAAAAACACAAGTGCCCTTCCGCAGCTCAACTCCGATGCTTCTTGTGCAACCCTAAGACCCCAAAAACTTTGAAGGTTCAGGCCTATGCAAGGCCCATGCTCCGACATCCTGCATCTTGAAATCTAGGCTCCAAAATGAGCCCTTCGGCCTGAGATCACAGTCGTCGGCCGCTCGTTCAAAATGGCCAGGCGCGCGAACCTTGCAGCAATCTTGGGTTTGCGTGCTGAGGATTTTGGATTTCTTGGTCTTCCGAGAGCATGCCGGCATGCTCCAGTCGAAGGGTTGGTTCAGAAGCATGCAGGGCTCGTCATTGCTGAGGTGCTTATTACCGACGGAGTTCGAGGCACACGTCACAGGGGGCATGTTTGAACATTTGGAGCTTGCTCTGCGGCTTTGGATCCTGCGTGCTTCACATTTTTTGTTTACAGGCCTTGCATCTGTCCCAGTAGCCGGTTAGGCCACAGCGCAAGTCTGGATGTTTGTTGTCTTGAGCACACTGCTTCCCGTGTGTGCCTCGGACGGGAACGTGATAGCAAGCAAGGCATACAGCGATCAAGCTCACTCCAGGGTCAGGGCCGAGGCTGGGGGGGCCCAGAGCCACACAAGAACCAGGAAAGGCTTCTTGACTGAAGCCCTAAGGCTTGGGATGTTCCCCCTTATACTAACAGTCCTGAATAAGGTTTCTAGTACCCCCGATTGTGCTCCCTGTTAGTAAAAGGGGCAACAAACATCCCACCAAAGGCCCTCAGGACCCCCAAAGCCCTAAGGTCCGCAGCCCTTTCCCTTCTTGAGAGCCTCCGTGCCGTGTTGGTCAGGTGCTGCCTCCAGCGCTTCAGGGCACACAAGTTCGGGCTCAGGCATCCGGGATTAAGGCGTAAGGCTGCAGGACTTCTGAATGTTGTCGGGATCCGAACGAGACGGGGTATCGACTCTCACACTAGCAAGCGCAGGTGAGGGTTGCGGTGAACTTGAAGATGCACGGGGGTTTGGGTCTCAAGGCCCTGGACCTTGAACTCCGACTCCAACCAGGGCCTCGGACCTTCTTGCCCAACAGTCCCGTCCAAAATCATCCAGCCCTTGACATCAAAGCTCGGCATTCCAACCGAAAATGCACGGCGGGTTTTGGCTGTCGCAGGTGCACGAACTGGCACGGACGGGTTGAAGGCTTTAGGGCGCACCCGATCCGCCCATCCCCCGAATCTCCCAGGAAATAATCCGAGAGGCAACTCAAGCTCGGCGATTCGGGCCACCGCCGCATCTGCCATTCACGGGGTGGGGCTTTGGGTTTCGGACTGGTCCAGGCTGTTGGCAGGAGGGTCGGTCAGGCTTCTGGCCTTAGCCCCCCATCTCTTCCAGGATACCTCGTCCTTTCCAAGCTCACGAACCAAACCCAGCCGCGGGTTTCTGAAGCCTTCGAACTTAGGTCATCTTAGGTCATCTAGGTTCGCTGGAGAGGTTGTCTTGGAGCCTGAGCGGACAGTTGAGGTTGCGGCTAAGAAAACTTGCTTTCGGCCCCCGCCCAGAAGAGCACCTTGCACCGGAATCGCCCAACCCTTCCCAGAATAGAACTGATGAAGAGAAAAGTCGGGGAATGAGGTTGACACAAGCAAAGCCCGAAACGCAGGAAAGGCTGTCAGCAGCCGAGGCCCAAATTCAAGCCGCATTTCCGAACCGGAGGCCTGCGGTGAGGTCCAGCAAGGGCATGTGATGGCCTCAATGTCGAATGGACACTGCATACCTCTCCCCGGAAGACCGAACTGCGAGACTTCAACATCCGTGCGGCACCCGTTAGGAATTATTTTTGAAGGACATCACGAACTCGAAGTTTTGCAAAGGTTCGTCTGGATCACGTGATGAAACTCAGACAGATTGGCTTCACAAGCATCCCCACAAAGGCCGACTGGCAGCTCTAAGATTTCATACCGCATCTGGATTGCAGGAAGATGTGAACAACAGAGGCCACTCGGAAGTCAACATCCCGACCCATGGGGAGGACCGGGGGCTCTCTGTCTTGCGCCACACAGATACGCCCACTCCAACAATCCTAAGTAGCAGTGCTCCCGACAGGCCCCCTCTGGCGCCCAAGGCCTGGTCACAGGCCACCTCTACAGAAGCCTGTTTTGTGCATCCAGGCCTCTAACAGGTTGCTCAAGAAGCCTACATCTCCAAACCCCCACAAGACGCCCCATCGTAGGGCAGCTGCGAGCCGTGAGCGTCGCAAGGGCCCGTGCCAAGTTGGAAAGCTCCTGTGAGCTCGACGATCGATTTAGACTTGTGACTTGTTGATGTGGGTCCAATGCTCCCTGCTGACTTGCGACCTTTTAGTCGCTGCCCAAGTGCAGACACTTCATGGCTCACAAATGGACCCGGAAAAATCTGACAGTCCTGGGTTTTGCACCTCCCAAGCCGCTTGCACGCGGCTGCAGCAACTGCCTCCGCTAACTGCTGATCCCAGCAGCCTGCCCACAGTCGCATGGAGGGCCGGGAGGGATAGGGCTTCGATGCAGAGAGCTCGGGGGGTCGGAGGAGGGAGGACCGTCCGTTGCAATCAAGTACCTCCCACTCCATGCGCATATATGCGCATCGTATGGTGGCTGGGGCCCGGGATCATAGCTAATAAATGATACACATGCTAGGGCTCGGGCTTGGAACATTCGGATCTTGGGTCTTGGGGTTCGGGGCGCAGCAGTCGCTTCAGATTCTGCAGGTGGGCTTGAAGGGTGCAGGCTTTTGGGGTCTCACGGTTTGGTGCTTCAAGGGCTGAAGGGCTGAAAGCATTGAGAGTCTCTGCACGGCTGGGACTTTGAGTTTTTGATATGAGGCATGGCCTGTGGTGGCGAAGGACCAAATGGTGCTGGCGATGCACATCGAGTCAAACTCCTCCTGCAGGCACCACCCCCCAATCCTCAACTTGGCACGTACTGCACAATGCCTGATATCTTGAATCTGTACATTACATATACAGACTAGAATTGAAAAAGCCTGCGCGATGGAAATAGATATCTCTGGCGTTGACGAAGGGACGCGTACAGAGATGGGCGCTTGAGCGTCGTCCTACTAAGCAGATGATTCCAGGCTGCACCACCATGAGCAAAAGGAACAAAACAACGCGCAACAGAAAGGCCAGCAGGAAGCCTGAAGCCTGAAACCCTGCACCGATTCGGCCGCGAACAAAAACCGGAGGCCGACAAAACCCTAAACCCTGAAGCAAACGCCTTACATCACCTTGCAAGAGGGACCCTTTCTTCAAGCCTTCTCTGAACAACGCCACCCTCTTTGGGCATCTGAAGCCTCACATCCTAAAACCGCAGTTGTAGGCGATTCTCAGGGTCGGGCTGCACGGGTGGGGTCCTCGGCTAAGGCTTGGGGGCAGGGTCCCGTTCCAGAGTACTTGAGGCACGTTCAGCGCTTTTTTGGGGCTACGGCTGTACCAGTTCAGGCTTCTACAAAGCACCCTTCATTTTGCTGTGGGGCTCGTGTGCTGGACGGGGCTTTCGGTTGCCACTCGCCAGTCGGCGGGGGTGAGCAATGCCATTCGCTTCTGCACCTGCATTTTAGGGGCCTCGAGTGTAAACTTCAGGCTCGGTGCCATGCTCCGGA